CTACAGGGGAAAAAAAGGTGTGCATCTCGCCCAATCGTGTTACGTGCGTAACTCGATAAATCGAGCTACAGGGGAAAAAGGTGTGCATCTCTCCCAATCGTGTTACGTGCGTAACACGATTAAGCGAGCTACAAGGGAAAAAGGTGTGCATCTCGCTTAATCGTGTTACGTGCGTAACACGACAAATCAAGCTACAGGGGAAAAAGGTGTGCATCTCGCCCAATCGTGTTACGTGCGTAACTCGATAAATCGAGCTACAGGGGAAAAAGGTGTGAATCTCGCCCAATCGTGTTACGTGCGTAACACGATAAATCGAGCTACAGGGGAAAAAGGTGTGCATCTCGCTTAATCGTGTTACGTGCGTAACACGATAAATCGAGCTACAGGGGAAAAAGGTGTGCATCTCTCCCAATCGTGTTACGTGCGTAACACGATTAAGCGAGCTACAAGGGAGAAAGGTGTGCATCTCGCCCAATCGTGTTACGTGCGTAACACGATAAATCGAGCTACAGGGGAAAAAGTTGTGCATCTCGCCCAATCGTGTTACGTGCGTAACTCGATAAATCGAGCTACAGGGGAAAAAGGTGTGCATCTCGCCCAATCGTGTTACGTGCGTAACACGATAAATCGAGCTACAGGGGAAAAAGGTGTGCATCTCGCCCAATCGTGTTACGTGCGTAACTCGATAAATCGAGCTACAGGGGAAAAAGGTGTGCATCTCGCCCAATCGTGTTACGTGCGTAACACGATAAATCGAGCTACAGGGGAAAAAGGTGTGCATCTCTCCCAATCGTGTTACGTGCGTAACACGATTAAGCGAGCTACAAGGGAAAAAGGTGTGCATCTCGCTCAATCGTGTTACGTGCGTAACACGATAAATCGAGCTACAGGGGAAAAAGGTGTGCATCTCGCCCAATCGTGTTACGTGCGTAACACGATATATCGAGCTACATGGGAAAAAAGATGTGCATCTCGCTTAATCGTGTTACGTGCGTAACACGGTTAAGCGAGCTACAAGGGAAAAAGGTGTGCATCTCGCCCAATCGTGTTACGTGCGTAACACGATATATCGAGCTACATGGGAAAAAAGATGTGCATCTCGCTTAATCGTGTTACGTGCGTAACACGATAAATCGAGCTACAGGGGAAAAAGGTGTGCATCTCGCCCAATCGTGTTACGTGCGTAACACGATATATCGAGCTACATGGGAAAAAAGATGTGCATCTCGCTTAATCGTGTTACGTGCGTAACACGATAAATCGAGCTACAGGGGAAAAAAGGTGTGCATCTCGCCCAATCGTGTTACGTAATCGAGCTACAGGGGAAAAAAGGTGTGCAGCTCGCTCAATCGTGTTACGTGCGTAACACGATAAATCGAGCTACAGGGGAAAAAAGGTGTGCAGCTCGCTTAATCGTGTTTCGTGCGTAACACGATAAATCGAGCTACAGGGGAAAAAGGTGTGCATCTCGCCCAATCGTGTTACGTGCGTAACACGATAAATCGAGCTACAGCGGAAAAAAGGTGTGCATCTCGCTTCATCGTGTTACGTGCGTAACACGACAAATCGAGCTACAGGGGAAAAAAGGTGTGCATCTCGCCCAATCGTGTTACGTAATCGAGCTACAGGGGAAAAAAGGTGTGCAGCTCGCTCAATCGTGTTACGTGCGTAACACGATAAATCGAGCTACAGGGGAAAAAAGGTGTGCAGCTCGCTTAATCGTGTTACGTGCGTAACACGATAAATCGAGCTACAGGGAAAAAAGGTGTGCAGCTCGCTCAATCGTGTTACGTGCGTAACACGATAAATCGAGCTACAGGGGAAAAAAGGTGTGCAGCTCGCTTAATCGTGTTTCGTGCGTAACACGATAAATCGAGCTACAGGGGAAAAAGGTGTGCATCTCGCCCAATCGTGTTACGTGCGTAACACGATAAATCGAGCTACAGGGGAAAAAAGGTGTGCATCTCGCCCAATCGTGTTACGTAATCGAGCTACAGGGGAAAAAAGGTGTGCAGCTCGCTCAATCGTGTTACGTGCGTAACACGATTAATCGAGCTACAGGGGAAAAAAGGTGTGCAGCTCGCTTAATCGTGTTTCGTGCGTAACACGATAAATCGAGCTACAGGGAAAAAAGGTGTGCAGCTCGCTCAATCGTGTTACGTGCGTAACACGATATATCGAGCTACATGGGAAAAAAGATGTGCAGCTTGCTCCGATCCGATGTTTTTCACCCCCACTTTAGATATTCGCCTTCGGAGCAGTATGTAGTGGTCTCGCCAACCGAAGTTTCACCGTCCAGACATTTGACACGTCAGCATCAGATTATCTGAGGTACCACAATATGCCCTCTTCAATACACACCATTGAAAACTGGTAAGCTTACTGAATACAGACACACTCTGCCAACGTGGTGCACGATATCCCGCTCTCTGAGCAAAGTGTTGAGAGAACCAAGGATCCAATGTGGGCTTGAGCGACGGCGAAATATACGTCTCCGCCCCCCCCTCCCACCACTTTCCCACTTTTCTCACTCCCTTCTCCAACCACCTCATCTACACCATGCCCCGCACACCCCTTTCCTACACGGCTATGACCGGAAAGCCTGTCGTGAACGACGTGGTTTTGAGCGCCATTGTTTCAGGGTCCAATCTTACGGTGTTCGCCAACATCGGTTCGTTCAAAGAACACCACCTCCGTGTTCTGGTAACCATGCCACGCACACCGCTCTATGTGATCAGGATGGTTGCACGGGAGCCAGGAACCAACCCGGCCAAGGCCATCGACTACTGTTCGTCGGCCGCCATGGCGAGAGCGTTGATAAAGATTTGCCGCGACGTGTCCCGCTTCGCATTGTACGAACAAGATTGCTTCCGTGTTGGTGGCAAGAGGCTTCACGAGTTCAGGAGGGGTGGCGATCGTTTTCGGCGTAGAGAAGTGGTGTACCAGGTGCTATGCGAGAGAGTTTTGTTCGGTGGAGACGTACTCCCCCCCCATGTTTCCAAATGGTTCAACAGTTGCGGGGGCTACTGGCATGAGAAATACATGGAGGGGTATGGATCGGCGCACATGAAAAAGTGCTACGATATTTACGAGAAGCAGGCGCTACGCGCTACGCACGAGGTGATTACGCCCGTGCCGTACCAATTTATGGTTGCCTACCACAGCTACACCAAGTACCTGCCGCTCACGATGTGTTTTTGCGCGGTTTTCAAGAAGAAGGCTCAGATGGAAGCAGTCGTGAAGGACAGGCTCAGGGAGGGACTTAGCGTAGAACAGGCTCACGCGTCTCTCGACGTGGAAGTTGATCAGAGCTTGCGGGGGTTGAAAAACTCCGCCGAAGGAAAGAAGCAGAGGCGAAAGCTGGCTAGGGCGGTGAAGTCAGCTGCGGTACATGATTTGTGGGTGTTGTCGCACAGGATCTTGGGATTGGAGTGTTGCGAGAAGGTGATCCTTTCGTTCCTGTGATGATGAAGCAATTAAAAAAATTAAAAAATTTAAAAAAGCAAACTTGTGGTGCCATTGTTGAACGAAAACAATGATCGCAAGGACCACAACCACGCAGCCACAAACTCCGAAGACGCAGATCCAACATGGCAAGTGTTGCCCACATGGTCGCTGACGCGGCGATCGTTGTAATTTTCTGTGTTGTTGTTGCATCGGGACTGTGTGCGATAAAAATCGCCCTCTGTACACCGGTCGACACGCGCCCGAAATTCAACAAGTACATCACACCCCGTCTTCCATGCGACGGCACGCTCGTGCTTGTTGCAAGAGACGGCGTCATGTACATCGTTCCGGAAGGAAAAGCCGTTGTCAAAACGGACATGGTGCGCGAGGTTCACGGAGGACGAATCGCTCGTGTGTGCGACCACGACGGTAATTACACGTATTTCGAGAACAATGTAAACGTAAACGACGCACCTCACGGACATCAGCACGGAGAGAACGCGGTCGACCATCTACACGCGCACTGGTCAATCGGGAGCGTCCGATCGCAAGAAATGACCGTCTCGGCGTCAGACGATGAGTCTCTCGTGGCGTCGCCGCCGCGTAGCCCGCTGGCGGGGGAGAGTTTGACCATGACAAACGAACTTCAAATGATATAATCTTCGTACTCATAACGCCAACCAATGTCTGTCATCGGGAAAAGGCAGGATTGTCAGGTTTAAAATAAAGTCCTCAGAATATACAAACTATGATTCGGGTGAGGGACCTAAGGCACCGGAGTCTTGTGCTGAGTTTTGACGCCGTTGTGGGCGCCGTGTCTTTCAAATTGACCGTCCAAAAGCTGGGCGGGGTCGAAAAAACGGTGGCCGAGGGCACGGAGACCCAATATGCCGTGGACCGCCTCGAACCCAACACACAGCACCGCCTGCGCGTGTATGCCCGCGTCGCCGGTTCCGAGAAGTATGAACTGCGCTTCGAAACACTTGTTACGACGCCGTGGGCAAACTTCGATGACTTGGGACCCGATGAGCTGCGCCACGTTTCGATGTTTGCGGGTGGTTTCGACACCAACCACGCTGCGCTAAACGAGGTGGCATGTCTTCCGTCCCCGAACCAGTATCGCACGCTCCCGGACGCAGATGGTATTTGTGGTCCGACGGCCCCGACGCTGGACCCGTCAACGGGGTGCTGCATCGGCGAGGCTGATGGCGATGAGTTGAGCTTCCTCCAGGCTTTAGAAACGGCGTACGATGAAGTCACCGATCGCCGCGTAGTAGGCGGATCGGTCGAGTACGCCGTGAACTGGATTAGGGTAAACAACAGACAGAGTGTGGGTAATGGTAATCATGTACAAATCGGTCAGCAGACCCCTTGGAAGGAAACATTTCTAAAACTTTTGTTCGCGGGCGGTGTCCGTAAGCCGCTCAATGGTTTCATGGTGCACTACAACGGCAATGCCGTCGTAGTGCTAGGAAGTTTTTGGGTCAAACCCGATGATGTTGAGATGAAAGAGTGGATGTCCGACACGGGCGTGAACGGCCAATTGCGCGTGGTCGTTAGCGCGGGAATGCAACTAGCCGTCCCCTACGTGACCCGGGCGAGGGACACTCAATACCTTTCATCGCGCGTGCCGGGCCAAGAATTGGAATATTTTGACGTTACCGAGCTCTCAACAGTGCTCTCAAGTCCTGATTGCGGATTCAGAGGGCGGTGTTCCATCGATTTCGTAGCACGGCCGTGTGCCATAAATAGACAACGACATTCTTCTGCGCTAAAGTTTATAGCAGATGTTATGACCGCCATGGTTCAGAACAGGGACATTTACGACTGCGTCATCTCTCTCCGCCACGTGAGAGACGGTGGTTCGCATCTGCCCCCGGCGACGGTTGATCACTTGGAGTTGATTCGTGACTCCGAGCTAGGTTTTTTTGATAAGACTGACAGATGCATCACCATCGCCAGGAGAGTTCTTGGCAATTTGCGTACCATCGTGAACACACTTGGTGTTGAACCAACACCCGGTACAACCATCGTCAGATATACCGACCAAACGTCTCCAAGTTTTGATTTTCAGCTATCCGTTCGAGGTGAAGTCGTCGGCCCGGGGGTCGGGCGCGTTGTTGTGAGGAAATCTCGGTGCCCGGTTTCCGGGACACGGTTTTGGACGGGGACGACCAGAGTCGTGGACGGCCGAGCGTACCCGATGTACAACACGCGCGACTTATCAGGCGTTCGTAATTCATAAACTTATTTTATTGCACATGAATAACGAAGCAACGACGATGGCGTCAACAACAGGTTCCATCAACGTCAACCTGAAAAGGTTCGACTGTAGAGCTGCAATGTCTGTCAAATGCAACGCCGTTGTCATCGGCAAGAGGAACACCGGAAAGAGCGTCGTGATCGCGGAGCTGCTGTACTACCTTAACAAGCAGAAAGTGCCCAGGGCGTGTGTTTTCTCGGCCACGGAAGAGAGCAACCGCTTCTTTTGCAGACACATACCTGATTCTTTTATTTTTGACGAGAAGAACGTGGAGGGAAAGTTGACAGAGATTGTCGAGCAGCAGAAACGCCTGCAGCTACAGAGGGACATTGGCGAAATTGATCCCGATACGGACCTGCGCGTCGTCATCGTCCTGGACGACATGGGTTACAATCGAAAGGCGCTGACGAGCCAGATTCTCACATTTATTTTCATGAACGGGAGACACTACGATATCACGCTGATCGTTGCCATCCAGCACGTAATGCAGCTCACGCCTGCACTGAGGAGCAACACAGATTACGTGATTTGTCTCAAGGAAGGAAACAAGAATGTCATGCGAAACCTGTATGAGAATTTTTTTGGCGTGTTTGAGAAGCCCGTGCACTTTAAGAATGCGTTTGATGCGTGCACGAAAGACTTTGGTTGTTTGATTCTCAACAACACCGTGACGAGCGTTCTTGTTAACGACACGGTCAATTGGTACAAGGCAACCCCCAACCGTGTGTTCAAGTTTGGGTCTCGAGAGTTTTGGGAGTACCATGACGAACGGTACGTCTCCATCCAAGACAGATATCTGCTTCAGCACAGGCCAGCGGCAGACACGACAATGTCAAGCGATGGCACGTTTGTGATTCACAAACACGTTTAACGAAACAGCGATTCGACTCATCATAATATTGGTGTCCAGAGCAACAGCATGGCTCCTATGCGTGCGCTCAAAGCGATACAAAAATCGTTGCCGGTATCCTTTGCGGCGTGTCATCCATCGTGATTTCTACCCTGGCAAATGCAATCCTCGTGGCTGTAATTCTGGCACGGTTTGTGGTCATGACACTTCTGCGATCACTTGCCTCGACAGTGTCCTTTGTCGGCGAGACCACCATCAATACACTTTCTTTCATCAGAGAGACAGTATTTTCAATTCTGACATTCGTCGTACAGACAGTGACAAGCACCGTGCTGTTCATTCTCAGCCAGTTGGTGTCCGTTTGGAGACTGGTGGTTGTAATAATCACCGCGACTCTTGGTGAGACGTGCTATCTTGCAACCAACGGCATCGACAGGGTTTTTGACTTTTTTTCAGATTACATGCTTTCTCTGCAGGCTTTCAGGTCGGGTCTACCCGGACTGGCCAAGGTTTTGAAAGCACAGGTGGATGATGTCAAGACGGGAGTCAATGTCACTAATATCAACTTAAGAAAACCGTAACTATTAAGTTGTAGTGAACAAAAACAGATAGAAACAACTAAGTTGTCTCCTCAAGGGTCCAGCTTTTAGGGTTTTTTAAACCTCGGAATATCCCACTGTTTCCAGGCAAGTCGTTTGTTGAAACTTCGGTTGCGAAAGCTTGTCGTCGTTTCTTCGTAGCGTGTTGATGTTGTAGACCTCGTGTAGCCGTGTTGTGATGTCGGCTTTCTTCTTTCTCTTTTTTTTCTTCTTCGTCTTCGATTTTGTAGTGGTGGTTGCCATGGTGAAGGTGAATTGTGAGCAGCGTGGGCTACCAATACACTCAAATATTTACATATAAAATTGAAAAATGTGGTCTTTCTTATAGATCGTTTCGAGTTGGTAAGATTCGCCAAATTGTTCTAGAAAGCTTAAGTTGTCGCTGCGCGGCATCATGACAGGATGTCGCGGCAAAGCGTCGTAACACCAAGAAACAAAATGTATAAACAAAGAAAACATGGTGTCGTCGATTGTAGACAAGGATGGTATTTTCGAGTGTAGGAAATCCAAGCAAGGTGAGAACGCCGGGTCGGGTGTTTTCTGCTCGCAAGATGTAAAGGCCGGCACGATCTTACCATATTACGGCATCACCATAAGTGACGACGTGGAGGAAGACGATGACACTTCTATTAATAGCAGAGACAAATATTGTCGCACGTACGTTATCTCCGCGGACTACTGCACAAAGTATGGAACGCGGCGGACTGCCAAGGGTTTGTCGGTGGATGGCGACCCGCGACTGCCTCGGATCCAGAAATTGAGAGAGTACAAGAAGTTGGCGTGCCAAATCAATGAGGCCAGCGAAGGATGTCTGCCGAACTGCTTGTTGACAACCAACCCCCGCATATCCAGAGCGGACATCAATCGTTCTCTCTTGAAGAAGGTACCAATCCCGATCGCGTACGTGGTTGTCCTCGAAGACCTTCCGAACGGCACAGAATTGCTGACATTCTACGGGAAAGAGTTTGGTGATAGGGCATACTCTTCGTGCAAAATGAATCGGCGCACGCATCGCCAGCTGGCCGACAAAGCTTACGCACACGTCGACGCGTTGCCCAAACAAACCAATTTTAACACTTAACTATGGTAACAGAACATCTCATTATCGTTTCATACTCGCGCAATGGCGACGGCAAAGCGAGCCAAGCAGAACGAAGTGGTGGGGTCGACGATAAAGTACGATGACAAAACGCAAAGCTACAAAAGGAGCGGAAAGTTCGTGAACTTTGGCGTCGGCGACAACAGGGTTTACGATGTAGGAGAGGTTTTCCTCAAGAACAACGTGTTTTTCGGCATCATCAGCGAGACTGCCAGGGTCATCACGCTCGGCAGTCCCTCGTCGAGCGGCGACAGCGAGTTCGATAAGAACATCGTGTTGGTTTGGGCACTGAGTCGCGTGGACCACGCATTCTCGAAGAACTGCACATCGGAAAACCTCTCCGGTATTATCAAGGCGTGCTCGGGAAATAGCTGTGCATCGTCCTGTCTGCGCGGAATCAAGTACACGAACAAATTCGGATCCGAGTGCCTGATCCACCTGAACGGCAATGGCATGAAAGACGTCTGCCGCATCATGGGGCACGACGCGTCCGGTCTCCACGTCCGTGCTGCCGATCTGCTAAACGAAAACTATCGTGGCCATCGTTCGAACGGCGATTCCGTGATACCCGTGTCAGGCATACGGGCGAACGACATGCCCGCCTTCAAGATGATGTACCGAGAAAAGATTGTCATGCCCCAGAGGATTGGCTCAAAGGAGTTCTTGATTACCAAGGAGGTTTTCGACGCAGAGGAACTCTTCAAGGCTTCTCTCAACCACTTGAAGACAAACTTTGTGATGGAAAGCAAAATCGAGATTGGAAACGATCCCGAGGCAGACGAGCAGCTGATTGAAGAGCAGCTAAACGCGTGCAACACTGCCATGAACAATGGTATGTCCTACATCTGCGGGATGCCCGGCGTGGGCAAGACCTCATCTCTCTGCAAGGTGATTCAGAATTCCAACGGGACGGTAATCTTGACGCCGTCGCACGTCGCCAGAGATGTTGTTCACCAGAGGGCGAAGAAGAACCTGATTCCCGAGTCCACCTTCAGCGTGGAAGTTTTGGCTTTCGGCATCCGGCACGTACACACATGGCATCCGGATGCCGACAAGTCGGAGTTCAACCCGTCCGACAGGTCTTGCCAAATGATGAAGAAGTTTCAGCAGCCGGACGGCAGCATGCAGGTGGAGACTCTGATCATCGAGGAGACTTCCATGGCGGATATCTTCCAGACATCGGCCGTCCTCGCGGCATTCTGCGAGTTCCCGTCATTCAAGAGGGTTGTGTTTTGCGGAGACCATAATCAGCTGGAGTCTATCTCCAAGGGTTCTGTGCTGAGGGACGTGATGGCATCGTCGAGCGTACCTGGCACGATTCTTCAAGTCAACCACCGTTCCAAGTCTGGTTTGTCACAAAATCTTCCGAGGATCATCACATCTTCGCTGGTCTTCATGGAAGAAGACGACACTTTCGAAATCAGAGAGCACGGGATAGACGATTGTCACGTGGAGACCGACAAATTCAACAGGCGTCGTGTGATCATTCGCGATCCTATCATCCGGTTGTTCCTAGAGCACGTAGAGAAAAGAATCCCTTGCCACGTGTTTGCGCACACCAATATAGAGGTGAAGCAGCTCAACTCGGGCATCAAGCTCGCGCTGTTCGGCGACGACTCTGTGCTTTTCCCGGTCGGATGCAAAGTTCGCGTGAAAGACTGTGAGGTCATCAACCCTGCCGTTTTTCACCACAACGACTTTTTAACGATTGTAGAAGTCCGGGGATCAAAGGAGTACTTGGTGAAGAGGTGGTCGGATCCACAAGAGTATCCGAGGCTCACGCTGATCAAGATAGACGGTCGCATCAGGGACGCCCTGGACCTCGGTTTCGCCAGCACCATCTTCAGCTTTCAGGGCAGCGAGGTGGACAACGTCATTTGCCACACTGTGCCTAACTCGGCCTACTTTCACAGGAACGCTCTCTTCACCGGTGTGTCCCGGGCTCGGAAGAAGGCATACATCATGGGCGTGCGTGACGATACGTGCTCGTGGAAGAAAGTTCTGTTCAAAAAAGCTGTGCCCAGGATTTCCAATCTATCGAAGATGATATGAGTTCGGCTCCGTTTGGCTAAAAAATATGATAACATACAAAATAAAGTAATTCATGAGTAATATTGTTTTCGGAAACAACGATCTGCTATCAGAGATTCTCTCGTTTAGGCGACGAGACGAGTATTTGTTTGTCGGCACGGTGAACAAAGCCATTAACTCCCTTTACCAGGCTCGACAAACAAACTTGTCTTTGTGTGTGCAGACTGTGTCCTGCTTGCAAGATTCGGGGATTCAATCCCTTCGAAGCAGCAACCATTTGATGCAGTGCGGATCGATCGAAGTGATGCGGCACGCGATGTCATCGGGCCTGGTCGACAACCTGAACGGCGCCCTCGAGCACGCCATCCGATCCAATGACTGCGACATGATCACAGTTTTAGATAACGAGTTCCACGAGACAAGAATCGGTCCAGCGTGTCTGGTGGCCGCGGTCGAATCAGGTGCTCTTGCTCTTGTTCAAAAGTACTGCGTGGACGGCGTGCTCGATGCCAGCGCCGCCAACTTCGGCCTCGAGGACAGTTTCTGCTATCCTTTCGACATGACCGCAAAACGAATGATCTGTCGCTGCTGGAAGGCGTATGTGGGTGACTATCTGATCGAAGCCGCCAAGCGATGTGGTCATTTTGAAATATTGAAATGGTTACACACGCAACACATTCCGTGCGCGGACGAACTATCCGAGACGCACGACATCATAGGCAAAGCCGCCGCCCACGGAAACACAGAAATGGTCGAATGGATGTTGCTCGCAGGCTACCACCCATCGGCGTGCGAGATCCCATATGCCAGCCACTCCAACGACGTGTGCTATCTAGAGTGGCTCGTTACAAAAGGTTGCATCATTGACCCCGATGCACTGAACTTCTGCTCAAACAAGGACGCACGCGTCATCTCATGGCTTCAATCCAAGGGATATGTTTTCTGTTAATATTGGTTGGCGCTCTCGCACAAACTGCACAAGTAGACCTCCGCAATGGTGCACAGGTTACACCTGATCCTTAGCGTCCACGAGATTGAGCGGTTAATCAAGGAAGAACACGCGGACGTCAATCTGAAAGACATAGACGGCAGCACGGCTCTCCACGTTTCGCGGTCTTCGACGATCGCTCGTACTCTGATCGAGCACGGTGCCGATGTCAACGCCAAGAATTCTAGAGGAATGTCTGCACTTCACCGTGCTCGCAACATTGGCGTGGCTAAAGTATTGCTTGAACACGGAGCTTTCGTAAACGCGGTGGACAACTACGGCAACACACCGCTTCATCTCTGCAACGATACGCAAACGGTGAACCTGTTGCTGCGTCACGGTGCATCAATCACCCATCGCAACATGAAGGGAGAGACACCGATCCACATGTCGACGTACGGCTCCAAGGTTATCTCCTTGGCGAAGGCCGGGGCGGACATAGATTCGGTGGACAACGCGGGAAAAACTCTGTTGATGAAGAAGGCCAGGTGTTTTTATGTGTTCCGACTTCTCCGACCGCTTCTGGCCCTCAACCCCTCCGTATTCCTGAAAGACAACGATGGGAGGACGGCACTAGATTTCACCGTCGAGGAAGGCGTTAAAGCGCACTTGATTCGGTACGGGAAAGACCAGAACTGGCGTCGTAGGAAGACGCTAATTCTCTTGAGAGAGAAGGCTCGGGTTTTTGTTGCAATGGAAGACTGCGTGCTTAGGACGGTCGGGTTACCCACTGGTATTTTCAGGAGTGTTTTGACTTTCCTGTGAAGCTGGTCAAACAATGTGAATACATACAATATTAAAATGTAGTTCAACTGGTAATTAAAAAACATGGTACTCTTGGCTCCTTTGCTGGTTTTTACATCGATTCCAGGTCTTTCGACCATCGACTTCTTTTTTTGGAGAAAGAGACGCAAAGCGATGCATGATGTGAGCGTGCTGGACACCACTCAAGCCCTGGGCTCGAAGCAAGCTCTCACTAATAAACGCCTGAAGAAACTCTGATTTTCAGATTTATTATGTTTACCTAACCCTAATGAAAAACATGGCCGACGCGGCGCTAGGTGTAAGTGGTCCTACTGTTGACAAGAAGACTGTCAGCTACGTTGTGGCAGGCTGCTTCTGTGTGTACGCACTCGTGTACAAAATTCCCATCCCGTGCTTCGGCTGTCAAAAGGACGGATTTTGGTACCGCTGTGTCATGGACACCGGTCACGGCACGGCATCATGTGCCGCTCACAAAGCAGCCAAAAATCGAGTCGAAACAGCGGGGAGGATAATGGATGAGGCGGGCGTATACATGGACAATCTATGGGATTTCACGAAGACCGAACTACCCGGGGTGATCAGCGACTTCATTGCTACCCTGAAAGACCAGATCCTCGGTCTCAAGGACAGGATGGCAGAAAAGATCAACCTCATCCTCACCTTCCTTCGCGATAAGATGAACCTATTTTGGTCCAAGGTTAAGGGCGTCGCCGTGTCCACATACGAACGGTTCATGGACGTCGTCATCAATCCCGTTATCAAGTTCTTCGTCGCCAACCTGCTCCAACCAGCCACTGTGGTTTTTGAAAAGATAATGGAATTCCGCGAACTTGTGTGGACGGTTCTGTCCAATGCAATCGATAAATTCGCCAACATTCCTATTGGCAACTTTGTCGGAGACGTGGTGGACGTGTTCCAAAAACTCCCGGAAGCGATGGATGACTTGAAGGGCTTCATGGTGATGCTGATCAACAAAATCAAAAACGAGACGATTGGCGTCGTGAACACGGGCATCCGTGAATCGATCCAAGGCGTCGAGGCGTCCGTGAACATTTTGTCGGGAGGTATAGACGAGGGGGTCAACTCGATTGTTGGAGGACTGAACCACGTCAAAGACGAGTTAGTCGGTAACCTCAATAGATCGATCAACGGCATGGCTTTCGGTATAGAAACAGCTGTGAACAAGACCACTGGGGGAATCGAGACAGTCATCAACAAGAGCGTTGGGGGGATCACAGACGGTATCAATGACAACATGAACAGAGTCGAAAAGGGTGTCGGAAAGGTGATGGAAACCACGAACGATGTCATCAAGGGGGCTGAGATTGCTGTCAACACCATATCATGTGGGATCAACAACGCCCTGAACAAAGTTGGAGATGGGATAAATACAGTCACGAAGGGAGTGAACTCGGCGGTTAACAAAGTAATCAGTCCCGTGAACAGTGTAGTCAATATTATGAAGAGAGCAAAGAACACACACATTGGGTATAACAAGGGCTTTGTAAAAATAAACTTCAGGCCTCTCAATTGGATCAGCGCGCCGGGCGAGGTAAAAAAGATCGACATCGACGAGGTGGAGCTACCAACAATCCCAGTCGAAAAATTCGGCAGGATCAAGGAAGACCTTAACATCCCAAATATCCCCTTTGACCAAATCGATATTCCCGCGCTTGACATACCCACGGTTAACATCAAGGCCCCGGCCGACATCAAAGAAATCGATATCCCCGACATCAACATACCGGGCGTGGCCATCCCTATCCCTCGTGATGTCGAAGAAGAAGATTTCAAACTTCCTCCTATCCCTGGCTTCGGCTTTATCTCCGACAGGGTGGAGAAAGTGAAAGAATCCATCAGAGAGATATTTGAGACAGCTATGGCACCCCTGTACGACGGTTTGGCCACGCTCATCGCTCTGGTCGGCAGTATCATTTCGAGCGCCAAGCACTTCTTTTACAACTACCTGACGTGGACGGCTATCAAGAGCCGAGTGACCCAACTGATGGGCTTAGCAGGAGAAGGTGTATCATTGCTCAAAGACTTGTTCATGGACGAAATCGTACCCGCGTTCATGAAATTAATTCGGGCGATGGCGGATCCGATCCTGGCTTTCGTCAAAACGGCCACGGATCACACGTGGCGGTTCATGAAGAAGCTCGGAACAAACGTCGGGTCAATCTTCAACGAATCATACAGAGTAATCGCCAAGGTCACCGGAGTTATCGCGAAAGGAGTATTCCATACAGGATTGTATGTTGTAGGAACAACTATTGAAAGGTACACAGGGTGGCTGCCGCTGCCGATATCGGTCAAACTTCTGCTGATACTTGCTTCTATCATCTGGATGTTCCTGGGTGGCTTTTTAAGTAACGGCAAAGCTTTAGTGGACCTGGCGCTCTCGGTCATGCAAGGATCAGCCATTGCTCTGACGGACTTGGACCACCAACTAGACCTGAGATTTGGCGTGATTGAAAAAGCGACACCAGCTCTCTCCTCTTTTTTTATGCACTAAATCGCCCACGTTTTTCTGTTCAGCTGTCGTACATTCTCAACCTCGTCTTCGTGTGCCAACAGTTTCTTGGTCGTGTATAGATAAAGCAAGAACATGCTACAGTAAAGCACGAGCAAGATTATGTTTGGTGTATCCATGTTTGTTTCACTGTGCAAACATTTTTGTTGATGAAAATGTTACCTCAGCGTGCCACTTGGTCGAAAATAATATTATGTCTACTGCATAGAGTTGTTACAGATGATTCTCTTCGGTTTTCTGGCACTGATCATGCTCATGTGGACTCTCAATATCAACAACCAGCTACGGATGCTTCGAAGTAGCACAGAGGAACTCAAGACGGAGATAGAAGAGGCGGCTCAGTCGTGCGGAAAGTCGATGAATTGAGTCAGTCGCTCGTAATGTGTTCCATGTGCTCGGGCGTCAATCCTGGTTTGGCGATGTCAACCATTAGAATGACCCGAGGCCGTGTGCCGTCGTAAAACCCCGCGTGAAGATAAGAGTCGTCTAGGATAAAAATATGCCCCACTCTCCAACACCTCGTTCCGTACGCGGTAACAATTCCACCAACTCCATCGATATCTATACAGAGGTGGATTCTGTACTTGTAGTTGGTGGGGCCGAAATGTGGGCGTATGGACGCGCCGGGGTAGAGAACGGTGAATGACGTGGCCATGACATAGGTGTTTGCATAGTTGTTGAACATCTGTGTTCGCATGTAGTCGGCCGACGCCTCCAGTATCTTGCGGGTGTCGATGAAATGGTTGCCGAATCGTTGCTCCTCGCGATTGACAATGATTCTGCCATACCGGCCACCGTACCCAAGCTTTTCCGGGTTGTCCATGAACGTATCCTTGTGAGCGTTGAATTCGCGAGTGAACACCGCAATGTTTTCTTCCAACGTGCGGCACAGCGCTTGCAATCGGCACGTTTCTATGGAAGGAAAGGGCCCGTTCATCTCAACGTCACCGTAGACAGGTGGCATACACCAAGGTATCTTGTCCCTGAAGCCTCTGTTGATTTGTTTCTCTGCGAGCAAGAGCTGTGGCGACGTCGCCACAAGTCTACCGTGCTTCCTGGTGTAGTTACTCGGATTTTCGTATATACACGTTTCGAGGAGAAGTAGTGGTTTTCTCAAAAGCTCTTTGTACATACCTTTGTCCGTGACCGAGGGTTTGTTGCCGTTTTTGTGTCGGCAGTACAAACAATAGGCAACGACCATGGACACAATCAAAGCAAGCATCATGTTGAACTAAGAACATATTTTGTCAGCTTCAAATTCGTCGTTCAGCTTGCCGTAAAGCTCCTCCAGATCGAGCAGGCCCTCCGTCGCTTCCTTTTCCCTATATTTTTTGTCCAGACGACCCACCCCCACGTGGAAGTCCGTAATACCCAACTCTCGATCCATTGTGTACTTGGCAACTCTGTTGTCTAGACCCGGGTCGAACTTGCTATTGACGTGCACAACACGCGCATCTGGCCGTACGAGCAGTGCCTTCTCGCGAAATGAGAGAGCCTTCGCGAACAGAGGAGCGTCTTCCACGTCGATGTTAGACATCAATCGGAGAGTGTTGGAGAAGTCTGCTTCCTCCTTTTGTAAAGGAACGGTGACGGCACCGGGTGCCATCACCAGGTTCTCGCCGATGTCAACATCCCTAACAGCTGCCAGGAACGTTTCGCCGTTTTCGTAGCGAACACGGAGGCAGTTGGCTTCCACTTCGCTTTGCCCAAACACGCCGATCGTTTTATACAGGAAGGGTGCATTGCTCCTGTTGTGAGCGTAGAGCGCGAGCGCCACCTTTTCGGAAAGCCCCCTCCTGTATGTTGTGCGGAAAACGTAATCGAAGAACACCTTGATGTCGTCCGCTGGCGCTTCTTGGTTGAACGCGCAAGGAAAAAGACATTCTCCGCTGTAGACGCATTGCATTGTGTACCGAAATATGTCGAGCTTGAAACTTTGGGCTGTGGACTTGACGGGTATTTCGTATGCCACTGTTTCCCCTGCTCTAATCGGGCTCTGACAAACAGGATGGATCAAATCATCAGTCGTTCGCTTGAATTGGAGATCAGGGTGCAAGAAGCACCTGTTCATCGTTCCAACCATATTTCGCATTTAAAATAAAAGTGTTGGAATATACACGAACAATGCCACTCGTATCGTGCTCTCCACCCACGTGTTACCTCACTCGTCCGAGGAAAAGACCTGGTCGAAGGACTCTCCCTGGAAGGTGCATGAGGCCAAACCCGTGGATCATGTTCCTCATAAGAACGGGTGGCCAAGGGTTTGATAGAAAAGCTGTGTCGGACATGTACAGGACATGGAAGCGAGAATTCCATACAAAAAAACCCAAATTTGAGCGAGAGCGAAATGAAGGCGAAGATGAACGATCACCTGTGTCAGGATATTGCTGAAACGAGCGAACGTAATCTGGCTCGCAAGTCCTCCAAGCGTTTGAAAGAAACAAGAGAACGTCGAAGGAAGACCGCCAAAAAGAAAACGGAAGCGCGAAGGAAGAAAGCGTCGGCGGAAACTCAAGCTCGAGAAAATGCCAAGGCCAGAGAAAAGAAAGCCGCTGAAGCAGCGAATGCCACGGCCAAAGCCAAAGCCAAAGCCAAAGCCAAAGCCAAAGCCAGAGCCAAAGCCAGAGCCAAAGCCAAACCCAATCCAAGATCTTCAGATGTCCTTCGTGTAGAAGGGTCATGGACCGAGACGAGAACGGGGCAAGAAACATTCTTCTCAAGAGCTGCATGGAGAATGAGTTGACTCTGTCGTCACTAATATCAACTTAAGAAAACCGGAACTATTAAGTTGTAGTGAACAAAAACAGATAGAAACAACTAAGTTGTCTCCTCAAGGGTCCAGCTTTTAGGGTTTTTTAAACCTCGGAATATCCCACTGTTTCCAGGCAAGTCGTTTGTTGAAACTTCGGTTGCGAAAGCTTGTCGTCGTTTCTTCGTAGCGTGTTGATGTTGTAGACCTCGTGTAGCCGTGTTGTGATGTCGGCTTTCTTCTTTCTCTTTTTTTTCTTCTTCGTCTTCGATTTTGTAGTGGTGGTTGCCATGGTGAAGGTGAATTGTGAGCAGCGTGGGCTACCAATACACTCAAATATTTACATATAAAATTGAAAAATGTGGTCTTTCTTCTAGATCGTTTCGAGTTGGTAAGATTCGCCAAATTGTTCTAGAAAGCTCAAGTTGATAACAATGTCTGTCGTGGGTTGAAAACATTTACCCACAAAATATAGCGCCCGGAAGGAGTAGAAGGGCTTTGGGGCCTACCCCTGGGTGTCCATAGAAGGATCCAGCAACGGAATCATAGATGATGTAGGACAGGGCGATGGCGGTCGGATCAGAGTAACTGGGTTATCCTATTCGATATGGACTTACCATATCTCTCCCGCGAAATATTTCCCGAGTTCCTATCGGAGGACTCTTTGGATTCTGTAATGTAGAGAACCATCAGTTCTGTGAGAATTGATAGTTTTTTGTAAGGCGAACCATTCCGTCGTCGCACGATCCGCTCTATCGTAATTATTTATTGAGGCGCTTTACTAAATCCCCACCACTCCTCACTCCCACCACGACCCACTCCAATTCGCACCCACACACATCAACAATGAGCGACAATAAAAGGTGAGCATCGATTGTTGTTCTCGCCTACCAGGCTTTCCTGTGCATTTTCTTCCAAATTCGCAAGGTTCAAATTATTGTTTAAATTTTGATGTGCGCAGATCTTGGTGCCAGCGTTGCGCACGGTATGGACATCTGAAGCGAGACTGCATCGAAAGCTACAGCGTGTACGGCGACGACCTCCGCAAGAAGAGATGCGGCCTCTGTGGTCTCTTTGGACACGAAGCTCGCTCGTGCCGCGAGATCACGACGGTGCACGGCAACAGGATCGACTACAGGGCAAGAAGATCTTCGGGACGTGTCGACGACCGACGTGTCGACGACAGGCAGGGGAAGCGACTGAAAGTTGACTACGGCACAAACAGACCCTCCAGCGGCATGTACCACAGGGTAGAGCGGTCGTTGAACGCAGAGAGGAAGCAGAGGGGGCAGCAGCCCGTTCGTAGCAAAGAGAGTGGTGTAGTTGACTACGGCACAAAGAGACCCTCCAGCGGCATGTACCACAGGGTAGAGCGGTCGTTGAACGCAGAGAGGAAGCAGAGGGAGCAGCAGCCCGTTCGTACCAAAGAGAGCGGTGTAGAGCAGAAGAAAGCAGCAAGCGGGTCGTCTTCAGATTCGTCTTCGGATTCGTCTTCGGATTCGTCTTCGGATTCGTCTTCGGATTCGTCTTCGGATTCGTCTTCGGATTCGTCTTCGGATTCGTCTTCGGATTCGTCTACGAGTGGATTGTGGTGCAACTCGGATGATGAGTTCCTCAAGTTTTAATTTAAATGTGTTTTCAAATATGTTTTCCATCGGCACCGCCGACCACAACGAAGACTGTTACGCGCACGTCTTCCGGTGCCTTTGCGTACGCTTCGGCGACCGCACAGATTGCCTCGCGAGGCGAAGATGGTGCAGCCTGACCGGTTGTTTTTACCATCGCGACGTTGTTGTCGTCGACGTCGGTGACGACAACCACCACGTCGGTTCCAATCGGAACGAAGCCGCCTGCGAAAGCGGAGCACGCGCTCTCTGTCTGATCCATGGTGCGATATGTATAGATTAGAGTAAGATTAATTTATTGGCGGATTGGACGCGAAAAAAAATGTAGATTGACAATACATTCAATCGCAAACACGCCAATGACCGAAACCGTCACCCTCGTTTGTCGCGTAGACTCCTTGAACGATAAGAGCTACATTGATAGACAAGTGGCCATCCTTCTCAGGTCGTACAAGGCACACCTCAAAGGCCGGCGGAGTGATCTGACTCTGACATCTGAGCTTGAAAGAAAATATAGTTTCCACGAGCTGAGCGCCGATGATGCGCTTTCTATCAAAACCATCGCGACTGAAAACCAAAGCCGGCTTTGCATGAAGAGGGTGGAGATCGGCTCTGAATCGTCAGAGACGCTTCCAACACCGCCAACACCGCCGGTAACGCCGCCATCATCGCCAAAATTGGTTGTGCCTTTCCCGTCTTCCCCGTCTTCCCCGTCTTCCCCGTCTTCAGCTGCGACGTCTTCTATCTCTTCCAACACAAAGAGCCTTGTCCTGAACTTCGGCCTCGACGACGGTATCAGCACAACCTCCAGTGGCAGTGGTAGTAGAGGAAGCTCATTCTTCTCATCGGACTCAGAAACCAGTGGCATTGGTGTCGGTACACAAGTCGCGACCCCCGAAGTATTGCTGTTGCGCGAGCTTGCCAACATCATGAAAATAGAATCGATAAAGCCCACGCCCTCGCAAATTGGAAAGGCTGTGAGCACGTGGTTCGTCGGTGAGAACGTACAGAAGGTCATGCGGAAAATCGCTTAGTCAAGTCTCTGGTTCAATATCGACCAAGCCATTCTTGCCCTCAGCTTCGTCATGTCTCTGTGCGTAAATTCAAAGGGCATGTCGTTGGCGAAGTACGCGGCAAACATGCAAACGAACACACCACAGTCAATACTGTTTTTTTGCTTAGGGACTTCCATTTCCACCGTTGTCCACTCGTCCCACTGTCATCATTGTTATAAACTTAAGCATGTTGGAAACTTAAATGTTTTCTATGACAATGATACAAAAAGTTGACAATGGTGACTGTCATCAACTTAATAGTTCCGGTTTTCTTAAGTTGATATTAGTGAGGGTTAATGTTTAACAAATCTATTTATAACATGGTTATTTTTCGATACACAGGGACATCAGAATCCACGTTCCCTTCGGAGAGTATTCCGGGTATCTTTCGATATCGAAAAGGTAGCCATGGTTGTCGTTGTTGCCAATCGTATTGGACGATAGAATCGTGGGGATTTTGAAGGCCGTGCCGCTTGATAGCGATGCCAAGACGTTTTTCTTCCTCCACCGATCGTGCCTGAAGTTGACAACGGCTGCAGTCACAGTGATGTTAACCGAAGGATCGCTCTTGTTTGTCTTGCCATGAATATTGCCGCTGACATTGAGCGATCTATCGGCGTGGTACACGGTGCAGTGAATGAAAACGCTGTGGAAGTGGACGGGTGGGAGAGTCATTGCTTCTTTCGAGGAGAAGTCGAAAGCAACAAAGAGCTTGATCTTGGAGTCGTCCCAATACGAGATGTCTGTCTGTGGCGACGCGAGCCCATGGAACTCGAGGTTTCTCGGGTAGAAACTTATTGGCTGGAAGGTTTTCCGCTTCTTGGACAGATGAGCACCAATGACCTCGTCGTCGTCATTAGTATTGCTCGGCGGTGTGTCGGTGGCGGCGGTGGTGGCGGCATCGGCGTCGGCACACGAGTAAAGAAATGTGATGATCTTTAGCGCGTTGTCACTTGAAAAGCACTGTTTGTTCTCCTTGATGAACTTGACAAACTCTCTCATCGAGATGCTGGACAGGCGTATTTGGCTCCACAGAGACGACCCCGGCTCGGCAGCATCATGTGTCATAAGCGCCCACGCCGAGCCCAAGCCACCCAGCTCCTTTTCCACGGAGACTTTCTTTTCGCAAAGCTTGTATATGCACTGGACCAGATCAATCTCCTTGATATTGAGATCGTCTCTCGCGCATATCTGCGAGACTCCCGAAATGCTATCGGCCCGAAGCGCGTAAAAGCTCTTGTGCTTGAAGACGACAAAGGCGTAGATTGAAATGTAGTCCTGGATATCCGACAAGAGCCCGGTACCGCTGTCACCGTCGCCGTCTCCGGAGCATACGGCCGAACTCATGGCGTATTCGAGCGCTTGTATTGCGTTTGTAGGGTTGATGACGTCCATCACGAGCTGTCGAATAACGTCCATACCTCCCCTCAGACTGTAGTAGTGGAACGCGGAATACCGCTCCATGGTCTTGAGGATTGGTTCCCCCTTGTCCACCTGGACCATACCCGTGTGACAAAATACTCTCATCATGTCGAAGATGTGTCTCTTGGACATGGGGTGAGAGACGCTGTAAGCCGTGACACCCTCAAACTCTTCGGTGCCTTTTCTCATGCTGCTGGAAAAGAGACACTTGAAGTAGTCGGACCGCGAGGAGTACAGTTGTCTGCAGTCTCTGTAGTAGACGCCGTCGAACAACCACGCCATATCGAAAAAATCGGCGTTGTTGGCCTGTAAAGCTTCGATCGTTTCCAACTGCCACCGCGATACGTACCCGAGAAGGTTTTGCGAGATAGATTTTTCCATTTTATTTAAAATATTGGCTATGAACACAACCAAGAGTTTTGTCCGTGCTTGATGAACGACAACACTTTGGGAAAAAACATTTACACATCTCTGTGCGAAACGCCGGCACACTCTTCCGACGTTGGCGAGCCAAACATAAACATGGCGAGGTGTCCCTTTTACGAAAAGCCCGTTGATGAAATCCAAAGCACTCAGAGCGCGAAGTACGCCAAGCGCTCGCAGCGACACAGGTCGACGGCACAGTCGCGTCTTGGGGACATGACGGTCGGAGACATTAGATACTGCTTTCAACAGTTGCGGAACGCTGGCAAAGATCTTAGTCCAGATATGATGCTGTACAACGGCCAGTCCGCCGGCGAGTTTGCACTAAAATATTTGAGAGAGACATCTACGGCAACACGGAAACGAAGAAAAAGCTTGTCGGTAGTTGCTAGGCGTTCTGTCGCCAATAAAAAGGACAGCGGTGGTCGGAGAGGAAAGGACAACGCATTGAGTATGGATGGGTGCACGTCCAGAAGAGCTCCCGGCTTGAACGTCCTCGAGTTTTGAATCAAACGTTTTTTGTGTTCAGCGCGCTCATCAGCTCGGTATTCTGCATGATCTCTTGCAGGATGATCATCGGGTCCTGTGCCTGGCTCTCGGTGAGCTCCCCGTTCTCAACTTTTTTCATGCAACCGTTTGCTAACTGCTCTATTGAGCTGAGAAGTTCTCCGGACATGGACAAAATAGTTGTTCCAGTAAGGAAAAGTTGCTGGATGTAGTTCCAGATGGCTTCTCTGTTGTCCTCTTCGAGGTCTTTCCATTCCTTCGCCATGTCGAAGTCCCCTCCGGTTATCATGGGAATCTCACACACGTCAAACAGGCTGGGGTCTTTGGCCATGATGAGGTCCGCGTGTGGTTGAAACACATTCACAAACGTTTCCATCGGTACTGTGCTACAGTCGTCGGTGGAAATCACTCCATCGAGCATGACCTTGGCATCCATGATGATGGTGTACTCGTCGAAAGTGTCCGCGAGATCACGGAAGAACTCGGACAGCATGGAGTTGAAGGCTTTGTATGTCGTCATGTTCTCAAGACTCTCTTACAACCAGGCTTTGAAAATAAATATGAGTGATGGTACGAAGGCTAGATTTCCGGAAGGATGTCCTTGGAAACGTGCCTCACTCCGTTGATTATCTCCTCGAATGTGAGGTGAATTTGCATCATGGACTTTTCCACATCCGAACTCTCCGGGTAGTTCTTAGCTCTACACGAGATCAAAAGAGCGTTCATGCTCTTGGTCGCCATGATGGAATAGTTCGTGATCTTCCTGGAATCCATCATAGACACACTGTCTTCTCCCCTGTCTACAAAACGCTTGTACAGGTAGACGACGCTCTGTATGTGTCTGCACGCATCATTGAACGCTTCCATGTCGCACTCCCTCGCGCTGTGTAGCGCGAGGAGGTCCTTGTAAATGTCAAAAGACTCGAGCACGTCAATGTCGGCAAACTTCTTGGTTGTTCCCCGCCGATCTTTCCAGTAGACCACATCGATAGTAGAGAGGCCGTCCGCAAATACATTTCCTACCGCCCCGAGCACGAAGCCTCCCAGAATCCCGAACGCAGCTCCTCGGGCTCCTCCGCCGAAAGCTTTCGATGCCGCGGTCTTGAACATTCTCTGCTCGTATACTTGAGCGTAGCAAAATGTTTGCCGGTATGCGAACGCAAGATAAAAATTACAAGTTTACAAATCTTGGTCGTCTGCAGACGAGTAGCCATCAGACGCGTCGACAGTGAGCGTTTCCCACTTGAGTACTTCGTCGACGTCATCTTCTTCTTGTTCGCCATCTGCTTCGTCTACCAGAGTGTCGCTGGTGTAGTCGCTTTCTTCCTCGGACGAGCTCGAGTCCGAAGAAGTGGATTGGTAGGAGCTGTCATCAGAATCGGATTGGGTGAACTCGCTTGAGCACTCGCTTGAGCACTCGCTTTGTTCCGAGTCCGTCGTTTGATGGTTGTCACTACCCACTTCGGTCTGTGCCTCCTCTATACACCCCCAGTCGCCATCTTCTTCTCCGCTAAAATCGTCTTCCATCACTTGGTCGGAATCTGGTTCGTAACGAATAGGTGGCTTGACGGACCTACCCGATCTCGTCATTGTGCGTATTCTCTGTTCAAGTCCATCCGGTGGCGTGGCCATCTTGACACGACAGCTTGTTTGGCTTATCACCACAAAAAAAAGCCATGGAAGTCCGCGAAGTTTCTCTAGGATGAAATTTGAAGAGTGTAGAATATTTCCATCAAACATTCGGAATGGACGCCTGGTCCGAAAATAATCATTGCTTCCGAGTGTCAATACCGGACTGCACGATGCTGAAATGGCTCCGCGACAAAGACTTCATCAACAACAGTGACATGACGACGACACAAACTGTCATGACGGGAGGCGTCGTCAGTGTTCCTGACGAAAACTACGACGAGTTCCTGCAGCTGTATGCCGAGGAGGTCAGAAGCAAGAACAAAACTCTGTCTTTCTCGGAGCTGAGATCTGATCCTGTGTTCTGCATGTACTTTGACGTCGACATGCTGGGCACTGGCGTGCTTGGTGCGGCAGAGTCGTCCAGGATTTTCTCGGTCATTCAGTCTGTGATCAGAAGCTACTACACCGGAGACCAGAATGACGACCGTTTCCGATGTGTCGTGTGCGACACGAGTGTCAAGAAGGTACCGTCCGCGGACGGGGAAACGATGCTGACAAAGAACGGGTATCACGCTATATTTCCAAACCTCAGGATCAACCTTTCGCAAGCGCTTCAGCTCCGCTACAGCGTGGTGTATGAGCTTGAGAAGACGCTGGGACCGCGGACGGGTAGCCTGAACCCATGGTCGGATGTCATAGACAAAGCTCCCTACACCGGCGGCCTGAAGATGTGCGGGTCGTTCAAGCGTGTCAAGTGCACTGACTGCAAGAAGACAGACCCCACGTTCAAAGACAAGAAGAAGGCGTTGCTTTCTGAGATGGCAAAATTGCGTAAGAAAATCTATCCCCGCCAGCCCGGTTTCGACTACACCGACCTCTCGGACATCCACTCGGATGAGTTCAAGGATGCGGTCTTTGGAGACAAGTACGGCAAGTACCTGGACCTTACCGGCTTCAACTCGTGCAAGATGTGCCTTAACACCGGCAAGGTCATGGAAAAACGCACGTATATGCCGTGCCTCGTGTTAGACGGTGGCGGCGACGTGGACGTTTCTCTCCTTGACGTCTTGCGCGAAGACTATTTCGAGGTGATGAAGTACACGAGCATACGGTGCCAGGAAGGCGAAAAGGAGACGAGTGGGTTCACAATTCCCAAGGGTGTCCCGAGGGCCCCGACGGAGGAGAACGGTGCCAACATGCGGACCTTCTCGAGCAAGAGCTTGACGCATCTTGGCAGCGACATGCACGCCTTCACCGTAAACAACGACATTTACCTGAGCGACGCTCAGACGATGCGCTTGTGGAAGGGACCTCGTGTTGAGGATGCGCGAAGACTGTCGGTGATTGAAACGTTTTTGAGAAATAACGTGTGCAGCGCCTACTCTTCCGTGCAAATCAGGAAAGTTTCCGAGAGCACGATTAAGAAGGTTGCGCAGAAACCAAACGGTGGGAGCAAGATGATGAATGCTCTCATTAGAGCCCATGCTGGCACGACACCCCCGTCGCCGGACGTCGCTTTGAGCAACCGTTACCTGGTGAACGTCGCGGGCGTCGGGTCGACATTCTGCATGAACAAGGGTTCCGAACACGCTTCAAATTCGGTGTACTTCATCATCACGGCCACGCAATGCTTCCAGAGATGCTTTTCTAAAAAGCCCGAGATTAGGCGCGGGGGGACGACTTGCGCCGAGTACAGGTCGTATGGATTTGCGGTGCCGCCGTCTGTGTCGGCCGTCTTGTTTCCGGGTGAAGCCGTAAAGACCCCGGCCATCGCCTCTCTGGCCATGTGTCCAGACCCCAAGAACAGGGGTAAGAAGAAGCGCCGGCGAATGGAGTGGGGGAATAAGAAACTGTAGTTATATGTTTTCAAGATTGTTTTTTTTAATTGTTTGGTATTATATGACTACGATATGTTTGAACCGAATCTCGCCATCGACGTGAGTCTCCTGGCCATTATTCTTGGTCTGTATGCGACGAAAAATGACAGAAACCTCATTCTTGTTTTGATTTGCGCTCTCTTCGCGCACGTCTTGTTGACCAACGACAAAGATGACTCGAACGCTGGTGTTCTCCAGAACGCAAGCACCGCGGCCGTCACGAATGATGGTCTGGGTGCCGCCGTGACAGACGTCGTCGCCACAGCCGTAACACCCACCACCGTTGCCAAAAACGAAAGTCCTGTAGCCCCCGACGGCTTCAAGAGCACGGTGTCGTCCGGAGTTTTTTATCGCCAGCTGAGTTCCCCTCAAACGAATCTCACATCGACGGTATTCCCATCCACCTCGAAGGAGGCGAATGGGAAGCTGGCATCGGCGAGAGATTCCTTCTTCAAATCGCTCGTTTCCTAACAAAAAATCTAAACCTAGTGTAATAAGACTTTCGATTCAAATGCCGTCGGCGGTGCACGAGATTAACACGGCTTTCAACCAGCGCCTCAAACCTGTGGCCGGTCTCGGTGCTGCTAGACCCGTGAACCCGTTCGCCTCCACGGGGGTGCAGACTTCGCGAACGAAGCGCGACGAGATGAAGGTCAGGTCGTCCGTCACGCTGCCCGGAACTCTGGGTTCTCAATACAAGGGGAGAGTATTCGACACCAAAAACGACGACTCTGTGCGTTTGGATACATACACGATTGCCGAGAATCCGAAAAGGAACATCACAATGCACTCGACATCGCGACTAGAAGTCGAACACACGAGAGAACGATAGTCTTCACGTTTTGTCTTTCCCAATTATTTTGATTGCGAGTTAGCAACACGACCAGACACCAATGTGGTCTTCCAAAGAAGTGCTCTTCATTTCGATCGCCACAGGGTTCGTCTTCTGTTTCGCGACAATATATGCGCAGAATGCAATGTCAAGATACGTGAATCACTGCGTCGCCGAGAAAACGGCAGCAAACCCTTTGATCGGCATGGGGCTGGTGTCGAAGCCATCGCAACAGCAGCGCGTACAGCAAAACGTACTAGTCAGCGATCATGCAAGCGTCGCTGACATCCACAGCCCGCCCCCAGGTTCGGGGGCCCGGTGGACCCCCTTGTCTACGTGAGAACAAGGCTTTTTGCCTGATTTCTTTTGTCGTTAGGCTTATGGTGCCGCACCGATCGACTCCTTCCTTCTTCCAGGAGCTTAGCGTTGAAAATATGGTCTTTGAGCTTGGATATTTCCACACTGTGCTTATCGCAGTCCACGTTGTTATTGACGATGTCCACGTTGTTGTTGAGGACGGACTTGCGCAGCGCGGCTACATCGGTCTCTAACCCTCCAAGCCTCTGTTTGATGGACCGGACGCTTTCCGCCAACTCAAGCAAAAGACTGTGCGAGATCTCGTTTCCCATTTCGGTGTGAATGGATACCAATATAATAAAAAACTACATATATTCCAAAGGTAATAAGTTACCAAAACCATGACTATCGCGATTTATTTTATTTACTCACTGTAGTATCAACGCGCCTACCGCCGCTCACCAATGTCTCTACAGTTTGAATTAAAGTCTGCGTTTTCGGTGAAAATATCGTGGGACTCCTTCAATGAGTCGGACACGTACACGGTGCAGTGGACGCAGTCATCAGTGCAAAAGAAGACAACGGTTTCTTCATCCGCCATCGCTCTGGTCAACCTTGAGCCGGACACATCGTACGACGTGCGCGTTACATCGGCATCATCCAGCACCGTTCTCTCGGATGGCTTCCAGACATGGTCTCTCGAAGATCCTCACCTTGAAAACCTCTACACAAGCGTACGGTTGGAGGACGGCACATACGATGCCACCCAGTTCGACAAGAGCGTGCACGACGTGTTCCTCAAATACTTTAACAATATTGTTCAAAACGGCGACACCATCTACGCATCCGTCATTCTGAAAGGGGCGCCCAAAAACATCGAGACGAGAGCCGTGACCGAAGGCTCTACAACCGACGTCGCGGGTGACCAGAATCTGTTCCTCCCCTTCAGCAAGGACTCCGGTAGCGCCCAAATCGTCACTCTGAGCAACTCGGTCCCGATCGAAGATGTCGAGGCAACTTCTGTATCTGATGTCGCAGTGGCACAGGACCTGGGTGGTGCTGTAGAGCTCCTCTACACACCAGAAAGTGACACATTCACCATTGGGAACAACGTGTATGGCGTCGGAGACAAGTTCAATCTCTTCGGGAAGATGGTGACGGTGGCAGACGGTTCGATCGTACTTGTATTCGAGGACACCGTGGCCAAGGTTTACCCCTTCACGACCACCACGGCTTCCAACGTTGTTGGCACACTCGGTTCTCAGTTTGCCAAGAACTATACCTGCAACGTGATGAATGTCGTCGGATCGAAGACGACGGGAGCATCTGGCGAGACATACTCTTCATCATGGGTTTACGATACGGCAGCGGACACCATCGCCGAAGCTACTCGCATCGTACACACAATCGACGAGGATAGCGCGAACGGCACTATCTCCATCGGCGTCCGGCACACCGACGCCAACTCAAACACTTTCATCGAGCCGGTCGTCGCATGCGCGTCGGGATCGACGACCATCAGCGCACAAGACGATTCGGACAACACCGTCTCCACCACGATCGACCCAACTGGAATTTCGTTCGACACGGATGACGCATGCATCTACTTTGGAGCCGCGCAAAAGTTCCGCATCATTTTCCGTGACGGCACGCCTTCCACCCTGGCGATCGAATCGTACGATGCCGACTCCGGCACGTACATGACTCGGTCGGAGTTCAGCGACTCTAGCTAAATCGCAGATTAAATATATGCTGAAAAGCAATAATAGATATGATTCAATTTGTCCTGGCCGTGGTTGGCTACCTGCTGCTCGTGCGTGCTTTCTTTGATAGAGGCGTTGCTCCGGTCGGCAAGCGCCTACAGAAGAACATCATTCCTCTTCCGAAGAATTCCATAGACGCAGTTTGTTTGTTTGCATCGATGCTGTACCCGATGATGGCCTTCGTGCAAGCCCGAAAGTCAGACTGGAGCCTGGGCGAGTCGAAGGGCGCCATGGCGGTAGTTGCGGGCGTTTGCCTGGGGATGGTTTCAAGCGTCGAAGAGGGATAGTCCTGGAACTGTGCTGTGTTAGACAGGGAAAATAAACTCTGATTACGCACGCTTCCCGGCTTTTTTTATCTTGTACCTTGAATATACCGCAAATTAAACCAATGACTCTCTCTTCAAACGTCGGTTCGCGGGCGCAGGTAATGCACGGCACTGCAAAGAAAACATCCGGTGGTCTGGAGAAGGCGGATCTGGCGTACAATAAGAGCGGTTCCATTGTTTCAAAAAAGAAGTCCGTCGAAGCCAAGAAATCTGAGAACGGCCTCCTGAAGCTATGGCGCAGAGCGATGCAAGAAGTGTCCTCGTCTCCAATGTACAAAGACAAGTTCGTCAAGCCCAAGCGAGGCTCGGTAGTACACGCGAAAGTTTTCGCGGAGTACGAGCGTCTCGTTCGCGAAAAATATGGTGCAACACACGATGTCCAAAAGTTGACCGTCGACGGGATCACCAAGATGGTGATCGACGAGAGCTGAATAAAAATTGAATTTAAAACAACCCCATTTTTCTCCGTGATCTGTTCACAAGACCCTCGGCCTCGGCCACCGCTACTCCGGCAACTGATGCCAGTACTTTCTGCGGAACGGTGTCCGAAATGCGCCACACAACTCTGTCGTCCGTGATGAACAGGGAGTCGTGTAACTCGTGCTCCATGACAACCGACGCACCCACTCGAGCCAGCAAACTATGCAAGCGAAATACATCTAGACACTTTTCGGTGTGAACTCGAAACACGCTGAAGTCATGGGCCAACGCGGTGATATGTGTTGTCGCCATCCCCGATGCTTTGATGACAGCACGGAGTGTGGCCGCCTCGTCATCACCATTCCCGTTGTCGCCGTCGGCACCAACATGAACAGAGCATGTCTTCACCACGTCGATGTGATCGGACCCTAAAAGAGTAATGGTCTTGTTGGCCGTCTTGTGAAAGACCATGATGGCCCTACGCTCATCGATAAACTTCACGCCTTCCACTTTGGTTTTGATGTCCTTCCACGCCAACCTGTTGGAAAGCCGAATGGTCTTGCACGTCTTGACCAGGGAAACCATTTTGCTGGGTGCCGCGGAGTATGTGATGAGGTGTGGCGATGTGCGGGTCTGGCACGCAAATGATTGCATACACATAAAAATTATATTTCCAATATATTACAAACCCAGATGTCGATTCCCATCCCGGCTGCCCAGAAGCCCATCCAGCTTTATCTGTGGTCAAAATGTGGCTTCTGCACAAAGCAGATACGCGTGCTCTCGTCAATGGACGGTGAGATGCAGGACTGGTTCAATCGTAACGTCGCGGTGACCACGGTGGATGATCCCAAGAGATATCCAATGGTTAGAGGATATCCGTTTTGGGTGCTGAGCGGGAGGCCATCGCCCGGCTTCAAGACTATGGGAGAAATCGTGTCCATGAGACATATCGCTCCGTGATCGTCCTGAGAACAAGTTAAAATATTTGCGTATTCTTAGAGTTGATGAAGTACGAATATACTTGGAACCATCTCCTTCTACTTGCAAAGGTGTGTGGAAAAACCGACGACGACGACAGCGTGACGGCCTCATGGGTGCAAATCACCGAGGAACACAACAAGCAGACTTTCCCGTTCACCCTCTGGCCTCTGACGTACAGAACGTGCGAAGTGACTACTTCTCCCGCGATGTGCACACCAGTTCAGGTTCGAACAACGGACTACACTGTCAAGGTGTTCAAGGCCAACGAAGTCGTCATTGTCTGCATCCAAGACAGTTTCCAAGACAGTTCGCGTGGTAGCGTGTGCAGTCACCCATGTCTTGCAGAATTTGATGGTGATGGTCATACAGGGTCGGGATCCGATTTCTTGTCGAGCGATGCTGAAAATCACGTCGACAAGCACTCTCTGTCCAAAACCGAGCCCCTTCTTTCGTGCCACGTGGCCCATTGCTACAACCGGATGAAAGCAAAAGTGAATGATGTAATCTACGACATACAGGACAACGTTGAGTGTGTTATATGCACAGGTTACGGTGAAGCTGCCGCGATGGCTTCTTGTGTGGCATGTGACATGAGCCGGTCGTATGAGGCGGAGAAAGAGTTCCTGGGTCTAGAAACAACACGAGTGCTTGTTGACTTTGTAGGGTTTTCAGACGGTATCGTCGCATCTCCCACGTACTGGAAGCAAAACAGCGTGTCCATCGATAAGTATATACTGGTCGTATTCGAAGGCCAGGCATCAGCGACAACTTCAGTGGCTAACCTCGTTGCGAACCCACATTCCTTGCGCGTGACTATCGATGCATTTCCAGCGAATCCCCCCGCCATGTCTCGGTCGATGTCCGTGTTGGCCAAACTCAGGGATAAAACCAAGAGGGAAAGAAAAACGAAACAGCCAAAGCAGTTAGCGCGACGTATATCCGAATATATTATAGCATTGAACAACAAAGTAAATATACAAGCGACATCGAATTGAATCAAAAATTGTACCCATTTTGAAAATAAAAATGTTGCGCTAGCTCTAACCAACTTCGGTGTTTGCAGCATCAATATCATGTCGACCGATATCATTGACCTGGCTCAGTATGGTAACGTGAGGGGTCGTGACGTGTTCTCTCGCAATCTTTTTCAGTCCGTGAAGGGTGACGGGTTGACAGCAGCCTCACTGACCCAGAGCTTTTACGGCATCCCGTCGGCCAGCGACACCGAATCCTCTCTCGCAACGGTAAAGGTGAGCGAGGGTGTCGCCGACGACACCATCGGAACATACACCGTTTGTGTGAACGACGGGACGGCCCTTACCGACATCCTCGAATTGAGCAATGCTTCCTCCAAAATTACGTCTTCCGCCATCACTCTCGACACTCCCCTCGTACAAACCGACGGCACAATCGAGGCCCCCAAAGTTGTGCAGCATGCCGACGCCAAAAGCGCAGAAGTTGAGATTGTAGGTGGAGACGGCGCGACGCCTTTGATCAACTTTAACATCGGCGACACGGCTGCTGGTGTACCTACGGTATTGTCCGTGTCCGAGACTAGCGCGGACGTGACCGGAGTTTTGAACGTCAATGGAACGGATATCCTGCAAACCATCACCAACGGAAACGCATGGGAAATCGACGGGACGACCGTCCAATTGAAATCCGAATATCCCCTTGTCAATGTCAACGCTCTCAACGCCTACACGACTTCCGTGGCCCTGGACGTGAACGGATCCATCGTCAACCGAGGAAACGACTTCTTCATGTACGACTCGACGGGGCTCGCAAACCTCAGCACCGTGTCTTTCGACAACGCATCAAACTCCTTGGCCCTCCGAACATCTCTGGCGGACCAGGGTGGTGTCTCGGACTCCATGGTGTTTCAGACGACAAGTGGTGTCAACAACACCTACCTCGACCGTCTCAAGTTCGAGGGTGGCCTCGGAGACCAGAGCGCAACCTTCAGCAACGTCAACGTTGGCATCGGTGCAGCTCCTTCTGGGACGCACCGCTTCGAGGTCTCGGGAACGTCTCTCTTGACCGGTGATGCCACCGTGGTGGGCAACGTCGACGTTTCCGGAAACGATTTGGTGAACGTGTCGGACATCACCTCGAGCAACGCTCTGGCCGAGCAGGCCACCATCGCTCTCACGTCAAGCGCGACTGACCCACAGATCGACTTTGTCCTCGGAGACCTGGCCGGAACACCGACGACGGCCATGACGATCACGGAGTCCGCCGCTACCGTCAACGTCGCGACGACCGTGACGGACAACCTGACGGTCACCGGAGACTTCACCGTCAACGGAACCACGACCACCGTCAATACCACCGAGGTACGCGTCGAGGACAAGGAGATCGACCTCGCCTACAACGCCACGACGCACACCGAGCTCGACCAGGGTGGCTTTACGCTCGGTACAGACGTCACCGGCATCGTCGTGCCGTCGGTGCTGTACAACCTGGCAGACACTCGCTGGGACTCTTCCATCACGATGAATGTGCCATCGACGAACAAGTTCACCGTAGGTGGGAACGTCACCGAACTGAGCTCAACCGGTCTCGATGTCAACAGCGATGACGGTGTCATCCACCTTGGCGCCACGAAGCAGTGGCGAATCCGGATGGAAAACGACGGCACGAACGACCACCTGTACTTTGAGCACGACGATGATGGAACTCAGACCACATGGCAGACAAAGATGGATATCATGCAGTAGAGTTTCTTAGACATTGCAACGAGGTTCGTTGTAGGTAGATTTTTCGAAATAAAAAATATTATCCAATAAATAACTACACCGCTTCAAAGCTCTCATCATGTTTTCTGCAAGGAAGAATTCTCGTGGTCGCTCGTCCAGGATGGACGTTCGCGCCGTGCGCGCTCATCGCCAACAGCAAGAAGATAAAAAGTCGTCCGCTGCTCCATTTCCCTCATCTACCGCGAAACCTAAAACTCCAATCGCCTCGACACCCACCGTCCCGACAACCAACGTGCGTGAAATCTTGAAGAAGACGTCGGCCGCAAAGGCGACGAAAAGACCCCTGGTCCGTAACGCAGCGGTACAACAAGCCCCTGTACAGATCAGTAAGAGCGAGCTGAAGAGCATTATCGGTGGAACCACTTCTACAGACCCCGCGGGACCCGCTGGCGCAGACGGCCTCCCGGGTCCCCCAGGTCCCGCTGGTCCCGCTGGTCCCGCTGGTCCCGCTGGTCCCGCTGGTCCCGCTGGTCCTGTTGGTCCCGTCGGTCCCGCTGGTGGCACCGGCTCTTCCAATGGAGCCGGTTCTCAGGGCCCGAAGGGGCCGCCAGGTCCCGCCGGCGCCCAAGGTCTGAAGGGTGCGGTGGGTGCACGCGGCCTCCCTGGGGCCGCTGGACCTGCCGGTGCGACAGGAGCACGTGGCCCTGCTGGAGCCGAGGGGCCCAAAGGACCGAAAGGAAAAGACGGCATTTCCGTGAAGGGTGTTCCTGGTCCAGCCGGTCCTCTTGGCGTCAAAGGTATCCAGGGGCCAGTTGGTCCCAGGGGACTCGCTGGACCCGCTGGCGTCGATGGCAAGACGGGTCCGAAGGGTGCCAAGGGTGCAGACGGCTCGACTGGTCCCGCTGGTCCCGCTGGTCCCGCTGGTCCCGCTGGTCCCGCTGGTCCCGCTAGTTCTAGTTTGGACCTTTCGTCGTTTGGAGTGACGTCCGTCTCCTACATTGGTGCAGGAAAGTGGTCTGTGCAAACTGAAGACGGGAAATTCATCGCGTCGTTCAAGAAAGATAACTCCAAGAAATGATTTATCTTTCAAGATGAACAATAGCTGTCAATCATTGCGTGATTATTCCAAAAATAAAATGTTGCGTGAGCTTAATTGATATATACCGAAAACCAAAATGTCACACAATGCAATCGGAGCCATGGGTGCCATGGCTACGCCATTTGTACCGGGAACGGGTCAATTCGTCAACGGTGAATACAAAGCCGGCTCGGGCTTCGATTTTGATACGAGAACAATGAACACTCAACACGCACTTAATGCCGCGGTTGCTATGGGCGGCGGGACCCTCCCGCCTGGTATGGGCATGATGGCGGGCATCCTCCCCGCTGCCCTCAAGATCCAAGAGCACAAGGACATGCAGAAGGTCGCCGAGAGGTACTACGAAAAGTACATCAAGGACTTCAACCGGAAGTATGGGTTCAGTCCAGAACAGATCAACGCATTGGTCGAGGAGTTTAATGATGTCACCAACGAGATCAAGAGACTAATCCCTGATGACAAGATGAGAGAGATGTACGCAAAGTACATCGAATCGTACCCCACCATGTACCTGAGCATGATTCCCGCCGAGGCTCTCCAGACGAAACTCGCGGTGAAGTGTGTATCGGACAACAAAGCTCTCCGTGAAAAGATCGAGAGCATGTCATCGGCCGTGTCGTCTCTTGTAAGGAACCTGACCGATCTACAGATCTCGGCCGGAATCCCTCCGATTGTCAACCTCATGTTCGAGAGCATGCCGGACCCGCTGACGGCGATGACGGACCCCATGTACCAGAAGTACAACGACGCTATCGTGACGTACCACAAGCTTCTCCAGGACGAACAACCCCATACCAACGGGTTCGCTCGTGTAGATACCAACGCTGCAATCCCAGCCGGCTGGAGCAACACGGAATTCCTCCGACAGGAACCCGTCAACTATCTCGAGAAGTTGGCAGACCACATTAGCACGACGGGAACTGCTCCGGGTTCTTATGCTATTTTGGATAATGCGCGTTCTCCTGTCATGAAGTCTGACGGGATTACACCTTTGGAGGTTTCTCCTGAGGAAGTCAAGGACCTCGCGACAGTTCTGAAAAACATGCAGACTCAGTCGGGATGCCAGCCCTTCGGCGAAGAATGGAACCACACCGGTCCCACGCCGCCGATGAACCCCGCCATGTGTCTCGGCAACGAACACAAATTCCAGCCCGGTAACCCCCGCCACAACGTCGGGCGCACCAACCTGTACATGGCCAAGCGCGACCCTAACGGGAACGCGCAGTGGGTGCAGACCGGGCAGGTCCCGGCTCTGTCGAACGGAGGAGGCCCGCAGATGGTTCAACACCAGCCGCAACCCATGCAACAGCCTGACCCGTGGGCAGGTCAGAACCACATGCCCGGTGTTGACCCGAGACCGCTTCAACAGCCCGGCTACCAGATGCCGATGCCTCCGGTGCAAGCAGGGCAGTTCAACCAACCATTCACTGGATCGGGACCAAAGCCCCGCAAACCCACGACTCGTAAATCCTCCAAGGGCGCCAAGGGCGCCAAGGGATCCAAGGGCTCCAAGGGCTCCAAGGGCTCCAGGAGCTCCAGTGGCGGCAGGGCTCAGTGAAGAGGATCATCCAGTCGGTTGAGGCCCGGCGCTCTTCGGGTACTTCGTCTTTGCCGTCGCCTTGTTTGACGGCACAGAGACTCGTTTAATTTTGATTTTCTCAGTCACCGGTCTCTTGTCCTCAACGTGCTTCATGAAACGCGCGGCCTGATCGGCGCCGAACAGCTCGGTGGCAGACTCTTCGATCAAGGTTTTGTTCATGGGAGCACTGCTCTTGGTACTGTAAATCTTGATTGTGCCGGAAGGCGAAATAGTTTCGGGGATACCGTTTTCGTGCATGTGACGAGCAATTCTCCCTTCGAGCGACGATCTGCTCGACTTCAAGTCTTTGATTTCTTCCGAGGCACCACGCAGCTCGTCGTCAATCTTGAAGAAGACGTCGACGTGTCCAGCGAATTCGTCCTCCCCGTGGTTGCGACCGCCGGAATCCATGTTTAGTTTTGTCGTTCGTGTTACAAGAAAGCAACAAAATAATTACGTCGATTTAATCGCGTTTAATCTCTTTTTTTTTGTATCGCTACATGTAACAACAAAGGAACAATGCTGAGCCTTTTGACCGAAAACAAGCTCGCCAGTATCGGTGCTGCCGCGATGGTCACGGGTGTCGTGCTTCTACTCTCCGCCTCGGCCGTCGACACCGAAGCAACCGAAAGTGACGACGGAAGCACTGAACAGCTGGCCAACGCCAACAAGAAGAAAACGCTGCTGGCGCTGGGTGGATCGATTTTGTCTCTAGGCGTCCTCGCTCAGGTGTACGACCAGTACACTCGCTACACGTCTCCGGGTAGCTCCTTCTCGTCGTCGCAATACCGCTCGTCGTCAGAAATGTCCCCGCAAGAGCTCTCTAGATTCCAGGACCGTGTGTCCGCGGCTGCGGCGAAGCTGCGACGAAGCATGGCACAGACATCCAACCAGAGCGTGAGAAGCAGTGGATTGGAAGAAGAGTCTGCCGCCGAACTCGCCGCTCGCGCCAGCGCCCAGATTAGTTCATTCATTCAGAATTACTCGTAAAAATAAGAGATTTTTTAATGTTTTTCCCAATTATTACGTTCGCAGACCATGGAGGCGAACGCACCCCTGCGACAGACACCACCACCACCACCACCGCCGCCGCCGCCACTACCACCAGTGAAACCACAGGGTGTCACATTCAGACACTCGGACGACACGTGGTACTCGGAAAACGAAGACGATCTGCTCGATATTTGGCACACTTTGCAAGACATCATCAAGAGTAGAGGAATTGTTATGTTGGATAAATGCAGGTTTAATCATTTTTGTGCGTTCGTGGTATCGATGACAACAACACCCCGGGATAATTGTATCTAAACACTCCTAACTCGTTTCGTGCCGGTGATCAGACGAGATGATCCTTCCGTCTCTACGGAGTCTTCCGACAACGACATTGCCTTGACCATGGTCGCAAGATCATCCACGATCGAATCATCTGGCTCGTCCTTTCCGATCTCTTCAACCTTTTGTTCCACAGGTTTGTCGATTGCAGTAATCTTTCGCTCCTCCTCGGCAGCGACAGAAGGTGTGGCGGGTACTTTCAACACATCGACACTGACGAGAGGACTGCGTTCGTTCTTGGATTCCGACGCAACCAGTGACCCCTCCTCTGCACGAGCCCCTCCGTTGTCAGTCGCCTCGATATCATCATCTTGGAGAAGTTCCGCCTGAAACTGCGGCCGGTCCACTGCTTGAGTTTGAATGATGCACTCTCCTTGCACCTCGTGCGGTGTTTCAATGCTGAAGCCACGTTCTGATCCTTCCGGTGTGTCAATGGTCGCATCGCGAGAGTTGTCGGTGTCTTCTAGCATGTCACCAATGACCTGTGTCGTGATGACCTGCACGTCTCTCTCGTTGATTGCCATGTGACTGTTCTCTTCGAGAGTTTTCACAAGACGAGTAAGTTCGTTGATTCTCTTGATTGCGTAGAGAAGGACGATACCGACTCCGCCAGCGGCAGAGAGGACAATAAACATACTCGTCCACGTCCACCCAGTTCCCGATCTCACGGCACCTGCTCCTGCGACAACGGAAGCCGCGATCATGGATGCCGTGTCCACGGTCTGTCCACCGAGGTCGGTGTCGTCGTATATACCTCCTTCTCCTTCTCCTCCTTCTTCTTCTCCTTCGTCATCAGTGTCTTCTTCTTGTTCGTACACGTGTTCCACACCACATTCCTCCTCGTCGCACTCACCGATATCGCTCTCTCTCGAGCTACAGGAATCGTCGTCGCTGGATGATTCGTCGTCGCTATCACAGTCAGACTCGGAATCGTACACGGAGGACTCGGAGGACTCGGAGAACTCGGAGGACTCGGAGGACTCAGAGGACTCGCAAGACTCGGGAGACTCCGGAAACTCTGGGAAATCGCACTCTGTCTCGGATTCGTAGAGATCTTCCGTCTCGGACCTAAACGAAGAACAGTGATCAGGCACTGGTCCAGGTTCGCAGATATCTTCGGTCTCAGACTCGGACGAGGAATCGTGAACAGGAATTGGTCGAGACTCAGGCGGGGCCGCAACCCCGGAATTGTCCACCAGCTCTCCTCCAGACGCTCTTTCGACCGCAGTTTTCTTGCCAAATGTTTGTGAGTCATCTCCTCCCAAAAGAACGGACGAAAAGTCTGGCATCGGGACGTCGTGGCGAGTCATGAGAAGGAAGAACTCGAGTTGTGACTTGCCAATATTTTTAGTTTTGACGCAGAAACGCGCTGCTGTTTTATCCACGAGATTGCATCAGCCTTGCCATAGCGTCGTCAACCGACCCGGAATACTTCTTCTCCGCATCTGCTTCAGATATAGAGACAGGGGGGGAGAAGGCCTTCGAGAGACCGCACCCTATGCCGTCGTTTTTCCCCCCTCCCTTCCCCGACACCATATCTTGGAACGAAGACGTCTGATCGAATGCACGAGGGGAGCATCCCTGGCTCTGATGGTGCTGAAGGCCAACAGACGTCGCAAAATCGAACGCGGTGTCCCCGCAGTACACGTCCTTGCCGACGACGATACTCGGCGTTCCTTTCAGCCACGTGGGAATGTTGACACCGCTCGCGACGTCTACCACGTTGCACGGCAGCCGGTGTACATCTCTGACCTCTTTCATCAGATCAACAGAGTGTCGGCACTCTGTCGAGTTGACATACATCGTGAACATCGGTTCGGGTATCAAAACAGGTTGTCTCTGCGAGTGTTGGCCACGCCTCTGCGTGTTGTTCGCTTCTCTTTCAGGAGCCCTTATGATCGGTGCCAACCTTACCGGCGCCGGGATGGGGTTGTTGGTACCAGGCGTCATCATCTTGTAAATTCATGTAATATTTTTTATGTCTCTCGTTCGACGCAGTCTCAATTTAATATCATCTGCTACTTTACGCAAACATGCACTCTTCCATAAAAAGGATACTTGATTACCCGAAAATCGCCCAGCGAACACCAGAGTGGTACGAGTATCGCAAGAAACGCGTCACCGCTTCCGAAGCGTCGACCATCATCGCACAGGGCAAAGGGTACGACCGCGTCTTCGAACAAAAGGTCGGTATCCGAGACACCAACATCAGCAGCGAGTACATGACAATCGGGACCGACAACGAAGAAGCCGTCGTCGCGCTCTACCGTGAAAAGTTTCCCGACGAGGAGGTCTTTCACGACTTGTCGATTATCCCTCACCAGACGCTCGACTTTGTTGCCGCGTCTCTGGATGCGTGCACAGCGAGCGGAATCAACGTGGAGATTAAAACAGTGTTTAAAGAAAAGTTTATTAAAGTTTCCAAGATGTACTACGACCAGGTCCAGTTGCAGATGGAAGTCGCCGACCTCGAAAAGACGCACCTGGTGCAACACTACATCCGGATGCCAGATCAGCCGATCGTCGTGCACGAGATCTTACGCCACCGTGATTGGTTTGAGAGAAATCGCGGGATTTTCAAAGGGTTTGTTGAAAAAGTAAGAGACTTCTTTCCGTTTGTCCACGCCGACGAGTTTGCAACGACGAGCGTTTGATCATCATATTTCAAAATGTTTCCCAGGTCTAAGTGTAATCGGACAGGCAATGTCGACCAAACTCTGCATCATCTCGCGCCGGGTAAAGATACCAAAAAAGTACATTTCGTTCGAAAAAGTATCGTCCGAGCTCGTACTGAAAGACACGAGACCCGCTGCGTACGCGTCGCGCGAACCCTTTGTATGCTACAGTGACGGTGGCGATGGCTTTATCGTCCCGAGGATGTACGGCGTCAACTTCATCCAGGCTGGAAACCTCCCGTGCGAGGATCGACAGAAGCCCGGTGAGTCCTTGCCCCATATCTCCTTCTCGGGGACTTTGCGCGAGTGCCAGGTCGAGCCGGTGGAGAAAACGATACGCGCCCTCGAAACAGCACATGGCGGTGTCATGAGTCTCTACTGCGGCTTCGGCAAGACGACGTGCTCACTCAAGGTGTCGTGCCACTTTAAGAAAAAAACAATTATCCTAGTCCACACCACCGCCCTGCTCGAACAGTGGAAGGAGAGAATCGAGCAGTTTGTGACGAACGCATCGGTCGGCGTTCTTCAAAGAGACAAGATCGACGTGACCGGACGGAGTCATGTAATCGCATTGATGCAAAGTGTGTCCAGGAGAAACTATCCCAGGGAGCTGCTGGATTCGTTCGGTCTCATGATCGTCGACGAAGCACACCACGTCTGTGCCACCCAACTCTCCCGGTGTGTCACCAAAGTCGGATGTAAGCTCCGCCTGGGTCTCTCGGCCACGCCGTTCCGCAAGGACGGTATGACACAGTTTTTGTTTGATTCCATCGGTCCGATCTGCGCGAGGGTGGATCGGGAGTACGAAGAGGTTTTCGTCGACGTTGTCTACGTTACCAGTGGTCCATCGGAAATGGTCTGCGTGAAACGAAAGGGCAGACTGTCACCGAACATCGCCAAAATGATCAACAACCTGTGCGATATGCACGATCCGGACGGAGAGTTTCGTACGGGGTTGGTGATCGAGACGATCGTCAACGCTCTCGCCGAAGATCGCCACATAATCGTGCTCAGTGACAGGAGGAATCATCTCAAAGTCATGGGATCGATGCTGGCAGAGACGGCCGGTGTCGAAGTGGGGTTCATGGTTGGTGGCACCAGGCCCGCAGACATAGAGGCCGCATCCGCGTGCAGAGTCATTATGGCGACCTACGCTTACTGCAGCGAGGGTCTAGATATCCCGTCTCTCGACACGTGCGTGTTCGCGACTCCTCGAAGCGACATCGTTCAGTGCTGTGGACGGATCCTGAGATACCATCCGTCCAAACAAATACCTCGCGTCATCGATTTCGTCGACAACTCCGTTGTCTTCCACGGCCAAGCGAGGAAGCGAGCGATGTATTACTCGAAACTGTGTGCTTTTATGAACTACCTTGATGAGGATTTGAAACCAACCACATCACTCGAAGAAAGGAAGCGTGGTGTGTCAGGCTTCGCGTTTCCTTTCGATTTTGCCTAAGTTGTTCAGGCTCGTGCTTGAACCAGGACGCTGGTCGCGTCATCATGCTGTTTGGAAATAAACTCCTTCATCTCGGCAATGTCGACATTCATGATGTGCTTTACCTGGTGTGGGGTGAGAAACTCGGAAACGATGTTCACGGCACACATGGCTTTGGAGCTATCGATAAAACTCTGAACGGGGTGCTGGTCTTGTGTGGACTGTATGCTTGCTCTCGCGGCCTCGCGGAGAAGCTCCGAGTACTTCAAAATGTGCTCTCTTGGTAGCTTCGAGCTCTCGTGTGCTCGCACAGACAGGTAGGACGTGACGCCAACAAACACCACGACGATCGTCGACAATTTCCAGTAGGCCATCGCGGAACGTTGGTTCATCCGATCCATCACGTGGGGCACGTTTGATTTGATTACAATTACCATAAACATTTAAATTCAATTTATTCACAGCGCGCGAAGCCTTGACGCCGCGGGCAACGAGTAAGGATTTTTCAAGAGTTTTTTCAGAGCCGAGGAAGCCCCCATTCTGTCGTTCAAGACCTCCCCGAGCTTGCGGGTTTTCGTGCTGTCCTTGCTCACTCCAGCGGCTTGTTTGTTGTCGCTGGAGAACCTCACGTGGTTGATCTTACCGGATCGCATGACGTTGACTGGTCCTTTTTCGTCTCCCTCCAAACCCTTGCGAGATATCATGCCATCGACATGAAGATTCGCGGCTCCCGTGCGATTTGTGCCGAGAAGTCCTGGAGCGACCAACACAGCGTCGCGCTCTGTCTTCTTGAAGATGTCCCCTCTTTGCTGCTTACTGCCCAATCTTTCTTGCGGAAGAGAAACGGAAGAGTGAACAGTCGATGTTGAAACCTTGTTGGAACCCCGGAGGATACCGGACCGCTCCATCTCGGACAAGTGTGTGTCGGTGTCCTCGTGGAGCGGCTCAAGGTTGCTAGCGTGCTTGGTGCCGGCGCCGCGGATGAAAGGTGTGCCGACCAATTCGGACACACTTTGTGTCGTGCGGAAGATAGAAGGCGAAGCGGTCGAATTTCCGACGGCGTGCGAAGTGGCAGCCCCGCGGGCGACGCGGGCCGCGTTCTCCGCGACAACCTCTTTTCTGTCCGCGGGAACACGGAAGGCACCGGCCTCGTTCTTGACCGGCAGAAGGCTCGGTCCACGCACCGCTGCGCCGGATTTTATTCCGCCTGTCTCGAGTGCAAGGCTTGTGCTCTTGTTCGTCGTCCATCCGGAGACGGGAGGTTTCCGGTCCTTGCGTAGCGCCGACACGTTCTGCGACATCTCTGGGATCATCATCTGCCTCGCCGTAACCTGCTGGTCGTGGTAGTCGGAGGCTTTAGCAATCTTGAAGTTTGGAACGACGCGCTGCTCGTACGTCGCGACAGGATCGTTGTTGAGAGGCACATGAACCTTCGTGTCCCGTGTTCCGGACGCCCCGGTCGCGAATCTCTCTCCTCCGGTGACAAGAGATGTGTGTAGCACTTCCAACTTTTCGTCGTGCGCGCCTCTGAACAAAACGGCGTCGGTCGATGCCGAGGCCTGCACCGGAGCCTTGCTGCTCTTCGCCAGGTGGTCGTCCATCCGGTAGCTTTCGAGGTGAGACCCGGTGATCTTGAAGGAAGGAACAGGAGCCGAGGACTGCGGAACACCTACCGCCACCGGTGGACCCACCGATTTGTGGTTCAGAGAAGACCGCTGCGTCACGGTTCTGTAGTCACCCTTCACGTGAGAACCGGACGCCCCGGAAAACGCTCCCCGTGGACCCCCGTCCGACTCGATCGTTGGCTGATCGTTCAAGAGGAACTTGTGGAATCTTCTGCCGGAGCCGATGTGGAATCCGATAGCGGATCCGTTGCCAGTAGATATCTGCTCGACAGGACGATCGAATTGTTTCTCGCTTGTGATGGGAACAGTGCTCGCCGCGAAGTCGGATTCCATTTGCTTCACGCGCGAGATCATGGTGCGTCCGAACAAGTCTTGAGGACCTGGTATCTCAGACACAATCTCTTCCTTTGGCTTGTAAGGAGCGTTTGCCATTCGCATCCAAGGTTTCTCGCTGACGGTCGGGTTGGGGTCCTGTGGATGGCTGTACTGCTCTCTGTATCGGGCTTCATCGTACCCGATATCGGCTATGTTGTCCGTCTTCAGAGTTCGAACGCCCAAAGGAATCGGTGCCGGGGATGACGCCGCGCATAGACGACGCACTGGCACGACTTCTGCGGAAACATCTCCGGATGTCTGTTGTTGCTGTCGTTGCTGTTGCTGTCGTTGCTGTTGCTGTTGTTGCTGTTGAATTACTTCTTCATTCAAGTCTACTTCGGAAGCGTTGACGGCGTCGATACCTTCGTCGCTGCCATCGCTGGCACCTCTGCCACCGCTGGCATCGCTGGCGCCGCTACCACCACTGGCATCGCTGGCATCGCTGGCATTGCTGGCATCGCTGGCATCGATGACGACCGTGTTGCCCCTCAGCCTCATGTACTGGTTAGCGACGAGGCCACATGCCGACAACACGAGAATTTCCATCTATCTCTCAGTGGATACAATCAACATTTTTTCTCAAGTCAAACTACAACATTTGCGACAGCCTAAGAATCTTCTTCTTGATCGCGGCGGCCGTCGGGGTGCCACGCTTCGTGGTCGTACGTCTTGTGGTCTTACGCTTCGTTGTCTTCCTCTTCTTCTTGGTGGATTTTTTGGTGGAAGACGTTTTCTTGCGCTTCGCCGTCACCGAACGAATCTGCTTGGCAGACGCCTTGACCTTACCGTCTTTGTTTTTCGTGTACTTGATGGAGAACGTGACAATTTTCTTCTTGCGGTACAGGTAGATTCTGGATGGTCGCGTGCGCTTCCTGAGAGCCACTCTCGCTGCCAGGTGCGCACCGGTTTTGGTGGTTGTACGTGATGTCCCCTGGCTCGAAACTTTCTTTTTCGGGTCTAGCGTCGACTTTCGAAGGACCGTGTACGAACGCGATACGCCGGCAGACTTCTTGTTCTTGGTCGCGGGGGCCATGTTTGTCAAATCGGTTTTACAGTATGTAAACATTATATTTCTCATTCCACACGATACATTCTACCACATGCGTTCTTCAAAGGATAAAGGATGGAGAAAGATTCGAAAATTTCCCGGAAAAAATCGTGCGATGAAATAAATGTTGGCACTGACAGTACAGACACGGACAAAGAGGGATGGAGAGACTAATTCGTGGTAGAGCAACCATTTCGCAACTTTTCTCCGTCCGTGAGATCAACGAACATGTTGCAGACATGAAGATGGGATCGTGGGTCTCCTCTCTTCTCCGGTCAGCATTGCAGAGAGAAGGGTTCATGGATAACGATTTTATGGGTGAGAGTGGTGACATTGTTTCCATCGCGGAGCTGGTTGAGGCGATGGCGTTTTACGCCACGACGATGGGATACTCACCCGCCGCGTGGGAGCCGACTCTATCCCCGACCTTGGAGAACTTTGAAAGAAGACCGGGTGTTTACAAAACATTGCTAAGGAAAGTGGACAACTGGGCTACGTTGAGTGGGAGCAAGAAGCTCTTGTCTGTCAAGAAACTCATCCGCATCAGGGTTAGCGACAAGATGAAGAAAGTGCGCGAAAAACCGAACGCCCTGGGAGTCTTTGATCACGCCGCCGACATGGCGACCATCCACGGAAATACCAACCCCAAGAGCACCATCAATAGCCTTCATCTTCTCGGCAAGTACCCCGATCAAGATCCTCGATTCTACATTCACATGGTGTACCGGTACTACATGAACGAGTACCACAATCAGCTCGCCACCGAAGACAAGGTGCTGCGGTTTCCCAGCTTCCAAAAAATCCTGGACACCACGAAACCGATCGATTGTATCGGAGCAATACCAGCAGAGTTCCGAACGTTTGTCAGAGGCATCAGAGGAAACTCCGTGTCCACTGTCACCACACCCGTCCCTTCAAAGACGAACGCGAACGAGGTGGTATACACGCACAACTTCGAGGCCACCGTGCCATGGGTTCCGGTCATGAGGGCCATGATTTACGACCTGTTCGTGAATCTCAACACCCGGTTCAGAGAAATCTATCCCAAGTACCTTGTCAGAGGCGAAGGTGGCTGTGAAAAGGGAAACGTTGCCGCCGTGGAGGCGCTCGCGCGATCGATAGAGATGGCAGATCTCGTGCAGACGCTCACAGGCGTTCAGTCCGTCTCTGTCTACACCAAGGACCTCCTGGACCGAATGCTGGCGGTCGACTCTCGTGCGGCAGACATCTTCCCCCGGTACAACAGCCACCCATTCGTAGGCGAAGGCGAACAGCTGCGCGAGCGTCTCGGGTTCTTGCACCAGGACTCCGTCAGAGGAGTGTTTCAGCGCATCGCATCCAAGTCGTCGTCCGATTTCTGCACCGACATCTACTCTGGGCTAAAAATCGAGTTCAAGACCATCGAAGTCTTCAAAGAATACTGCACCACCAAAACCTTCATGGTGTTCAAGAGGAGGGACGAGTGCGAGTGGAGACAGTTTATTTTGGACACAAGAAAGATATGTTGCATCTTGCATGCTTGGAGCCGGAAGAAAGACGTCGATGAGTTTGTGGAAGAATATGGGTGTGAAGATCGATACATGTGCCGCATTTTGGCAGAGCTTGAGTGATCACCATGGATTATTTTGTGAATGCCAAAACCAGGCAAAATCATTAATTTAATGTTGCCTACAGATATCAATTGTAAAAACTATTGGGTGTGGTTTCCATGTCATCCGCATATGCCACAGACCTATCGCAGTACCCAATTTCTATTTCAGGGGATCAAATCGTTCAAAACATCATACAAGTGGCCCAGTCAGACGGGATAGACGCCGTTTCTCTCGATCATGACTTTTACGGAATCAGTCAGTCTGGAAGAGTCTTTTCCTTGGCCTCCTTCCGGGTGGTTGAGAGCGGCCCGAACACAAACACGGGAACGTTGGAGTTGCATATTTTCAACTCGGACGGCGTCTCGGTGCCAATCCTAACGATCGGAGAGGACGGGACAACCATCGAGGGATCTCTCAATGTCAAGGGTGGCCACACATCGCTCGAAACCACCTCGGTCGTCGTGGAAGACAAAGACATGGTTTTGGCCAGTGGCGCCACGTCTGTCGATCACTTGGACAAGGGGGGTATCATCCTGGGGACGGATGAGTCGGGAGCAAAGGAAATGCTCTACGATCTCGGCGGCGACATGTGGAAATCCAACATCGGCATCAACGTCGACACCGATGCCGCCTTCACCGTCGGCGACGCGCAAACGATATTGGACGGCGCAGGACTTACGATCGGAGACGTTTCTCTCACGGACGGTAGCCTTCAACTTGCCCCAGATATCTCTCTGGGAACGGAGGGGCTGGAAATCGGCGACATTTCGGTCACACCGCTCGGCGGTCTTGTTATCGGAAGCTCCGATGGGTCGGATGTCGATACAACCGTCGTTCTCAACAAAACGGGACTGACGATAGGAGAGGAAATAAATCTTGGTGTAGATTCGGGATTGTCTATTGGTTCCGACGTTCTACTCGATGAACAGGGTCTGTACCTAAAAAACACAGAGGCAGCACTCTACCTGGGTCAAACAGGGTGGAAGATCGCGTACGACTCGTCATCACACCACTTACTTTTCGAATTCTACGACGCCAACTCCAGCTCGTATGTAACAAAGGCAGAGTTCAAAGCTTAGGCCAACGTGTCGAGCCCGGCGCCTTCTTTGCTGAGATTGATGAGAGAGTTCAGGAGTTTCTTCTTTTTGGAAGCTGATGTTCGCACCTTCCGGTATTCGGCCGCGTACTTGCCACGGTCTTCGGCGCTCACGGTGGTCATGAACTTGGTGAATATTTCAGCTTGTTCGTCGGCTAGAATTCGGTAGCGTGTGAGGGCCTTCCTCCCTTCCATTGCAATGTAGTCGTCGTCGTCCATCAACAGCTCGTACATCCCCTGAAGAAACTCTTCTTTCTTGTCGGGTGAGTTTTTGACAGACATCCATTCGAGGATGAGGCTCTCGCGTTCTGCCTTGGTCAGAGTTGTGAGCATACGCCCGAACATGTATTGCCGAACACCGGCATCCACGTCTGCGAGAGCTTGCCCGCCCTGATTCGTGATGAAAGCCTCGTCATCATCCAATGCGTCCATCATGTTCTGTAGAAACGTTTCGCGCTCAGCGACGTCATCCTTCTTCGCGACCCACTCGTCCATGTAGGCTCGACGCGTCGCTTGGTCGAACATTCCCATGAACTTGGCAAACTTCAGACGCTGGTCTTCCGGCGCGATGTTCATCGCCGTGAGAACGTCTGCGCCCTCTTCCCTTACGTCGATAGGGACTTCCACCGCTACCCCTGTCCCGTCCACGCCGGTGTCCTTTTTGACAATCGCCGACTCCTTGTTAGCCCCGAAGAAAGCTTTCGTGGTGCCCTCGTCGTCCACGAGACTCACGGCTTCCACCCCAAGCACCGTCGTCCTCTCGACATCTCCAAACATGTCCGCATCCTTGATGTAAACGCGCTCGCCGAGTGTCACGTGCGACATCGTCCTGATAAAATTGGTTTGGATTCCCTTTACTATAGACAAATATTATTTTTTTCATTTGATACCCAAATTGACAACCTCTTTTTTGTGAATATAATGTCTTCCATTATTATGCCAACGTCGCCACAACCATCGCGGATGACGGCGATCCAGGTCACCAAGAAAACAGTTCCGAGGTGTCACGTGTGCAAGGCGAGGCTCAAGATACACGAAGGAAAGCTGTGTTCGTGTTCCATGCTCCTTTGTATGAAGCACCGATACAAGGCCGACCATTTTTGTCCGGCTGGGAAAGTCGTACACCAAATGGATAAAGTCGAGCCTCGAAAGGTAGAACAGATATAATAACGTTTAGTGCGTCCAGACCGAATACAAAATAATGTTGCTGACATGCATCAGACCAGAATCCAATGTCCAACTACGCGTATCAACCCCAGCAGCAGATGCAGCAGATGCAGCACATGCAGCAGATGCAGCAGATGCAGCACATGCAGCAGCAGCGGCAGATGCAACAGCAGCGGCAGATGCACATGCAGATGCACATGCAACAACAGCAGCAACAGCGAATGCACCAGCCACACCAGCAGCTCCAGCAGCACCCGCAGCAGCAACACCAACAACACGTGCAGCAACAGCAGCAACAACAAATTCTTCAGGCGAGAAAGAAACAGGTGCGCGAGAAGCAACAGCAGAGACACGCTCAGAACTCAAAAGACGAAGACGACGACATCGACACAAACAGCGACGGCGACAGCGAAAGCGACAGCGATAGCAATGGTGACAGCGACGGTGACAGCGACGGTGACGGCCAAGACGAAATGTTTTCAACACCGAGCGAAATTTCGACAGACTTTGATTCGGCGTCGGACGCTAGTTCGACAACTACCGATAAACACTCCGTGAGGTTCGACATGCAATCCAAGTCGAAGTCAATTCCGAACGACTCGCCGGCGACCTGTTCAACGGTCAAGGATCAGTTCAGGGCCGACACCAAGGCCACCAAGGCCACCAAGGGGAAGTCCGACAAGGCCACCAAAGCCACCAAGGCCGACACCGCCAAAGCCGAAGCCAAGGCCGCAGCCAAGACGGCCAACAAGACGGCCAACAAGAACGCCGACGTCGACGCCAGGAACAACGCGGGTGCCGACGACATCACGAGAGAGATGGAAAAACTCGCCATGACAAACATCTCTCCCGCACACATCCCGTCGCCCGCTCTGTCTCCCGGAGAGTACATGTACAACGTCATTTCCGACGTTCTCGGGACCAACAACAAGAAGAACTTGCAGAGGATTCTGGCTAGAACCCCGTTGCCTATCGCCATCAAGTACCTGCACCATATCGCGCAGAAAGCTTTTGCCACCGGCAACAGAGACATCCACAAGGTCGTCGTGGACATCAACAAGAAGTACAACATTGTGTCCGACCTGTACCTAGATGCGTTCGCCAAGGGGGACAGCAAGTCCATCAGCAATGCCATGAACTACCTCGAAAAGACGGCACAAGCGTTCAGGACGGGTGCAGAGTTCAACACCGACGAGCTGCTCAAGTTTTTCACACCGGAGTTCATCGCCATGAACCTCATCCAGTCCGGCAACATTGCGGCGTACGACAAGGTCATGACCGAGTTCAAGAACGAAGAGATTCGCATCTCTAGAGGATTCCACGTCGCCAAGCCTCTTTTAGCGGCCTACTTTGGTGTCCCATCCTTCTTCTCGAACCAGAAGAGATACAGCTTCAACCGAGACATCATCGTCCTCGCCATCTGCGGAGGCAGCACGGAAACGCTCGACTACGTGGTCAAGAAGACCAAGATCGGCAAGATATCGCACGACATCGTTCTCGAGGCCCGGTCTTGCCAACCCATCCCGGCGCACATGATGAAACATCTGGTGGAAAAGTTCAGCGTCCCTGAAATGTCTGTTTAGGTCATTAATTTTGTTGAGCTGGTGTAAAAGGAGAGGCATGACTCTCGTTCATGATCGTCGGACGCTGGCGGCCGTTGCGTTCTTGTCTCTGCTCTGCGTCATCTACCTAATTGACTCCATGACGGAGGTTTCGGTTCTGGAAGACACATCGTTTCCGGTTGGCATGGAGAGACCGGGGCCGAAGAAAACGTACGATGAGTTCGTCAAGCAAGCGGCGTCGATTGATCCAACCTATCCGATCGGTATCCCCATGACTAGTTCGCCCGAAGCTGCCCACGAGCTACCCAAATATCTAAAATATAAAGAGAAGTTACTCACACCTGTCATCAACCAGGACGTTTGCGCCTCATGCTGGGCAATCTCCGTCTGTCACGTGATCAGTGATCGCATATCTCTGATGACCGGAGGGAAAATTATTAAACCTCTCTCTTTTCAAGAACTGCTGAGCTGTTTCAATCCGAAAGGAAACAATGTCGGGTGCGAAGTCGGCGGATCCCCGGAAGCGGCATTTCGACACGGAGTGGAAAAAGGGTTTGCGCTCGATGCCGAGTACCCCTACGTCCAGCAGAAGACGACCCAGATCGTTGCATGTGATGCCAGAAAACAACAAGGTCCCAGGACTTTCATTCAGAGAGGGTCTGTCAAGTCTCTCTGCGAGGATCCCTCTCGCTACAAGGAGGGAAGCCCCCAGTACATGAAGATTATCAAAAACAACGTGAGACGGATGAAGACCGAACTGTATCTGCATGGTCCCATCTGTTGCACGATTCAAGTCTACAAATCGATGTACAGTTACGACGGCCTCTCTATCTTCGAGGGACCGACCGACGACGACGAGTACGTGGGTGGCCACGCCGCCGTGTTGTTTGGTTTTGCAGAGGAAGTCAACGGAGTCGAGGAGGGATTCGATGGCGACACATGGTTCATTAAAAACTCGTGGAGTGCGTCGTGGCCGATAAAATCACCGGCTTCCAAAGGTCTCTTCTACATGCGCGCGGGAATAAATTGCTGCGGGGTCGAATCAAGAGCCTCGTGTGCCCAGCCCGTCATAACAGAAGAATTGCGAAGAAATATGGTCCCGTTGAAGGAAAGTAGCTACCATGGTTACTCGGAGTATGTTTCCGACCCAGAACGCGCCAACTTCATCACCAAAGCAACGAGGCTACGCACACTTGTGAAGCAGACATGAATCACAAAAACGTAACAATATGCCTAAACACACCATCAGCGCGCATGTCCGCAACTTTGTGCAACAGTTGTTGTGCATTGCGCCTGCTTCTCCGCAGCCTGGTGTGGCTGCTCAAAATCTCGCGCATCAACACGAGGTGTCTGCGCTTGTTCCAGTTCTCATCCCTGATTCTGGCAGCAATCATTTGTTTGAACGGCCAATTGTTGCTCCTCGGCATGTCCGACACTCGTTTACCACCGTTGTCTCTCGGCAAGCACGAAGCGCCACGCTCCACCAACCAAATGAACCTCATCATGATCGAGTTGGCAGAAAGTAGCGTGGGCGAAGTGCGCATCAGAGACATCAGAGGCGATCGGCCAGCGCCGTCCGTGATATCGAGATCGGTGGATGGAGTGACGATCGCATCCAGGACGTCCACCGTCATCATGTCGGCTATGCGATGCAACGGCGTGTTGTACACTTCTCGATTACAGTCCCACGCCAGATTGTCCGTGTTCGCACCCAAGGACACCAGCGTGGACGCGAGCACGTGGTTGTGCCTGACGCCGTAGTGCAATGTATTCCACCTGTTCGGATCGGCGCCATAGTCGACGACTAGCTTGACGATCCCGGTCATGTCGTCGAAAACGGGGTTGTACGCTACCGTCTTGGCGGCCTGGTCGAAGCACGAATCGAAATCTTTCTGTCGGAATCGATTTGGCTGATTCACGCGTGAAAGCACCATGGCGTCGATCGTGCGCGGGCATCCGTAAATCGCTGCGTTCACGAGCGCCCTCTTGCTGTAGTTTTGCCAATCATAGCTGAGACGGGCACCAACCTTGACCAGAGCGACCCCGAGGTTATCTACTTCCGTCATCAGAAGAAGGGTGTTGCCGAACATGTCTACGTGGTCGATGTCGGCACCGGCGGCTTTGGACGCGCGCAAGACGTCGACGAACTCCTTCACGGATGCATCTCGGCACAGGCGGAGGCCGAAGATCGGCGTCCGGTTGAAGAAATCTTGCTTGGAGTGATCGAAACCAATCCTCAGACACCTTTTGAACAACGGGATGCTCTGCAGGAAGCCGGCTTTCTGGAATGCCGTGTTCATGTTGCTCGGGTTGAAGACAGATGACGGATGATGATGGATGCAAAACACCAAATATTCATTTCTTAACGGTAAAGTTTGGACACGAACCCTTGCCCCCGTTCTGTCACAACTCTTCAACACTCCCTTCTTCTCTTCACAAGCTCGACATGGCCAGCAAGATGAACATGAACTTGACCTACAAGACTTTCCCCGATGTCGACTTCTCAGCGATCAAGTTCGATGGTATTCGTGCTGGAAAGAACGGCATGAAGTTTGCAAACCTGGTGGGCGGCAATGGGCGAAGGCTGGTTGCAGAGACGCCCGCGATGAAGATCCCATGGAACACCGAGATCAGGAAGAGCGAGGAAACCGGGCAGTGCTCCTCTAAGATCGCTCTGTCGTTCCAAGGGATGAGCGACGACCAGGAAGACGACGGTAAACTCCGCCGCTTCTTTAATTTTCTAAACGGCGTGGACAAAAGAGTGAAGGAGCTCGCCGCTCAGAACAAAACCGAGCTCTGGCAAAAGACCATGGACGCCGGCAAGATCGAAGCTTACTTCCAGAGCTCGGTGAAGGCATCGACCAACGACAAGTACCCCCCAACCTTCCAGGGCAAGATTCCTCTCCAAGAAGGAAAAAACCCTTCTTCCGAAGATGCCAACGAGGCCATGGACATGAAGATTGTTGTTTTCCGCAAGGACAAGACTCCCGTTTCCCCCAGAGAGCTGAAAGGCGGCTGTCTCGCGAGCGTTATCGCGGAGGCCTCGTACGTCTGGTGTACCCCCATGATGATTGGTATTTCTTGGATTGTCAAGTTTGTTCTCGTGGAGCCCAAGCCGTCCGAGACAGCGTTCCAGTTCACGGACATGGAAGACTTCGCAGACGTCAAGGACGACGGCTCCGACAACAAGCGCAAGAGGGACTCTGACGACGACGATGGTGACGATTTTGAGAACGACACCGAGAACGGCAACGAAGATGGCGATGGCGATGGAGATGGAGATGGAGATGGAGATGGAGATGAAGATGATGAAGAAGAAGAATTTAAGTAACTAGGGGTTCATGAGTAGACAAGAATCTAGGTGTTGGTTCTCCGAGTGGTGGATTTTGCGAAGTCCGTGGAGACTCAGATATTTTTCTATCTCTAGCCCATGTAGCGACCCCAGGTACATGACCATTCCATTGGATCCAGCCGTGTTCTGTATCATGAAGATGTGGGCGAGGAGCCATACATCCATGAACTTGTTGGTGTATCTCTTGTAGATCTGTTTGATCTCTTCCACGTCTCGGGAAAAGTCGGCAAGCGCTGGCGCTGTTTTTCGTCTCGACGCGCAGTAGTTCTCGTGAAGCTTCACGTACTTGGCATTAATGTCAGCAATTCCACCAGTGATATCACGCACCCATATCCTATCAAAGGTCACTCTCTGCTCCGGAGTCATTTTGTTCCGGAATGTCTCAAAGACGCCAACAAGTCTCCCAGCAAGGTTTGCTCTGTCCGGCAAGAGACTCGAGAGAGGATGCACGAACGACTCAAACACCGTCAACACGGCGTCATCGAAGGACCCCTGGGACGCCTTGTGTTGCGCGTAGAATGATATAGCCTCGAACAACTTCCCGTCCGGGAGCACCGACACCATGTCACAACGCGGGTCGATGAAATGGATGCGCTTCGCACACCCACCGGGACAATGCCGAGAGTTGATCTTCATCACCTCGAGACAGCTCCTGAGATTGTTGAGGATCCCAACATCAACCGCTGAGCAGGCTTGCGCGACGGATGTCTTGATCCCCGTTTTAGGGGTCATGATGTCATAGGCGTGGATGAAGTTTTCCACCAGCACATGCACACCACTAGTTTTCTGAAGTATTTCCGACGCGAGAGAGGAAAAGTGTCTTTGCTGAGGACACGAGCCTTTGTTGGCGTGTTCTTCACTAAACACGTACAGCTTGCCGGTGGTTGTCGCATCCCACACCGTCAAGCGCCACGGACCCGAGACCGGGCTGCCTGACCCGACTCCCACGATGTCATCCAACACCTGTCGATCACTCATCGACCCTTTATCACATAGAAAACATTAAATAGCCCCGAAGCGTCCAAAACACAAACTTTAAAATATTTACATCATCGAGTACGCAAACTATGTTTCTCGTGTACGTCCCGGTGATCTTTGTGTCTCTGTACTTCTGTGCGAAAAGCGCACACCGCTGTCTTCCTACTCCTGCGCTCCGTGCTGTTTCGCGAGTTGTTAGCGAGGTCGTCATCGCGGCGGCCTTCACAGCAGCACGGATATGCAGATACGCTATGGCGACACGGTCTGCATACATATGGGATACGCGAGGCCGCCTGGGCAACGGGGTTATCGTGGGCGTACTCGATACATTGCTCCGGGTTGACGCAGATCAGACGCGCGTGGACACCTCTTCCGGACACGCATCGATTGAAATACTGCAAGCGGTTGCGACCGTGCGCCAGGGAGACTGCGACATCACGAATGTCCTGGGCGACATGTGGGCCGACGGCGACGGCCTACGCATGGAAGTTCCCATCGAGGTGGCTCTCGATGGCGTGCGTCGCGGAAACGATTCTGATTCTGCTGAAGACGTGGAAGTGACGGTGAGGATCAGATATCGCGGACACAGCAACGAATCCAAACGGTACCCGGCGGAAACGTTTTCGGCGAGGTACACGTGCAAGGGCTCGCAGACGTTCCGATTCCCGCCATACGCGTCTTCGGAAAGCATCCGCCGCGGACTTGGCACGCCGCGAATTCTTCGTTGTAACTTCGCGGAAGACAATGGAAAGTTGTTGCTCGGACGGGAGGCCACGGAGTCCGCCGGTCTTCGACGCAACTTTTACGAAAATGTCCAAGACGATCCGTGCCTTCTGAGAAACGTCGTCACATTCATCGAGCCTTCTGCCCGGTTCCAGGAGCAGCAGCCACTTGTCGTGACCACATCAAAGTCCAATTTGAAGATATTTTGCAACTCAAAGCAGCCAACCAAGCTCGCTTAGCACGAGAAACTCGATCTCTTGGTGTACATCCATGGTGACCGCAGCGACTTCCCGCAAGTCTTGGACGAAGTTGCAACTGAGTACCTCGTCGTACCCGAGCCACTTCAGTGCTATGTGGATGCAAACGATCATGTACAATTCTTTTCGATGTTCCTTGACCAGCATATTCGCCCATATCTTGGACCTAACTCTCATCCAATACGTGAGCGCCAACACAAAGTACTGTTTCGAGAGATTTCTTTTCGTGACCCATTCCAAAAAGTATGCTCGCTCCTCGTCGGTCACGGGAGATGCGGCAATTTCCACTGGCTGCTGATACAACGCGTACGTCGCGTTCAATGAGTCTCGTGGCTTCTTGGACAGGCGGCAGACGCTCCTCCTCTTTGCCGCAGCCGGACGAGGTGGGCGAGGTGGCATCGGGGTGGATTTTGAAATCGGCGTAGAAATTAAAAAACACAGAAAAATGTTTGCGGGAAACTCAAGACTTGCGCTCGAAGCGTTTCTCGGTGACCCGATCGTGTTTCATGTCTCCCTGGCGCGTAAACCCGAACTCGTCGAATCCACCCCCGGGGTTGCGTACTTTGGTGTACTCGAGGACCTGGAAGCTTCCGCGTTTCAAATCGCCGTGCGACGAGGCCAGCTCTTCCGGAATGATGGAGTCGGAGAACATGCTGTGCACATCTGCTCCGAGAAGTCCCATCAGTGAGGACGCAGGCGACTGAGAAGGCACTGCTTGCACAGAACCAAGCAGAGAGCCAATGTTACTGAGAGCACCGACGGCACCGAATGGTTCAAATGGTTGGAATGACTCGTAAGGAACCATGTTGGTGCCGGAGTCGCGCTCGTCTCTGGCAAAGGTCTCGATACCTATCGACTCGTCATACTTTTGTCTCGCATCGGCATCCGTGAGCGTCTCTCGCGCGCTCTTGAAAAAGCGAATCAGTTCATTCTTTTCGGAGTTTCTCTTGTCCGATTCTCTGACTTCGTTCACCAGCTGCCGCGTCTTGCGCCTGATCTTGTCGGCTGACGCGTCGGCGCTGACGCCTATGGCGTCGTACAAGTTCGGCGCAGTGTTTTCCATACCCGGGAACTTGTGAAAAGAAAGCAACATTATATTTCTCGTCGCGGAATTCTTTGTATGTAAGATACGGAGATCAAAAGAGTTCAATGATCAAGTTGAGCGACGACGCCGTGAGTGAAGTTCGATCGATGGTGCTCAGCAACGACAGCCGTTGCGCAAATGGGGAAAGACATGAACGACTACTGTCACAGAGAAGGAAACTGGAGCCGGTCTCTCCCGATCAAACGCGCGTACATGGAGGAGACCGGTCCGTACGAAAGCACATTGGCGTCAGTCTTGTTGTCATTGCCGAAGAGTGTCGTGAATCTGGTGTGCGAGTTCATGTGACCAGGCACCATTCTGAGTAAAAATTATGCTCGACTATACCAACAACGGCAAACGCAATGAATCTAGATCAATTGAAAAGGTGGCCTTTTCCCGAACAAGAGTTTTTGGGCCGAGGAGCTTTCGGCAACGTGATGCGAGGACTCTACTGTGGCACACCGGTGGCCGTCAAAGAGTTACTGACAGGACAGGGCCAGATGCCTGACGTGCGTCGACAGGCGAAGGAGGAGCTTCTGAAAGAGATTGGTACTCTGATGGAGTTTCGTCATCCGAACATCGTGTGCATGATCGCGTACGATTCGAGATACATTGTGATGGACATGTACAAAGGGAATGCCAAGAAATTGAGATCGATGGATGAGGTGGCCGTTGTTGGAAGAGATTGCATGCGAGGCATCTCGTACATGCACCGGCACGGCAGATGCGTCGTTCACGGCGACATCAAGCCCGACAACATTCTGGTGAACATCGATTCCAAAGGAACCATCTACAAGGCCGCGCTCGGTGACGTCGGCCTGGCGCGTTCGTGTGCCAAGTGCTTGCGGACGAAAGGATTCTCGGGAACACCGGGGTACATGCCCATGCCAAATCCCGTCGTCGACAGCACACACGACATTTACGCACTCGCCGTAAGCCTGTTGGACGCTTTCCTCGGGGCTCACCCGGGAGATGTTCACACGAGGAACGACGAGCACGGCCTGGAAGACAACACGATGGTAGCATTAGGACAGTTTCCTCACCGGGAGTCCCAAAAAGTGCTGTCGGATATGCTCATGTCGTACAGGGATGGTGACCTCCAGAACAACCCCGAGAAGAAAGGGGAATTCTTTCAAAACATTATCGTGCAGTGGGAAAACCTCGTTTCGAGAACCAGCGCTACCGCACCGAAGATCACGTCGTACGCGTCGGATCCGATGCAGAGCAGCCAAACATCAATGTCTATGGAGAGTACTCAAACAAAATAATATTGGTTCGAGCTCCCCGCAGCCACTTTTGAGCTGTTTCTCTTTACTTTTTTCAACTGATTTTTTTACGTCTGTGTAGATCACTTTTTTATGATTTTATATTGTCAGCCAATAACAACAAAGTAAATTCACCCCTCGATGTCTGTCGTTGGGATTTTGGGGAACGGAGAAATCGGATCGTCTCTTCACAGAGTGTACCAACTCGCAGGAGACGCAGACGTCATTGTGAGAGATCCTATTCAAGGGCTCGACGCCAGCTTGTCCCACTGCGGTGTTGTGAACGTTTGCATCCCGTTCCGTAATTATGACGAATTCGTGACAGCTTTGCGCGATCTGGCGTTGCGAGAGGGCTGCGTGGTCATTATCCAATCTACCGTTGCAGTCGGATGCACCGATCGCGTGCAGGCAGATTTGCCAACCTTGGTCTGTGCGCAGTCGCCTGTGCGTGGCGTTCACCCGCACTTGACCGACGGTTTGCTGACTTTCGATAAGTACGTGGGCGTGAGCGATCGGTTCGCCGGAGACGATGCCATCGAGTCGTTCCTTACGCAGCACATGAAGTCACTGGGGATGAAACCAGTGGTGTGTCGAGCGAAGGAGTCCGAACTGGCGAAGTTGATATCAACAACTCTGTACGGTGTCAACATCGCGGCCATCACCGATGTTTCAAAGCTCTGCGATGATGCCGGAGTCGACTTCGAAAAAGTGTTCACCCAGTGGCAGACGGGATACAATGCCGGATACACAGCTCTTGGAAAATCGAACGTGTGTCGCCCCGTGCTCACACCGATCCCTGAAAACGAGGAGGACGGAAAACAAGTCATCGGCGGACACTGCATTCTGTCCAACTGCTGCATCCTCGAGAGGGAGATGGAGGAGACGACGTTGTCGTCGTTTGTCCTCCGGTACTCCGACGAACGACACCCGCGACACAGGGCGCAATCGTTGTGAAATAAAAAATAATGTTTCCTGTGATGAAAACAGAAGCATGGAATGATTCTCGGCCTCAAGAAAAACCTCCTGTTTGTTTCGTATCTGTTCTTCAATGCTCTACTAACGCTATTGCTTCTAAGACTCGATCACGGCTTCATCATCGTATCGATATTCGTTGTCGGCGGACACTTGAGAGATGTGATCAACATAGCATACCAATCACTTCACATGCACAGGATACTCAGGCGCTGTGCCGACATTCCTGACGACGACGCCGAGATAGTTGTTGGTTGCTTGGTCCCGGTGTACAATGAGGAGCCTTCGATGTTGAAGAAGAATCTGGATGCTCTGACTACACAGAGGTTGTCGAAAAACACCAAGTTGGTGGTGATGCTTCTCTTCGACGGACTGACTGAACTCAACGCAGATCTTTTCAGCTCGGTCGTCAATACCATTGGTCTTGACGCTGGCTGCGCTGAAGAGCAATGGTTTCCGAGTTGGAAGAGCAAGTTGCTGAAGAAGTTGGTGTACAAGATCGGCACGTACAATGACACGCCGGTAATCCTGTCGTTCAAAGAGAGCAACTCGGGGAAAAAAGACTCTCTCATCATCGGGGAAAACTTCATCGTGCTCGGCATCCCGAGGATCGAATCTCTAGACGTACGACGAGTGGATTTTATTTACCACACGGACGGTGACACCATTTCCGACAAGAACTGTTTGAACGAGATGGTCAAGTCTCTCGTGGATGATCCAGACCTCGACGGCGTCTCTGGACTGCTGAGGACATACCTCAAGGACGACGCGACCTTCACGGAAAGTGCGTTCGTCGCCATGCAAGATTTCCAGTACTTCTTCTCCATCATCATTCGTAGGATGACGGAGAGCATAATGAACTCCACCATCTGCCTCCCGGGATGCTCCAACATGATCAGGGTTAGCGAGAAGACTAACGTTGCCATTGAAAAATACGGAAACCTCCCGGTCAACAAGAGCGGTCTGGTGCAGACAGTCACGCGCATGCAGGGAACCGACCGACGATACACCACGCTCTTGCTCAGACAGGGTTCCAAGCTACAGATGAATTGGCGTGCTTTCGTTCACACGGAGCCACCGCTGAACGCGAGTGCGTTTGTGAATCAACGCAGACGTTGGTCTTCAAACTCTTTTTTCAACTCGATGATCACGCTGTACTCCGAAAAAATCCCAGTGTACATCAAGCTTTCGAACCTTATCGACATCGCACGAGTCTTCACCACGATATTCCGCGTGATATCATACTTGTGCTTTTGGGTTTACGTCAAGAATTTTTCCCTTGTGAACATCGTGTTTTTCTCTATGTTCATTGCACTTCCGTATCTCTACGCCTTCGCCTGGATATTCTGTATCGTCTCAGAGTGGAAGCAGATGATAGCCGGTTTCTTTTTGAACAAGATCTTCATGCCTTTTTTATCCGTGGTAGCGGTGACAAAGATGTTTTTCACTGCGACCGATTTCGCCTGGGGCAGCAGCAGACTGACACCGCCAGTCGCTGACTGCACTAAACCTGATTTCTGAGCGTGTCAAATTTCTGGCGAGAAGCGATATCTCGAGCAACTTCCGCCGCATCGAGAGTATTGGGGAGAATGAAGTTGATTTGGTCGAGATAAGGCTTGACCATGTTCGCGAAAGCATCCAAGTATCCCGCGTGTTTGTGGTTGCAACCGGCCTTGCCCGGTCCCGGGCACGCGTCCAAGGCGTTTGCAATCTCAGTAAAGACTTTTCTCTCAAGGTCGTTCTCCATGAACACAAAGTATAGTTTTTTAGCCACCACGACAACGGCGACCGCGATTACCGCTGCCGCAGCGACGCTCGTCTGCAAATCTAGCGGCGAAGCCAGCTTTAGACCGGCTGAGAAAAGCCCCAATGGAACACAGAAGAACATCGCGTACTGCATAAACATATTGGTGCCGGTAAAATTCGATAGTGTTCTCTGTCGCCGGACGACGTCAAACACCAACACCGCAACGAATGCCGCGAAGAAAGCGGCGCTTCCCGCGACAGCGGTAGCGTTCGACGGTTGGTCCACCACCTCGCCGAGGTCTCGATTACGATTCCTCCTCTGCGCCATCAAGTACGTTGTTGTCCACGCGACCAGAGCAACGATTGCTGCCGCCCCGAACTTTGCCGTGTTGAGCGCGAGAAAGGTGCTGTATCCCGACGAGTAAGCTTCGGCAGCCTTCATGAAGTACTCTTCCAACCGCCGGGTCTGATTTCGAGCCATCGCATGTTTCGCTACATCACCAGCGGATTTCCCGGTAGCCACGGCCGTACCCGCTTGCAACAAGCCGTTGCCGAATGTTGAAGTCACGACGTTTGATAGGAAGTCCATGCTTTGGTAACTCTACGAAAACATTATAAACTTGCAAATCAGCGTTCTCTAAAATCATCCGAGGTTGTTCTTTTACCCACAATTTTTCTCACCCGATCGACCACGTCGCTGATTCTGTATTGATACACGGGGCTGCCCACCGCTACCCCAAGCTTCGAAGGTCCTCCGCCAGTTTTTAAGTGGATGAGGCTCAGCATCATTGACAGGACAACAAACACTGGATATACCATCGCAAAGACACCCTGAAGGTTGGAAGCTCTACCCCCCAAGGCGCATCTCCGGATAAAACGGATCTGAAGAGCTATGGACGCTGTCAGTGCCAGCGATCCCTTCAAGAAAGCCGACGTTCCAGCGATCGACGGGCGCGATTGATAGAGGACCAGCAAAGATGGGACAATGAGAAGAGGTGGCGCGACGTAATTGGCAACAACGGACATGCTCCTGGGTTGTATGACAAACATATATTTAATTTCGAACATTTGGTCAAATGTGTTTCTCAGTCGAACGTTTCGGCGATGCTCCACAACATTGCCGCGAGCTGAAGGTACGACGACGCACCGCTCGCCACCCTGTTCTGCACCAATCCGATGACCTTGGCAATCTCGATACGCTGCGATTCTCGGACGTCCAGCACCGACAACGCTCGGAAAAAGCTTGCAAGGATGTCCATCGGCGAGTATCCCTCGCCTCCTTTGCCACATAGCCCCCTCAGCTTCTTACATGCCTCGACATACCCCCCTCTGTTCCGGAGGAGGTCGACAATTTCTACGATCTTTGCCGGCTGCGGAGAGCGACATGTTCGGTATACGTTTTCCGATGTTAGTCTGCGAAACCCGGAGACAATCGAAGATAGGCTGTTGATCGCAGACCTCAAGTCTCCGTCCGCAACGCACGCCAGAGCTCCGATGCCACCGAGGTCGTACTCGACGCCGGCCATGTCACAAACCTGACGAACTCTCAAACAAAGCTGAGCGTCCTCAACTTTCGAAAACCTCAGTATCGCACATCTGCTCTGAATCGGTTCGATGATTTTGGTGGAGTTGTTGCAGACTATGATGAACCGCGTCGTGCTCGAGTAAACATCCATGATCCGTCGCAGTGCCTGAAAAGCCCCAGGTGTCATGGAGTCCGCCTCGTCGAGGACGACAATCTTCGCAATTGCGGGGGTTGCTTCCGTGCCGACCCTCCCTCGCGCGAAGTTCTTGACGGTCGTCCTCACGTTGTCGATGCCCCTCTCGTCGAACGAACTGAGACGAAGTATTCTGGCACCACGGTTTTCTGGGATCATCGCTTTGCACAAGATATCAACACAGGCCGTCTTCCCGCAACCGGACGGGCCACATATCAGCAGATTGGGAATCGAAAGTCCCTTGGTCGCGAGATTGGATAGCAACGAGATTGATTTCTCGTTGCCAACGACTTCACTGAAGCACAGCGGTCGGTACTTTTCAACCCACGGTTGGGTGCTCATTCGATTACAGGAGCGACACCACCTACAATGATTTAAACATGTACTCATTCGAAGTTGAAACTCTTCACACAAGAGTTGCCTCGCGGATGTGAGTTTGCGTCCGCTGCTCCGCGTTCTTCGTGTGCCACGTCCGCCTGATCCACTCTCTTTTCTGAGAATCTCGGATGGAAGACATGATGGTCCTGTACAGTACGTTTCGCTTTGCAGGTTTTTCAAGAACCATGCTCTCTGATATGGACGCACATAGCTGTCTTGTCTCTGTCGACGAGTCCGCTGTGATGATGACAAGTGGACATTCCTTGTTACGCGTATCCCCTTCGCGCAATTGGTAGGCGCACGTGACTCCAGACATGACGGGCATGATGATGTCGAGACATATGAGGTCATAGTCTTTCGTCTTGACCTCTTCCAGACACGCCATAGCGCCATCGCACAGATCAACCTCGATGTCGACGTGCTTCATCATCTTTTCAAACTGGCGTCTGGCGACGGCAGAATCGTCAACCACGAGGATGCAAGGTCTCGTTGCAGTATGAGAAATCTCTCCCTCTTGGAAAATGCAAGACTCCTCGGCAACGTCCGCCTCCACGCCATAGTAGCTCGACCGCCTCCTGAAGGTCAGGGCCATGCCGTCATGCTGCAGCCGTATCTCTTTCTCGTGCTTGATGGGGATGACTAGTGAGAACGTAGTGGTCTCCCCGTTCTGAACAACGAGATCGCCCCCCAGTTCGTATGCCATTCGTTTGCACTTGGCGAGACCTATTCCCAATCCACATCCATGCACGACTCCTCGGTGAATGCTGTTGAAGGGTGTGAAGATGCCGGCGACGTCCTCATCCTGGATCCGAATTCCCTTGTTTTGCACGCTGAACGTCACCTGACAAGGACTGTGGCTCATCGCCTTCACGTGCACCGATACCTGGTTATTACTGTCGTGGCGCAGACCATTGAATATAAGCTCCTGGAGACATTCTTTGATCACCGGACCGTCGCCGATCATCTCCGAGATTGGCACGTCGTGGCGCAGGTCGATGTCGATGAGAGGAGGCGCATTCGAAACTCGAAGCATTTGGTGCACCGCGTCCGTCTTGGCATCTGCAACGATGTTCCGGATAAGCATCGGTCCCTCGACGATCTTGAACTTCTCGTTGACGGAGTCGTAGTACGCAAGGACGTTTGTCAACATAGCCCCGTACTCCTCACCGACGTCAAAAACCGTTGCGACGAAGTCCGGTATTGTTGACTTGTCTGAAATTTCTTTAAATTTACCCGAGCTACGCGTGAGTCGACGAATCATGTCCGTGTCTATTCGGTAAGCCATGTTGCGCAAAAACTGTGTCTTGACCATGACCATGTTTTTCTCGAAAGCCTCGCGATCGTCGTCCCCACTCGTGACCGCTTTACTCTTTCTGGTGAACAAGCCACTGTTGCCGAAGAAACGTCTTACTCGCATGCAGGCATTGCTCTACACCTGTCAATATTTTATCCCACATGTTCGGATTATTGTACCATCTCACAAATTATTATATTGACAAAAGGTACACCAAAACGATTCTATGAGTCCCACGCAAGACGGTACGAGCGGCGAGCCCGACTCTTCTTTTGGCTACGGCCTGGTCTACAACCCAATGGACCCCTACAACATGTATCCCCACTACGAGACGGGCGAGGAGAAGTACGGTCCCCCACCTCCATTCGGCATCAACCCCCAAGACCCTTTCAACATGAAGCCGTTCAACCCCAACGCGTTCGGTGGTTTGTTCGGAGCACCGGCGACGGTAGCGCCTACACCCGCGACGGGTGTGATGAACACCGTTGGTCCCAACCCGTTCACGCCTCTCCTACAACCGATGACGCCTGCCACACCAATGGCATCCCCCAGCAACATGGCTCCGCCGATGGTAGCTCCTATGGGTGGCATGAATCCTCTGCTCATGGCGGCGACCGTGTCTGCCCTCGGCAAAGATTCGTCTTTCACCCCAGGCGCTGCACCGTCGTCCTCCTTCAACACAGGCGCCGCTGATCCGTCGTCCTCGTTCGACGCAAGCGCTTCGGGCGATGCACCGTCGTCTTCCTATCATTACATGAACGCACTATACCCGTACTACTCATACCCGTTCGCCACGCACGCCGTGTCGCCGCAGAACCCGCACCCCACGGATCCCAACAACCAGTACCCCCATCCACTCACGGGGTCGATGACGGAGCCAGGTCCCGCGCTGGCGGGTGGATACAACGTCTACGATCCCCATAACGTGATTGGAGCGCCACCGGCATTCAGTGAACGGGATAGGGCGTTGGAGCACAACAAAGCTGTGATGCAGTCGCAGAGCCCGTATGCGCCATACATTATGAACCAAGTCCCTGTACCACCACAATAACAAAATTCAGATGTGGTATATTTGCCTGGAATTAAATGTTGTCATATATTAGGTGAACAGTCGATCGCCAAAATGACCCTGAGCAAAGTGCATGCCAAGATACAGGAGGAGAAAAGGAAACTGAATCCGGTCGACGGACGAAGGTTCAACTCACGCAGCAGGGAAAAGATGGAGAGAGAAATCAGAGTCCTCAAAAGGAGCACATGGAAGCTTGCCCAGAAGAACGCCGCAGCGAGACAGAGTCACAAAGGAGTATTTTCGCAAGAAGAGATTGCGTTCGCAGAAGAAGAGAAAAAAAAGTTCAGGGAGCAGCTTGAGATCAACAAGCCGAGTGTTTCGGTGCGTGCTTCGTGAGATATAATAAAAATGTTTGTCCTACAACAATCGGACCAACCATGTCTGTCAACCGCCGCTCCGATCTCGACACGTCTTTGTCTCGGACGGATGGTGTCCACCGCAAATTGCTTAATCTGTCTTCCGCGGACAGAGACAAAACTCTCTACCCAGACTCGGCTGACGCAGAACTGACGTTCGACGACCAATCTAATGTCATTGGCATGAAGATCCTTAACTTCGAAATACCTCACACGAGATATGCTATCGACCGCACCACAAACAACCTTTACATCAGCGAGAAGCGTGGCGAAGACGAGTATTACTTCTACTGCATACGCGTGTCTCCTGGAGCACACTCGATCCAAAATTTATGTGTTGCGATGACACTCTCCTCGAAGTGCCCCGTCATGTTCAACGGCGACAGGGATATGGGGAACACGTATGCCTTTCAAACATCCCTCCTGTTCGGCAAGATAGGGGTTGTGTCCTCGGGTGACTACGAGTACAGCATCCATGCATCCACCGCGACGGTGACGCTGTCATCAATTACCGTCAATTCTGACACGGAGGCTGTGTTGTCGTTCTTGGCGCCGCCCGACCAGGTGTTCAAACCTGGCGCACTCCTCGTATTTCAACCATACACTTACTCGGACCGAGATATACAGGTCGTCGAGAACATAGACTCATCCGGGCAAAGCAAGGTACGCGTGATCGGGGACTTTTTCGACTTGGACTGGGAGAATCTGGATGTCTCGCTATCTCGAATGGTGCCGTATGCTGGTGTCAACTCCATGGCAAGGATTGTAGGTTTCGGAGATTCTGATCTCGCTGAGCAGGCCAGCGCCGAGGTTCTATCGATAAGCTCGCCCTTTAGCAGTATCGACACACTCGAAGACGCGTCGGTGATGGTGTCTCTGGACAAAGCACTCTTCCTCTCCTCGGGCGACAGCGTGAGTCTGTCCGGTTTTCCGGGATTTATGAACGACATGGTGTGTACTGTAGCCATCGTGCACGATGAAACCCACCTGGAAATTTATGTTGACAGGGCCGCGCTGTGGTCTCATGAGGCAGGGACGTTTGCAAACCTGTCGAACCCTGGCGTGGAATGGGGAGTGGACGACATCAACCTCTCCGATGTCGAGAGCAACGCCGTCGAGATTGTGATCACACCATCTTCACCCACAACTCTTGCTGCCGGAGACGTAGTTGTCTTCAACGGCTTTCTTTCCGAGGAGTTTCAAGACCTCAACGCGACCGTGGTCATTGTAGACGAAGACGGACGTATCACCGTGCAGTTCGACTATCCGACCATCCTCTTGTTCGAAGACGGCGTGACGTCCTTGTCCCCCGTCAACGCTGAAACGGCGCTGGGCACAACCTATGTCACACCCAACCGCTTCGACTTGAGCCGCGGAAGGAGAATGGTTCTCTGCCGCGCCATCGTCGACAATCAGGACGTTGGATCGATTCACATCCCATCTCTTTCGACGCGAACGTTCTTTGGAAGAATTCAACTATTCTCCGGAGCAAACCTGGTCAATTTTCTGAGCAAAGATACCGCCGTTGGTTCACACGAGTTCAACAGTGTAATGAAAAGGATCAACAAGATCAGGTTTCAGTTTTATAACGAGGATGGCACGACGTACGACTTTCTCGGCGTAGACTACACCATGTTTCTGGAGCTCGTTTGCCTTGATTCGAACAAGGGACTTTAGTGCTACATTTCAAATAAAAATGTTTGTAAACAAGAAGCAATAGCATCATGTCTGATATCGGGGAAGAAGAGGTGTGTAGGCTGGCATGCTCACAAACCTTGGATGGATACAACCCGAATCCCTTCTACGCGTCCGGTATGTGCCCGGATTACATGAGAAGCGAGTGCAATCTGGGAGGAAAGCTCTGGCAGAACCAGTGGGACATGCACAAAAAGAATATAAAAGAATTCAATGCGGAAAGAGTGTTTCACGCGTCCATGGGAATCCCAACACAGGTCGTGGGGTACGGGTACCAGTCCCAGCAACCACATCCTCTTCTGCCACCCACATCTTCGCAGGTTTTTTCGACCATGCGACAGATGCACCCGCACAAATTCCAGGGACCAATTTTGAAGCCAGGCCAATTTTATCCGTAAACTCTCGACACATTGGCTCTTCTTGGTGTGCTCAGAGAGACTACATAGACTGGCATGATGGAGCTGTACCTGCACGACATTCGTGACAACAGCGGGTCCTTTCAGAACCCGACCATGCAGCTCTTTGCGATGGAAGAGGACGGCACAAACGTGTTTGTCAGCGTCAGGAACTTCAAGACCTACCTGTATGTTGGCTTCGACTCCGATATGTCAGAAGATGATGTCCGGTCAAACTATCTGGAGAAGTTCAAGCAGGAGAAGTGGGAGAGGAACGTTTACAAAATGTCTGTCGTGAAGAGGAAGAGACTGATCGGTTTCTCCGACGGGGACCTCTTTCCCTACATTCTCATGGAGTTCACTGGAACGATATCGTTCTACATCGTCCGGAAACACTTACACGAACTCTGCGGCGAGCGCGACCCAGAACCGAACACGTTCGTCGACCTCAACAAGTACCCGAGAATGTGCGTGTACGAGTCCAGGAGCGTCGACTCAGTTCTCAAGTTTTTTCACGCAAGTGGTGTCCGCCCGTCTTCATACTTCCGGATGGAGAACTACGTGCAAGTCCCCGACAAGGCGAAGAAGACGCACTGTGTCAAAGAATTCATCGTCGACTTCGTCAACGTGCACCCGGTGAGAGAAGAGATCGTCGACCGCAAACCACCTCCGATGACCATCTGCTCCTACGACCTCGAGACGTCGGGGCTGAATACCAACGAGGACTACATCTTCCAAGCCTCGATGATATTCTCCAGGCTCGGTGATCCGTGCCAGGATGCCAAGGGTTCCGCCACGGGCCACGCCGTGGACTCGTATACGGACGGCGTTGTCATCTGCGTAGGTGACACGGAATCTGTCGACGGTACGCCTTTGCTTATCGTGGAGAACGAGCTGCAGCTCCTCGACAAGTTTAGAGAGATCTTGATCGAGCGGGGCTGCAACATTCTGTGCGGATACAACACCTTCAAGTTCGACTCGGCGTTCTTGTACAAGAGAGCAGAGAGGTACGGCTTCGACGGGTTCAAGAAGCTTAGTTTCATCAAGGATCTCGCTTGTGATCTGGAGGTCAAGACTTTGCAAAGCGCCGCCCTCGGCAAGAACGAGCTCAAACAGATCATCATCCCTGGACGCGTCGAGATAGACCTGTTCATGGTCATGAGGCGCTCGCAGAAACTCTCAAGCTACAAGCTCAACGCCGTTTGTGATAAATTCTTCGGTGGAAAGAAAGACGACGTCACGTACACGGACATCCTGCAGGCATGCACGTCCAAGGACCCGAAGAAGCTGGGTGTCATCGCCAAGTACTGCTACCAAGACAGTGGGCTTGTCCTGAAACTTTTGGACAAGATCAAGGAGGTGTACGACGCGACAGAGATGGCCAAGTTGTGCACAGTTCCGCTGACCTACATCGTGGGGAGAGGACAGCAAATCAAGTGTATGAGCCTAATCCTCAACCGGATCCACGGAGAATATGTATGCAACTACGTGGTTGCCAAGAAGAAGGTGGCGGCCGACGGCAAGCAAGTGTTGAACGAGGGGTACAAAGGGGCGTCTGTCATCGACGCCAAGAAAGGGTTCTACGAAAAGGACCCGGTCGTGACCATGGACTTCGCGTCGCTGTACCCCAGCATCATGCGGCTGAAGCAGCTCTGCTACACGACTATCGTCAAGGACGTGAAGTACAGAGGCATCGAAGGCGTCACTTACGAGGACCACCAGATTTCGGACGGAGTCAGCGTCACATTCGCGCACCGCTCTGGGTCCAGAAGCATTCTGTGCGAGCTGGAAGAAATGCTTGGCGAGGAGAGGAAGGCGACCAAGAAACTGATGAAGTCTGAGAAGGATCCGTTCGCGTACTCTCTCTTAGATTCAAAGCAGAAGGCCCAGAAGGTGACGATGAACTCCATCTACGGTTTCACGGGGACGGTCAACAACGGCATGCTTCCGCTCGTGGAGATCGCGGCCGCCGTGACTTCGACCGGCAGAGACATGATCAAGCGCACCAAGGAGTATGCCGAGAAGGAGCACGGCTGCAACGTCATCTATGGCGACACGGATTCCGTCATGGTCATCTTCCCCGAGCACCGTAAAATCGAGAATCTGGGCGACAAGATGCGCTACTGCTTCGACATGGGAACGAAGGTATCCAAGGAGATCTCGGAAATGTTTGGGCACCCCATTCTTCTCGAGTTCGAAAACATTTACTTCAAGTATCTCTTGGTTTCCAAGAAGAGGTACGCCGGACTATCCTGGGAGACGGTCGAGGGGCCGCCGACGATGACGATGAAGGGTTTGGTGACTGTCAGGCGAGATAACGCCCCATTTGTCGGCAGGTGTGCATCCGAGGCCATCCACATGCTCATGGACGTCGGCGTCACGGACGGGAGGGGAGCCGTGAAGAAACATCTCACCGAGACTCTGCTGCAGCTCGAGAGGGGGCAGATCTCGATCGAAGACCTGACCATCAGGAAGGAGCTGAAGCAGTGGGTTTACAAGACACCGTCACCACACGCGACGCTCGCGCTCAAGATATTGGAGCGCACGAAGGAACAGGCGGTCTTCCGCGAGTTCATCAAGCCGGCCTACGAGATGGTTGGCGGCTACGACGACGCGCTCCTGTCGACTGTCTGGACCAAGATGACCAATCTCAAGTCATTTTTGTCTACGCGCGCCAAGAGAGAGATTTCGATGGGTGACATGGTCGAAAGTATTCGTGGAGACACGACCAGCCCTTTCAAGGCAGAGGCATACGCGGTGGTAGCGTTGCGCCAGCTTTACGACGATGTCCACAGCGTTCTGGTAGACGAGAGTTTTGCGGGAGTTGTCGGATTGGTGATGGTCGGTATCGGAGACGCGCACAAGCTAGGAGAGAGGTACATGGCGTTCGTGAGGTACAATGTTGTTGACTGGGACCCGCCCACGCTAGGAGAGAGGATACCGTACGTGATCACGACGGGCAAGGGAGACATTAGCTCCAGGGCGGAAGACCCCCGAATGGTCAACGTCGGCAGGTGCCGACCCGACTTCCTCTACTACATCGATCACCAGCTGAGGAACCCAATGGTGGATCTTCTGCAGCACGTCATAGACTCGCCGGCGAACTTGTTTGTGGAATCGCAGAGAAGGATGTCGAACCTGAATCATGGCCGGAAAGAGATTACCACTTTCTTCAAGAAGCGCAGGGTCACGGAAGGTTGATTGGTTGTTTAGAGTAATTTTGATTAAAAAATGAGGCTTACTTACAAAGAAAAATGAACGCTCTAAGGAAGCTGGCTTGGACTATTGTGAAATGGCCACTCAAAACCCTGTACAAGAAAGGGCCCAGGCTCTTGTACCTATGGGAAGGCCTTAGCGAAGAAAATATTTGCTACGAGCTGACAAAAATTGACGCTTTCTTCTGGTCTTCGTCAGAAGAATCCATGTTAGCCTGCGAGGAGCTGATCTCTCGGAAATTCGAGGCTTTTGTTATCTCTGTCTACGGGTTTCTTTTCGCATACCTCGCCTACACACTCTTTTGCATCAAGGTGTACGAGTACGTCGCCCGTTCCAGGCTAAACGCTCTTCTCGAGAGTGAGAACAAAGCTTTGAGCATCCGCGACAAGCATGAGGTGTCGAAACCATCGAAACCAGAGTCATAGCGTCACGACGTATTGCTGCGCCGGATACCAGGTGGTTCCATGCTTCACCTCAAGAATCAGAATGTTGTCAGGGCTCTCTTGTATGGACGGAACCCTGAGTCGCCAAATTCGTCCTCCTGACGCGAGCGTCATCGAGTCTCCACCGGTTGTGCTCATGCCGTTCTCAAGGGTCACTCCCATTCCGTTGCCAGAACCTCCTTCCATTAAAAAAACCCTGTATGTCCTTGGCAAACATTATTCTCTGTGAATTGTGCAAGAATCGCTTGGTCGCCAAGACCCCGGCAATGTTGATGGCGATGCCGATGGCGATGGCGATGGCGATGGCGATGCCGATACACCAACCGCCGACTAAGCTCGACCACGAATCATCGCGACCTTTTCTTTATTTCGATGCCCATTGAAGACAGCAGTGTATTGGAGACGTCCAACTCTTTCTTTCTTCTCATGATAGCCGGATCCAGCCTGGCTCGCTTCAGTCTGTCCACGAAAGAGTTGTTAAACTCTTGTTCGCGGTTCGTGTCGATGCGCCGGGTGCCCACAAAGGGCGCCGTCGCCTCAATGTGTTGAACGGACTTCCGTAGGACATTTAGACACGAGCCGGCGGAGTCCGTGTCGATGAACGGAAGCACAGACTGTCGTCGGATGTTTAAAAAAGGACTAGTCTCCTCTATGATTTCCGATGGTGGAATGATTCCGCAGAAACCTTTGCGGTACTCTTCGATTGACAGCTCCCCGCCAAACTCTTGGAGCTTAGCTCGAGGTGCGGCGGGTTGGAGTCTGTAGTCGCAGTACGTCTTCATCTTTTGTTTGGTCTCGATGTCCATGATGCCCTTTTTGAGCTTGATCCAAGTCTTGTACGCCAGGACCGAAATGTACATGTTTCTATTACCTCTGCCTGCTGGCGAAGTCTCGCGCATGTTGAAAGACTTGGCACACTGCCACGAGCAGAACTTTCCCTCGCAGAAGTAAACATGTCTGAGGTCATCTCTGCTCACCGGGAGAGGGACGGGAACCCCTTCGAAAAAATGCGCACAATTGTGACAACGCTTGTCGTATGCGAGGGGCCACTGCAAGCAAGCTTTGACTACATCCGTGTCGTCCTCGTGAAAGAGTCTTCCCCAGACTACTATGGGAGTTGCAGGGATGTCGGGGATCGTGATCGTATTGTCAATCACGCTAACGTTTGCAACACGCTGGATAGATTTGATATCATCATCTTCCACGCGTTCCCTGTGCAAGATGTTACGCATCTCGTTCTACGTCAAAGTGGGCCTCACCACGCCATTACCGACTTTTTTATTACGAGAAAACTATGGGCGAATAAATCGGTCGATGTTTTCACCACCAGTACTTTGCACGATGTTCACTTCTTTGAGCGTGGAAGTGGCGGCTGCTATTTCATCAGGAGATACGCCAACGTCCGAAGAGGAGAACGGAGACACGGCTGCACCGAGACTACCATAAGCCTCTTCGAGGCCAGACCCCATCCCCAAGTTCTTCGCGTCGAAGGCCTCGCTGATCTTGAGCCCGGCACCAAGGCTCGCCTTGTTTCCCGAAAAAGGATTGAACTCGGCACCCTGTTTATCGAAAGGAGCCACGCCAAGCTTCTTGTTCACCTGTGCGCGTGATGCACTTCTGCCTCCCCCACCAGTCGCGACAGACGACACCGCCTTTTGTTTCAAGTGGGCAAGCTTCATCCCCATTCCAACAGGCTCGGTGCCCGGAACATTGCCGGATGTACTGGTCTTCGCGTACTCTTCGCGTTTGTCACCACTCTTTCTCGAGAACGGGAACGCAGCAGCACCCTCGCTGCTGATTCCCGTTTCAACAACCAGTTTCGAAGCGTTCTGCGTCCCACTTGAAAAGAAAGCATTGTTCTTCAGGCTAGATTTGTCGATCCTCATGCCGCCGGGTCGAGAAACGCCCAGGTTGCTGCTGTACTGGTCGTGCACAAAGTCGTCCTGTAGCCGGCCTGTTCCCAGACCCTGGTTTTTGAGAGAGTCGCTGGCGAAGTCGAGGCTTGTGTTTGTCACCACGGCGGCGGGGTTTTTGGTTGGCACTCGTCCCATCGCCGAACCTTGTGCGCACCGAGCCCAGTCTGCGTGCGAAGGGTTTATCTTGGAACAGTCGGTTGCACCACGAGAGCCAAGCGCGCCCTTGATGGCACCCACGACTCCGGCTACTCGCGGATATCGATGCGGTCCCCGGAACTCTTGCCTCATGACATAAATTAAAAGACACGCGGCTACAGTGGCAAGAATCAAAGTGGTACCTTCCTGTGTGGAGGACATCTTCTTCTTCTCCTCGTTCTTTCATAACACAAAATATTTTTTTTCAGGATAAGGGTTGGTCCGACGAACGACTTATGAATGCCCTGGATCGCGCGTCGTCGTCAGTACTAACACACGATAACATCTCTACACAACTTGTGCACGAGAACCCCTTCGTGCTCGACGCAATCCATGTAAACCCACTCTCCGATATCCTGCCTGAAGTTCATACGCATACGGTCTGTACACAGGTTGCACCTGGAAAGATGCTCGTTAGCCTCCGTAGCAACAACGTACGCAGACTGCTCCTCGGTATCACTTTCTTCCGAAACATCTGATTGCTGATGATGCGGTGCCTGCGTCGTAGCACATGCGTGATATCGCGATAACTCCGGAAACCATTTGTAACACACACCACACCACACGTATCTGAGGCTACATGTAGAAGATAATACAAGGTCATCGTTACGGAAGGAAGAGACTGGCCAGCCGTAAAACTTGGGAAAAGAACATGGCACACCCCTCCATAGCCGTACGTCACAATCCCAACGTGTCATAATTTCCAGGAAACTAAAATGATCCGATCTCTGAACACAGCATAACAAATTTCAATCTGCTACATATACAAAGGTTTAGCAAACTAAAGTTTTCAGTTCGTTTCTTTTTCTGTTTTGATTATGGGCACAGAAGACGAATCAGATTACTACTACAAGGGAGCGACCGATGAGAACAGTGTGGCGAAAGCGTCGTCCCTCTTTCAAAACCTGGGCGGATCTACTGGGGTCAGGGGAGAATTCTTCACCGACCGCTCGTCGTTCATCAGAATTCACAACCACATGAAGTCTTCCAACCACTGGAAATCCGTCAGCAAGTGGGACACCGGAGTCGAGTACACTATTCAGCATCCCACCACCGACATCATCGTAGCAGACACCAACAGGGGTCAGAAAACGGTCGTCTTCAAACAGCACGTGGTGCAGACAGTGCGCGGATGCACTGCATGCAAATCGGTCGACTTTACCGTGAACAAGTATGAAACGATAGAGCTCGACCGTACAAGCAGGTCGTATCACGACTCCACGTACACGTGGGTGAAGATTAAGTCAGAAAAGGTATTCGTTCATGAATCCGAAAGATCGTCGTGGAAGTTCCACCTCGCAGTCGTGTGGCAAGGAGACACGAAGGAAAAGGCCGAGAGCGTTCCACAGCAGTATTCGGTCGCCGTGTCGATGGGGTCCGTGGCAAAGGCTTCTCGTGACGCCGTGTACACCACGGCGTCTTTCCTGGAGAAAATGATGGACGCCATGTTTCAGAAATCTAGGAGTCGTCATATCATTCTCAACTTTTCTTGAGCACTCTCTACTTGATTTTTGGTTTTAGTTTTACGCTTCACGTGCTGCCCCGTCACGTACATTAGTGCAAACTTACCCGTTGTCCATCCGTTCGATAGAATGTGCTGATGGTCAGCATCAGCGCCAAGCCTTCTAATTTCCGAGAGGCATGCTCGTTCCTCCTTGACGGTCATGCTTTCGATGGCGGGTGTCATGACTCTTTTCCCCTGTTGCTGCGAGTCGGAATCAGTGACCAACTCGCTCATGATTCCGAATATATAATAATAATTATAATTAAAACAGATTCGCATAAATTCAACAGCACTGCTGGTATGGAAGACCTTCGGCAACAGAGAGGTGCCAGGAAAAAAAACTTGGAACAGGAGTTGTCCAATCTCGGTTTGGTGCTCAGGTACGACAGCAGGCTCTGCTCCTGCTACATCAACGGCATAACGTCTCCGGAGTGGACTGCCTCTAAAGTGGCCAAAGAGTGCGCACTAATGCACTGGCTACACAATTTTACCGACTACGAAAAACGGTGCGCGGTGGCGGCGACACAACTGTCTCGAAAGATGTGGTTTCATAGCGGACAGAACTTTGCCGATTACATGAAAAGGCGCGTGTACCCCGCTATTAAGGAGGATATTCTGAAGGAGAACGAAGGCGGTCCGGAAGAGTGGCCATGGGTCAAACACACGGCCGCCCCCGATTCGTTGACTACATCGTCGACCTGATGTATTCGAACCCTACCTCGGCACAAAGCTTCCGCCATATCCAGTCCTGATACTGTATCTTGTCGACCGACCTTAGCAAAGGAAAGTAGGGAAGGTACTCGTCCCACGACATGAGCTCCAAGAATTTGTGGATCAAGAACGAATACGACAGCATGTTTTGCCGTGGCTCACTTCGGATGATTTTCTGGAAAGGCTCCTGAATCGCGTCAAACATCTGGAGAAGAGCAGTCTCCTGCTCGTTCGTCATCTGCGGGGGCGTTACACCCGTAATAATCGCCGTGATTTGTACGCAATTGTTGTAGTGCTTGTTCAAGCGAAGCTTTTTCAGGATCTCTCTCACTTTGGTGTGACTGATCGTTCTGATGTCATCGATCCGTTGCTTCTTGAGCTCGAAACGGACACTGTCAACCACCCCTTTGTCGACGGTCGTAGTCTCCTTGCCCTGCGTGCGCTTAAGCCAGGTCTTGAAATGGTTCTGTCGCTTGTACATGTACGTGGTGTGGCTCACGTATCCTTGCCGGATGCAGTCTTCTCTGGTCATCTCCTGATACGGGTGCGACAACCCGCAATCAGGGCAAACTCTCTCCGCATCTTTGCGTATGTAGACCAGCTCTTTGTTACAAACTTCGCAAATCCATGCCTTGGAGAGACCGTTTCCCGTAGCGACTTCCGCGTCCATGTCCGCATCTTGCACATCGGACTGTGTGACAACGCGCTCTGCCTCCCCGTTGCTATGATGGGTAGTGCGATATGCCGAAATGTCAACGAAGCTATCTATAGTGCACACCACTCCCGGGAACGACGCATTCATCTTCTTGAGAAACTTGGCGTCTTGGTTCGTGGATGTCATGTGTCTCTTGACCCTTTTTGTCAAGCGATGGAATCCATCTGTCACCGGAGGCCTACGGTTGATTCCACCAAAACTGTCGTCGTCGCAGCGGTCCATTGCTACGCTGAGGTGAGATGTGGTTCACACACTGCCTCTACAATATAATGTGTGTAGAAAAGTTTCTATAATATAAATAAAAAACGCGTACAAACAAAGAGATATATATTATATTCCGTACAGTACAGTAACAAAAGCAGCACAATGAACGACAACGTCTCTACCCACACGCCTCTTATCCCCATGTCTGAAATGTTCGGGTCGAACACCAATGAAACCAGTGATTCTCGGCAGCCGATGGAGCAGCAGAAGTCCTCACAAAGAGCTTCGCTTAAGTACGTGCTGGAGATCATCGAAAGCGAGTTGGACAGTCTGGCCAAAGTCCAAACGTCTAACAACGAAGAGATTAAAAAGAGGTTAACCGAAATCCAGAGCTTCCGCGAGAGCAACCTTGTTGTAGTCGGTGCAATCAGTGGGCTCAAGAAGATCAGGGAAAAAATTTAGTCGTTGTTGTTTGCATGCTGCGTCGAGATTCCACAAATTATAATTTATGCTACAAGTTAAACATAAACGCTTTTGTCGCAGAATGGCCAGCCCACCGAACGAGAAAGGCATCATGAATGCCATGAAGTCCATGAAGACCATCGCCGGCAAAGACAGTTTCAAAGACGGATTGACCCCCAAGACCATGGCTTTTCCTTCTCCGCCCAGAGACCTCGTCGGTACGATGGAATCAACAAAAAAGACCAGGCCAAATTTTAGTACCAAGAAGAACAAAAAGACGCCCCCTCCCAATGTTACCGGCACGAGACCGAAAAAGAAATCGAGTCTTCCGCCACCGCCACCGCCGGCTGCCACGGCTACACCATCGTTACCACCACCACCTCTGACCAAACCAGACACCAACTCGCAGTTATTCGGGACTCTTCTTAACTCGCTCAAGACGGGCCCCGTCAGCCAAATGAACTCGGTGAGGCCAAGCAAGACGGGCAAGACGGGCAAGACGAAAAAAAAGATCACGCAAGGCAGCAAGAATCAAAAGAAAACGAAAGGGTACGCCTCCTCCTCGTCCTCCTCGTCCATGTCGTCGGTGTCAACCTCTTCTTCGAGGCCCTCGTCGACTTCATCTGCGTCATCAGAACCTTCTTCTTGCAGCGACACATTGTCATTGGCATCCTCAGGGAGCTGCTCCTCAGGGGGGAAATCAGGAAAACTGAAAATTGAAAAGAAAAAACGAAAGGAAGAGCTTCTTCACGAGAAAGTCGAAATGCTCACGCGCATAGCAAACCTGTCGAAAAATGGATTCACGACCACCAAGCAATGGGACGTCAAGGACGACATAGACGAGGTTCGGTACGAGTGCTATCGTATGCAGAGGGAAAGCAACTCCAAAAAGTCCATCAAGATCATGCGGCGAGTCCTGGTGACCATCACCACGCTTGTCGAAACTGGCAACGCGTACTTTAATCCGTTCAACTTGCGACTGGACGGGTTTTCCGAGAGCATGATGCTAAACCTGGACGACTACGACGACTGCTTTGAACAGATACACCACAAGTACTCGGGGCGGTCTTCTGTCGGACCAGAAATGCAGATTCTCTTCACCTTCATGTCGGCAGCTATATTCCACCACGCCGGTAACGCCATCGGCCAGAAAAGAGACGGGGCGACCAACAAGAAAAGGTCGACAGCTAATCCGATGTCGTCTGTCATGAGCATGATGGGGATGATCAACGCCAACGGCGCGTCACGAGTCAACAGCTACCCTATGCCTCGTTCTACACCGCCTCCGCAGACCTCAACCGGTTCCGAATCGCTTGACGCCAGTGCTGGTTCTGACGGTGGTAAACCCAAGAGGAAAACCATGCGAGGCCCGGGGGCATCAATGATGCCCGATTCGATCTTGGGTGCCGGCAACAGCAACAAGCAAACCACTCCGTCGATGACCCTTCCCGTCTAAGCCAGAGCTTTCCCGTGCTTGGTGACAAACTTTTGCTGGAAGTCCCTGAACAGCACGTCGAACCCGTGCACCGACTCGGGGAGAGTGAAATTGTACTTTGCACGTATATAGGCATGGGTCTTGTCGTAAAGATATGCGCGGTTGTGCTCGTTCTTCGTAAACAGAAGAGCTTGCGCAAGGCTGGTCATGTCAAACATTGGTACATGTTCTCCACTCCATCCGAAATCGATCAGCATTACGTCATAGCTTCCGTCGGCACGAACGACGTACCCTATGTTGTCGAGAGAGAGATCTCCGTGCGATACGTTAGCCTTTTCCATCGCCTCGACAGTCTTGACGATACCCTGAAATAGGGTCTTCAACTTTTTTTTACCAAGACTCTTGTGACCACCAACCAAGTCTTGCACGGACCCGTTGACCTGATCCATCGTCAAAACCCAAACTCCTTTGGCAAGTTTGCAGGTATCGTAGACTTTCGGAGCCACGCCAATCGATGCCATTTTCCTCTGTGCCCTGACCTCGCGACACGGGTCCACAAAGACAATCTTCGCCGCACGGACTGTGCCACTTTTGTTTATAATGCTGAATGTGCTTCCGTGAGCACCCGATCCCAGAAACGCTTTAAACTTCCAGTTCTTTAAGCAGTTAAGATCAAGGGCCTGTGTTATGTTGCGGCACATGTCGGACCTCGTCTTGACACTGGCAATTCTGTGTGAAGGGGCCCCCATGCTCTTCAACGTATTGACCACCTGAAGCGGAGAGATATTACAGGTCTCGCCGTCACCCGTCTCGTACCACGAACGTTCGCTGGAAGTCGGCATGTCAGATGGTCGTGTGTCAAGCAAGTATGTACAACATTTTTTAACGCCGCAAAAGCTTGTGTTCGTCGCCGTACGAACTGTATGACGGCCGAGGAAGGAATGCTGTCGGCACGTTGCTGTTGGAGAACGTTCTGGTGGCAAATTCTCTCTGACTCGAGATCGCCCTTTCGGTGAAGGCAGCGAGACGACAGAGGACAGCGTTGTTCATGTCGGGCACTTGGGGCAAATCTTCAGTCTGAATTGATTCACTGAAGATCGCATCCATTGTGCGTGTCACGTCGGGATAAGCTACGGCAGAGCCTATTTCCGACAAGGCTCGTTTGTAGACCAGTTGCACGTTTTCGGTAGAGTGAAAACGACCACTGAGTTCTTTTTCGGCGGGGCGCAGTCGCTCCTCCGTTCGCCTATAGAGGCTAAAGTCGAAAAACCTCGACATGTCGATGCATGAAGAAAACATTTTTTTCTCGCACATGTATTACATCCTAATATTAAAAAATGATCGACGCAATTTTCTCGCGAGAGACGTTCTTCAACGCATCCTTCACGAGGTCCCTCTTCGTCTTGGTGACACCAGAGACCGTTGGCGAAACAGGAGTTTCGGGCCCACTTCCAGCTGCATCTAACTTACCACCCCACTTCTTCCTGGGGCGTGTCTCCGTCTGCAGAGACGGACACGACCTCTTCTTGTTGCGCTCGACGATACCCGTCAACAAGTCGTCGAAGTGTTCACCCTCAATAAAATTCTTGTGGTGGGCGTCACATGTCCGTATCATGTCCTCCATGAAGGCCCTGAAGAAGTGCTGCGAGTCGTTGCTGTTGTCCCTGTAGCGTCGGTAGTAAGGTAGAAGAAGTTGGTGGACCGACGACTCCATGTCCTTGATGAGCGCACCTGCCTTGACGTGCGCCCAGTTGTCCTCGCCTCTCGTCGCCTTGTACATGTCGCGCTTGCATACGGCACCAACGCTCTGTTTCTCAATCAGGTCTCTTTTGTTGATGAGAGGGAGGTCACAGAATATCTCTATGTCCTCCAAACGCACCACCATCCCCGTTTGAAACACCACCACCGAGTTCCGCTTGATCGAAGTTGTGCCCTCCGTCATCAACTTCTTCAGATCGTTCGGACGCATGAAGACCGAGTTGCTGCTGCCGCGCACGGAGTCGTCCTTCACTCCGTACCCAGAAACGAGTGACACACACAGCATGCCCTGGATGGTATTATGCTTGTACTCCTTGGCCAAAATTCGGTACACCGTGTACACCGCGTTCCCCTCCTTGTCTTTTCCCGCGTGGTAGATATCGTGGGTCGGGAGAACCACCCGGGACCGACCGGTGTGCTTTTGCAGGAACAGAGGAGACGCGAGAATGTTCACGCCACCGGAGCCCGCGAAAAATGCCAGCACGGAGCTCGGGATGACCGGGGAGCAGGACATTGACATGGTGTGATGAGGTTGTGGCGAGCGTGGGCGGGAGCAGCAGCAGCTAATGTGATCGTGATGCCAGAGATTCCCGAGACAAATGTTTCATGAACATTTTGGGCGCGAAAAAATGGTTGAGAAATATGTTGTCTGACGAGGATAAAAATGTTTGGTCCAGGTAATAATATATGTAAGACATGCCAGCTCTTCTCAGCGACGCATACGGTACCATATTTTTGCAAGCGACACAAAACACCACACGAACTCCTAAAAATCAACAAATCAAGAAGAAATCACCGAAAGAACCACGAGCTCTTGGCGCCGTGGCGTCACCGGAGGATAGCGTTAGACCAGTCGTCAAGGCAAGACCTCTGTGGAGGGAGAGAGGCGGCAACTACGAGGTACACATCACAATCGACAGGCACGACTGCCACCTCCTATGCCTGTTCATCGGCGTCTTTACTCTCTCTGTTCTCTTCAACTCTAATAAACGAGGACCCTACTCCGCGGGCGGCTAGGTTTGATGGGAATTTTTCCAGGAAGAAGGCGAAGCTCTGCAGGAAAGCGTCAGAGACGTCATCGAGTTTCGTGCCATTTGTCGCCATAGCGTCCAAACCGACTTTCACACCGAACGCTGTAAACAAGAGCCGTGCAACTTCCACCGTCAACTTCTTCAACTCTCTCCCGCGGCGTTCAAAGTTGATTGAAGACAGCACGCCTTTCGGAAACGCGTACCGAACGGCTGCGAACTTGTTTTTCGGCGACACAAACACAATCTTGGTACTATCGCCACAACCGATCCTTTTTGTTTCGAAGTACGCCATGGTGATATAAGAGAGAACGATGTTTTTCACAGCACGCGAGAGTTGCTGCTCGATGAAGACATAATCCAGCTTGTCGTGCCGCAGAGCGTCGCTGGCACTTAAAAATGACAAGAGTTTTCTCCCGAGGTCGCGGATGGTCTCGCGCGTGTTGCCGATCTTGACGCGCTGAGCGTGGAGAAGATCAAAGTCGAAACTCCCATCGGTTCTCGAAACGAACTCGGTCACGCAAAACGCAAGGTTTATTACTCCGATGTCGATAGAGGCACACCGGTACGTCTGCATCGCCGTCGTCATCAAGCTTTCCAAAAAAGCGGTCGCACATTATCTTTTCCGAATATTAAACGTCACAAATTTTACACCCAAACAAGTAGTTCTGCGTCTGCACGTTCGACGTGCTCGACCTTGGCCACGGCAACGTCTCTTTGCGGATCGACAACCCGAAATCCCCAAAGATGTACGAGTAAAAGTCCTCGTTGAACGTGATTGTCGAGTGAGGGAACTTGAGAGCCGCAAACGACTTTAACTTCGTGACGAAAATGCTCTCCAACGTATACTCCTCGTCGGATAGCGACACGTTGTCCGAGTTGATGAAAGCGAACAGGGGGTTCGTGCTGTACTGTAGTTTTTTCTTCTGCTCCCTTATTCGCGAGGGCAACGCCTGCCAGATGTCTCCGTTGCCAAACTGCTGCACCGCGTCCCGGTACGCCAGAGCACTTTTGCGAATGATGGCCGGGAGCTCGGTGTCCTGGATCTCGTCCATGAGCCCAGGATTGACTTTGTCCTGGGGAACCTTGTGTGAGAAGGGAAACACCACAATTCGACGAGAGATAGATCCACTCTTGTCCTCCCACTTCGCAGACTCGTTGCCGGCCATGATTCCAGGAGTTGTCCACACGCCCGTGATCGGTGACCCATTCTTCACCGGCATCGAGAGGGTCTCGCCCGTCACCATACTCTGGAAGTCCGCCTGATCCATGGCGAAGTCGCCCTTGAGTTCGGGAACCACGAAGATTGTCTTGTTGTAGATGGTCGACAACCCGAACTTCTTCTCGATGTTGTTGGAAATCACACCAACATCGGCCCGGTTGTACATCATCTGTATCACCTTGATGACAGTCGACTTCCCCGTGCCGGCCACGCCTTTCATGAAAGGGATGACCTGCCACGAATCCAGCTCGGACACTTCGTAGAAGAGCCTCCCGACAAAAACATACATCCACCACAGCATGTCCTGATCCCACATCTGAGGCTGGAAGATGGAGTCGAACAGCGGAGTCTTCAACTCGGAGAAATTGAGCTTGGCTGCAGCCCGGGAAGGCGTGCTGAAGTACACATCGTAGAAGTCTTTGTATATGATCTTGCAAGAAACTAGCCGCTCTTCGATCTCCTGGTCGTACGTGGTGAAGGTGTCTTCCGTCGCGTCATAGATGCCGTCGTTGAAGCTCCAAACCCGTCTCTTGGCGTTCAGGTCCGGAAACTCCAGGTCGCAGCAGTTCGTGAGGTACTTGACACACTGTTCGTAGTTTCCACTCATGTTGCAATGCTTCCACATCTCGCAGTGGGTCTCCTTGTCGCACAAAAACCTCACGATTTCCTTGATCTCGCACAGCTCCTCCCACGCGTGAGTTGGATAGTTGCCGATGAAAACCTGTCTGTACACGAACCCGTTGAAACGACGGTAACGTCTACGGCTGAGCTCTCCTAGAAGATACAGGATCAGGAAGTGCAAAGGAGTCATGTCGTCCTTGGACAGCGGCGAGTACCAGAAGATCGTCTCGGGTGTCATGGGCGTCGGGAAAGATCCGTTGCAGTTCGCAGAGCGCATGAACATCATCATGCTCTGGTGGGCATGGAAGATCGTCTCTTGAAACCGAGAGAATCGCTCTTTTTCCTCGTCGGTCAGTTCATCGTCGCATCGGTGCGTGAGCTCGTCTCGGAGGTCGATGTACAGGTTCCAATCCGTCCGGTGGATTTCGTTGATGCGCTCGGGTACGAGGTCCTCCGCACAGGTCACCTCGAAAATACTCATGATGCTCTGAAAGCCTTCTGGTGTCGGGTCGATTTTCCATCTCTGCTCGATATCATCGAACTTCCCGAGAATCTCCTCTTTGCTCCGGAGCTCCTGTTCTTCGTCATCGTGCGCATTGACCACATCCATGGCGCCGGAGGAGCTTGCTTCGCTCTCTCGTTTAATACGCAAGAAATATTATTTATCAATCAATATATACAACCCATAATATAAAGTACCATGGCGATACGATCCGTCGACGAGATTGTTAACCTTTCAGACTCGTCCAAGAACCCCGAAAAACTGGCTTTCAAGGATCTGGTCCAACACATCGATCCTCGAATCAGGGTACGCGCTCCAAGGCACAACAGTCTTCACTTCAAAATCCCCGGAATGTTATGGGGCCATCCCGTCTTCGACGCCGACAGGGTGGAGAAAATGATTGTCCACCACTACAAGCGAATGGGGTTCCAGTGTGCCAGGCTGGCCAAGAGGGAAATACTCATACAGTGGGGAGAGGGAGGACAAGGGGAAGAGGGTGGAAATCATGACTCGACCGATGATTCCACCCCAAGCAGCGACACCGAATCCGCCGTTTCAACGGAGTCGTCCGACACGGCAACGAGCGAGGCTACTGAATCCACAGACTCCTCCGACGGAGATGACAGCCATGAAAACAAGACCAAGTGCGTGACAGTCGAGCAGATTCCGCTAAGCAAAAGGCTTTCTATCGTCAACAACCAGCTACAACAAAACCCGTGATGAGATCAATAATAATGTTTACCATTGGTATACACAATAGTCACAATGATAATTTCAAACTACGAAATCGGTAATGAAATTGGGTCGGGGGCTTTCGGCACCGTCAACATTGGCGAGGACCGAACGACGGGCGAAAAAGTAGCAGTAAAGTGCATCTCGAAAAGCAGGATCCAGAAAAGCAACATGGGCTCGCAGGTCAAGAGGGAGATCACAACCATGAAGAAGTTGCACCATCCAAATATCGTGAGCATCCGGGAGGTTCTGATGTCGAACACGCACCTGTACCTCGTGCTCGAGTACGCCGGGGGAGGGGAACTTTTCACAAAAATCGCTAATCAGGGAAAGCTTCCCGATAAACTATCCAAGAGATACTTCAAACAGATCATGGACGGGGTGAGATTTTGTCACAACCTCTACATCTGCCACCGAGATATAAAGCCGGAAAACATCCTGCTAGATTCCGACGACAACGTCAAAATCGCAGACTTTGGGTTCGCGTCCATCATGGAGCCCGAAGTAGGTTCGGATCAACAGGCAGACAACGGACGCTCGGGTCTTTCTTCCATCGACGAGGAGTCCGAGCAGTCGGGCACCATCGAACCGTTGCTCGACTTCGTACCCGACACGTCCTCTCCACGGCAGCAGCCTCACGCAAACAAGTTTCGAAACCTGCCGTCCAAAGTGATGCAAAAAATGTCAACCATGTGCGGAACGACACAGTACATGGCACCCGAGATAGTCAACAGAGACAGCTACAGAGGAGACAAGGCTGACATCTGGTCGTGCGGCGTTGTCCTTTTCGTTCTTCTAACAGGAGGTCTCCCTTTCGACTCGGACGATCCATACATCGTCGTGCAGAAAATCAAGAACGGGCGCTTCATCATACCGTCGTTCATCTCGGATCTCGCGCGAGATGTTATTTCGAAACTCCTGACGCCCAACCCACTGGTTCGACCGGGCGCGAGGACTATTCTCGACCACGAATGGTTCAGCGACGCGGGTCCTCTCCCACCCCCTGCTCTCACACCGAGCTCGTTGCCACGAGTCAGGAGTAACCTACCAACTCCCGTGAAAAAACACACCCACACACTTGTTTCCGAGAAGGATCGAAAAAACGTGCTAAAGCTATGTTTGTCCGAGTCCAAGTCTCGGGTCGTAAACATCTTGCGAAAGAACGCGTGGATGCAGAAACCCGACGATGGAGCATCAATCAAGGCTTCCAAGATGACGCCCACGGGGCTGGCCATGATACAGGTCTTGGTGGAAAAAATGAACCAAACCGAGACCGAAGTCGGGATTGAGGTTTTTGGTAGACAGAAGAACTCGGGAGCGCGAGAGATCAATAAACTAGTCAACGACATCAAGGCACTCAGTTCCTGAAATAACTCGAACTTTCTGGAGCAATGACGAGACAAAAACTCACCGCGTTCACCTGTAAAAACACAAATTATTACTTATTCGTAGAATGGAAAACGTTTTATGCATACAAGAAACGGTTGCGATGTGTGATAACGACGAGATATTCATGAAAGAAATGGTCGTCCTCATGCGCAACGACATCGTGGAGTGCCTTTCGTTGTTGGCGGAGGCCTTCAACAACAACAACCCGGCCCGGACGAGAGAGGTCGCTCACAGAGTAAAGGGACAAGCGGCTAGCATGGCCGCCAAGGACCTGATGTTACACTCCAAGAAGGTCGAAGATGCCGCGAAAATTGGTTTTTGTACCAAAACAGAGTACCTGAGCTTGGTTTTGAGTATGAAGGAGTTTGTCCGGTGCACAAGAGACATTGTTTGATGAATATATTTTTGGCGAGAGCCATGTGACAAGCTCATTGTTAAATATCTGCACCTTCCAACAAGACATGGCCTCGATTATCACCGAAGGACACGTCAGTGCCAATATTCTGTCTTTTGGCGAGAAAGATTTCCTTTTCACCGGAACAGTCTGCAGGGCATGGCGACAGAACTCCGTGGAAACGTACACCGGAGCGGGAGCAGCAGTCGAAAGCACATCTAGATTACAGGAAGCCGTTGAATACGGCGTCAACCCCCACCTGGCATCGTTTCATTCATTGGATGACGGCGCCAGCATAGCTGTCATCCGGAAACTAAACGAAAGCTATTGCTTCTGGGATCAGTTCGACATAGAGCGTGCCGCGCAGCACGGGCGCGTCGACGTCCTGATGTTTATGCGCGAGAAGGGGTACCCAGCCGACGAGCGGGTGCTCCACTCCGCCGTGCGGTACAATCAACAGGAAGTTGTCAAGTACCTCCTGGGGGTCGGATGCCCAATTGACAAGACCGTCATCGAGTGGGGATTCGGTCCCTATATCGTCGACGAACTGAAGATGCGGTCGATGGAGGTTGCTATCTCCGAGGGGAACTTGACGATGGTCAAGATCCTGCGCACCGTCGACTACCCTTTCATCGACAACAGCTTCGTGTTCGCGTGCGATACTCAAAACACTGAAATACTAGAGTATCTCATTCAGGAGAAATGCCACGTGCCACAAGGTCTCTTCCGCGAATCGGTTGAACTCCGTAGTTTCTTTACGCTTGCGTTTTTGATCGACCACAAGTTGCTGGTGGATGAGTGGGATCTGTGGGGATGCATCATGGATGACGGCGATGACATGATGGTGTTCTTGCTCGAAAAAGGCATCATCCCGACAGACGACGACGTTGACTCGGCGATCGCCGCCGGCAAGCTTGGCACCGCCAAGTTTTTGACGAAGGAGTACTCTTGTCGGCCCACGCCGTTGGCGTACATGATCGTATTCGACAACATAATGTGCGACTGCCACTACGTCATGTACCTTGACTGGCTGCACGACGACATGCACTGTAGCATTGGGTTTTCGTCTCCCGAGGACATGTACGAAGACCCTCAGGGAGCTTTCGTGCTTGATAATTGCAGCAGTACCATCGAGGATTGGTTTGTGGAGAGAATTGGATAATTCAGTGATTAAGGTCCGCATTTTGTGAAGATTTACAACAATAATATATATGTACTGTTGAACGAAAGATGAATGCGGAGAGACTCGAGGTATCTATCTTCAAGGACCTTGACTTCAACAAGACGTTGATTTCCAGCGTCATGACAGCAGAAATTGAAAATGGCGTTGGAAATATGATGCTTGGTGTCATACCCGCCATTGACAAGAACCTGCGCGGTCTATATTACTACGGGAGACTGAGGCGTTACCCAGAGCCCGCATTGTTATCAACTTAAGCTTTCTAGAACAATTTTGCGAATCTTACCTACTCGAAACGATCTAGAAGAAAGACCACATTTTTCAATTTTATACGTAAACATTTGAGTGTATTGGTAGCCCACGCTGCTCACAATTCACCTTCACCATGGCAACCACCACTACAAAATCGAAGACGAAGAAGAAGAAAAAGAGAAAGAAGATGGCCGACATCACAACACGGCTACACGAGGTCTACAACATCAACACGCTACGAAGAAACGACGACGAGCTTTCGCAACCGAAGTTTCAACAAACGACTTGCCTGGAAACAGTGGGATATTCCGAGGTTTAAAAAACCCTAAAAGCTGGACCATTGAGGAGACAACTTAGTTGTTTCTATCTGTTTTTGTTCACTACAACTTAATAGTTCCGGTTTTCTTAAGTTGATATTAGTGACCGAGGGTCTCGTGTTACAGTCCGAAATTTCACACACTCGCTTGTCGTCGCATTTTTTCGACATGGAGTGTACAACACAGTACTGGTAGCCGTCGTACCTCGCACCCTTTGCACATCCTTCCTCAATGCACTTCTTGCCGCAATCCACGGGGGATTTGACACTGACTTCGGGGTCAGGTAGACCCTCCTGAATGAGATGATCCCTGTGTTCGGCGCAGAAATTCAGTTGTCCGACGGTGGACACGATGAAAGTGTGTGCTCTCTTCGCGCAGCCGACGTACTTGCAGAGAGGGTACAGATCGACCAAACCCGGTACCTCGTCCCCGTGTTTCGAACAGTACTGCTGGCGTCCTCCGGGAAAGCCGTACCTCAGACGAGAGGTCGTGCACAGCTTCTTGCTCTGGCACAGGGGGTTGGTGGGGTCCGGCCGGTTGAGCTTGTCACACATGGCGTCAAAAAATGTCTCGACGGGATCCATTTGGTCCGCCTTTCTTTTGTTGTTGACGCCCGAATCGCTCTCCGGCCTGATGGTGATGACCTTCTTTATCTTGGGCTCGTGCCCGACGTCGCCTTCTTCGGTCATCAGGCGGATGTGCCTCTGGAGATTCTGCGTCGATGCATGATTCTTGCCACACGTGCACATGAATTTCTCCGTGTGAAACTGGTTGAAGTGGTTGATGAGCTTCTCTTTGGCGTCAAACGTTTTGTCGCACCCTGGAGCTAAACACGGATGTGTCTCTTCCGGCACATGCTTTGCGTGGAAATGCTTCTTCAGATCTTGCTTCACCTTGAACCTCTTTGGACACGCCGAACAAGCGAAGGGCTGGTTGGTTCTGCCACACCCGTCTTCATGTCTCTTGAAACTTGTTTTCGCGATGAATTTGCCACACTTGCGGCAGGCGACCTTTGGAGCAGGAGGCATAGTCGTTTGATGGAGTGAGCGACTGGTTGAAGGGATTGACGACAAACGTTTCCTGTAAATAAAATGAATATTGTCTGCAAACATTTTTTTTTCGGGACCAACTTTTCGCCGTTTTCAAAAATTATTATATTGACAACCATTACTCAACTATATACATCAATCATGCCGGCTTACCTCAAACCGTCAACAGGTGGATGAAAGGTCGCAAGGCTTTTGGGGATCAAGAGTTGAGTCGTCCTCTCATCGAACCAACGGTGACATTGCAACCACCTAGTCCGTGTGTCATTCGCAGAGCCGTCAGGCTTGGGTGCGCATAACCGGGACGACAGTCCGGGTGAGGGGTTCTGAAATCCCGGGGCGAGATTCTTGAAAACGGTCAAAGGTATGATTCTCGTGGGTCGCAAGAGTCGTGCAGAGACCGTCGGTGGAATCATCCCGAAAGAGATGCCTTCCGTCGCTAACGACTGGGTCAAGAGTCGGTCGCTAAGGGCTTTCGAGTCTACGCGGCTTAATGTACAGTCTAGTCTCACTCAAGTTCGGGTAACTCCGAGGACGAGAGTGAGCCGTGTGTGATCGAGACGATTGAAAATTGAATCTCGGGAAGCACACGGGGGTTGTTTGCTACAAACAGCCTTATATCGAGGAGGAGGGGTAATGGATTGCCCCTAATAGGATGTCGTGGAGTCGCAAGGCCCCAACCTTCCATCACGTGAGCACATGTGAACGATGTTCTAGTCCGGGTATACTCGTTCTGTCTTTCATTAGATAAGAGGGTATGTCTAGTCCTGGGTACTCCCGGGATGCGGAGGCGTTGTTGACCAATACCTCCAGGGCAAGGTTCGTGAAAACGGTCAAAGTTAGTCCCCGTGACTGGGTGCTGGTCAGACCGTCGGCGGGACCATCTCGAAAGGGGTGACTCCTTTCGCTAACGACTGGGTCACGAACCCCTCGCTAAGGGTCGCGAAGACCTATGCGGGGCAATGTACAGTCTAATCTTCCGTGAATCCGGGTAACTCCGGGCAAAGCGGGAGCCTCGTGTGATCGGGTAGATTGAAAATTGAAGCCCGGGAAGCACGAGGGCGGGGAAACACTTCCGCTTGTTCCCCGTTGGTTGTTTCAACACCGAGCACAATCTTCAGCTCTGGGTGTTGAAGCAACCACCTGAATTCAGATAGCTGCTGTGGGCCGCCAAAATGATCACCTTAACGCCAACCCGGAGATGACTCTGTTCAAGAGCCAGCACAAGCGGTACACTAATTTCGCGGAGGACTTTGAGGAGAACGACTTCAGCGCGGGCACCGTTGGTTTCGGGCAGCGCGTGTCGGCGAACGTGTCTCGCTACGGCGACCTCGTGAGCGACGTTCTGCTAGAGGTGACTCTGCCTGCGATCCAGGCTTCGGAGAGCGTTGTGAACGGCGCGGGCACCGAGGTGGCTGACGCGGACAAGGCGGCGTACTGGGTGAACGCGATCGGTTACGCCATCATCAGCGAGGTGGAGATCGAGATCGGTGGGACCGAGGTGGACACTCTCTACAGCGAGTGGATGTTCCTGTGGGAGGAGTTGACCCAGCGCCCCGGAGCGCGCCTCGGCGAGCAGATCGGCAAGTTTGCGTACTCGGCAGACGTGGAAGAAGACATGATCGAGTTCGCCAGCCAGGAGAGGAAGCTTTACGTGCCGCTTCCGTTCTGGTTCAACAAGTACTGGATGGAGCACGGTCTGTCGATCCCGCTGATCGCGCTGACCTACCACGAGATCAAGATCAAGGTCAGCTTCCGACCCCTGGCCGACTGCTGTGCCGTCGTCTACCGCGAGAGCGACCCCACCTGGGGAGACTACTGGGCGCTGGCCACCGACAAGATCCCCATCAACACGGCCTCCGCCTCGGCAATGGCCGCCTCCGACATGGACGCGCGCCTGCTAGTGTCCTACGTCTACCTCGACCAGGAAGAGCGCCAGGCATTCGCATCCGTGCAGCACGAGTACCTCATCACCACCACTCAGCGCCAGATGCACTCCATCACGTCCGCGAGCGCCAAGTCCGACCAGCTCAAGCTTTACTTCAACCACCCGTCCAACGCTCTCATCTGGTTCGTACGCCCCACCGACTTCAAAAACCTGCGCCGCCGCTTCTCCGTCGGACACAAGGACATGTTCGACTTCTCCCTGCAGAAGGAAGACACCACCGTAAGCATGTGGGGCGACGTCACCGATTCTGTAGCTTCGGCATCTTTGAATCTCAACGGACATAGCCGTTTTCCAGACAACCTGCCTGGCCTGTTCTTCCGCCAGGTGCAGCCCGCTCTCAAGTGGCCCAACACTCCGGCCGGATACACCTACCTGTTTACCTTCGCCGCTATCGGCGGCGTGTGGAACCCTACTTCCACTCTCAACATGAGCCGCATCGACCACGTGCAGCTCGAACTCAAGTACGGTGACAACATCCCCACGTCGGATGTCGTCGTATTCAACGAAGCCTACAATCTTCTTGTCATCAAGGAGGGGATGGGGGGTGAAGTTAAAGATCCCATGGGGGGTCTGGACGCCTCCAGTAGGGTATCGTGGGGTCGCGAGGCTCCAGTTCTATCTTGTGGATTTACACAAGAACGATATTCTAGTCCGGGCGCACTCGGTTTGCTTGTTTGTTAAGTAAGCAATGGGTGCGTCTAGTTCCGGGTACTCCTGGAATGCGGAGTTTCATAGTAGAATGTAGTTGAAACTCCAGGGCAAGGTTTGTGAAAACGGTCAAAGCTACTCGTTTCTTAGAGGAAAGAGGCGAGTGGGTAGACCGTCGGTGGGTCCACCTCGAAAGGGGTGAAACCGATCGCTATCGACTGGGTCACGAATCGGTCACTAAGGGTTTTTCCGCACCGGGAAAAACCTATGTGGCTCAATGTACAGTCAGGCCTGAGTGAATCCGGGTAACTCCGGGCAAAGCTCAGCCCGTTGTGATCATGATGATTGAAAATTGAATCATGGGAAGCACGGGGGTGTAGAATTTTTTACATCGATTGGTATCAGCCTTCCTTCTTCCTTCAAACAGGGTTGATACCTGTAGCCGGTCCGCTACTCCAACTAATATTGAAGCATTTTCGCCAAATGCATGCGCCTTTTTTTCAACGAAAGTGTAATAAAAGATAAAAGTGATATGATTTCTTTGGGGTCAGTTATCACGAAATAATAAACAAATATATTCAAACAATTCTCATTCTCGTCACACGAACGGCAATTATTTTGTTGTTCGTCTACAAAGGTTAAAGTCCGCCGATTTCCAATCAAACAAATGGACGTTCTCAAGACCTTTGTTTTTGACAACACGGAGCACGTCGTCGACATACAAGTCGTCGACGACAAACCGATGTTCAAAGCCGACCAAATTGGGAAAATCATTGGTCTCAAGCAGATGCGATCGTCAGTCAGACATTTCGACCGAGATGAAAAGGTAGTGCAACGTATGCACACCCGGGGAGGAGAGCAAGATTGCACGTTCTTGACTGAAATGGGCGCATATCGACTGCTCATGCGATCAGACAAACCCATGGCGCGCCCCTTCCAGAAGTGGGTCGCTCATGTGATCGCGACCATTCGCGAGACAGGAAAGTACGAGCTTTCAAAACAGCTGGACGATCTCAAGGGACAGAACGACAATGAAAAGGCCGATCTTGTGATGCACTACAAATCCCAGCACGAGACCGAGACGCATGATGTCCTTCTTGGCGGCTTTGCAAACAAAAAAGTCGTATACTACGGGAAAATCGCAGATCTCGAAGACGGAACGTCACTCATCAAAATTGGATCTACGGCAAATATCAAGCAAAGAGTCGGCAGTCTTCGCTACGGATACGGCTCGTTCACCGTTTTCAGAGTCTTCGAGTGTCAAGAGCACAACGGATTCGAGAAATTTCTGCATCAACACGTGGACATCAAGAGGTACAAAAAACCTACCTACAACGGAATAGTTTCTACGGAGACTTACGCCATGAACGACGGAGACCTGAAAAGGGCCATTAATATTGCAATACGAAATGTGGTACAGTATCGCAGGGACACCGAACAGATCAGAGACATCAAGGAAATCGTGGAAGATGTGGTACAGGCCGAGGTGGCAAAAGTTCTCGGAGAGAAACGCAAGGCTCGTGTATCCGAAGAGGCGCAGCATGACTCCAAGAGGGGACACAACACAACCCTGGGCTCGAAAATTCAGATCTACGCTGAAGACGGGGGCCTTGTCAAAACGTTCAATCGACTCATCGACACATTGCGCAATGATCAATGGCAATTCGATGAAAAAGTCTACCGTGCCGGTGTCCTGAAGGCATGTGAAGGTGACTTCATCTACGCCGGGTATCGGTGGATGCAACTCGACAGGAATCTTGACGACGACACTGTTCAACAACTGAGACCTACGATCTTGAAGAAAAATATCCACAAGGGGTGGGTGGCGCTGTTGAGTTCGGATGAAAGCGAAGTTGCCGAGCTATACCCCGACTTCAAAACGGCTGCTGAACAAAACGGGTTTCTATCTCTAGGAGCTCTGCAAAAACGAAGGAAAAAGGGTGACAAAATACACGGTCATGTCATCAGGCCATGGTCAGAGTGCGGAGACGAGTTGCAGAAATTGTACAGAGGTACCTTCCCCGACAAAACCATCGGTGGTAAGCACATACGGGTTTTGAAGATGGATCCTGTTACCAAGGAAGTACTCCATGAGTATGAGACCATCAACGAAGTGATGGCGAAAATTCGCTGTGCGCATCGAACATTGAAGTCGGCGATAGCAAAGGGCGTTGAGCTCAGAGGGTATCTCTGGAAGTTTGCCAGTTAAAAGTTTTCGGTATGTTCGATGTCCACAAGTTAATTATAAAGCTTTCTCATCAAACAAACTCAATCGATCACCAAATTCTGAAAGTCGGAAAAATAATGAAGTGCCTGTAATGACGCGCGTCCACTCTTACCTCTAGCTACAAGCAACTCTGCGAGGGAATCAATCGCAGCACCGCTAAATACCTCAAGGTGCACGACTTTCAGAGATGTATTCACCAAACCCTTGAAGAGATCGGGATGATCTGTGTCGCTGATGCTGATGAACCTAAGGTTGCTGTCGACATGCGCAGTGGCCTGCAGAACACTTTGGTTACCATCGCGTCCAATGGAACACCCCCTAATCGCCAGCTTGATAAGTGTTCCACGCTTAACCATATTTTCCAGTGCACCAATACTGCCATCCCCAATGTTGGTGAAGGACAGATCGAGTGATTGAATCGATGTGTTTGAAAACAAAGCGTCGAACGCCGGTCTCATCCAATCGCGGAAAATCTCAAGCTCTGTAAACTTCACGTCGGTCGCCTTCATGTTGGACAAGACGCGAACCATTTCAGACCAAGCATCCTCCCCAAAAATAGAAGCGTTAACACTCAGAGAACGGAGCGGACACGTGTCGAGAACGCGAACTAGTCCATCACCCCCTCCGTCATAGTCTGCAATCGCGCCATCGATCTCGAGGCTCTCGAGAATACCAACTTCGGACACCGCCTCGCAAACAGTATCCACCTTGTCTCCATCCATGTCACTGCCCGGGTTGCTTGCGATAGTCAACTTCTTCAGACCTTGAACACAACCATCGGCAATCGCTTGGTTCGCGTCGGCACAACTTTCACCTACAATCTCAAGACTCTCGATGTCAGTAGACCTTCGTGACAAACATTCGAATAAATCACATCGACAGGGGGATAAATCGTTGTTGTTTGTAACGATTTCCACTATCGAAGTGTTGCTCTCAACTGCATCCAGAATACGAGGTGTGTATGGAAAAAAGTCATGGTCACGCAACTGCCTATCGACGGAATCACGAAGTCTTTGAATAATGAGCGCCTCCTCTACAGTGTGCAGGCTAGGAAACTCAAGAGAAATGATGTGCCTGGGAGACCTGTAGGGAGAAGTTTCGCCGAAAAGACGGTGAGAACACCATGACAAATAATAGTCCTTCTCTTCATTGCACCCTGTGTGGACGATCATGTCATCAGTGAATGAGTCGAAGAAACCATCCGGCTGAGCATTGAACATCCCGATTGGGATAACGTACACCCCGTTCGCCGACGAGGGTACCGGAAGCAAATTCGGCTTCACTGTCGTGACGTATTCTGAAGCAGTCGGTAGGAAGTGCTTTAAAGCCTGGTGCACTCCTCTGGAGGATGCTGACATTGCAATCTTGTCGCGCTGGTTCAAGAAAAAGGACACCCGACGCATCACATCTTCGTTTCCGAAGTTGACGCCGAAGTGGTTCAGAGTTGAAAAGGAAGCCATTACTATATGTATGTGGAGATTTCAAAAGGAATGTGACAACATGTGCACGTGACAACATATCCACTTTTTGTTGTAAATAAATTCCCACAAGCGGATATTGACAATGCCAAGTCTTTACTCAACAAACGTCCAAGACTCATCATCAGTGTTTCTACACGACATGAGAATGCTCAGAATGCTCTCTCCTGTGTCGCCAGAAGCTTTTGGCAGCGATTCGAATTCATCTCCACCAAGTTTCACCACAGGCTTGTCGTGCGCCCAGTAGTTGCCCGCCCTGTTTTTCCTCCCCGTGGAGCAGTTGATCGAGACCGTGGCCACGTTGACTCCCATTTGACGAGCACCTTCTGACGACGACTTGAATCGTAAGAATGTTCCATCTAGTTTGATCAGAAGCACTGGTTTCTCTCCCGGCGGTAGCCTTTGACCGCTGGCGAAGGCCATTTTGTTGTTGTCACTCGGACTCAAATACCTCAGGTTCGACACATCGTTGTTCCCTTCGAACCCATCGATGTGGTCCACCTGGTATCCATTCGGGCGTTCTCCAATGAATGCCTCGGCCACGAGTACGTGCACGTACGCCCTATTCTTGATGCTCTTGCCATCAACGACCAGAGTCATATCGACTCTTCTGTAGCACCGATCCCCCTTTTGTGACTTGACGATGTGTCTATACCCCTGTGTCCATCGACCCTCCGACATTTTTACCCTACCGTCTGACGACACCAAGTGTGACGTAGATCCCCTTATCTTCTTAACTTCCCCCGTGGGATCATCCGACTTGCCGTACCCAAACATGTACCCCTTGAAAGATCGTTCGAAGCGCATGGCGTTGTAGATAGAAACACGACAAGTCTCAAAGAACGCCGAGGCCTCGAGAGCTGATATGAAGAACAGATCTTCTCCCCCACTCTCACTGGTGGCGACGACCGGTCTGCTTGCAATCGCGGATGGGTATGACGCCCGTTGCTCGCCTCGGTGATGGTTGTCCACCTTAGGTTTTCGAGGACATCATTGCCGCGATCGCGATCGATGTGATGCGCCACGTCTCCATCAATCGGTGCCCTGTCGAAAGCCCCGAGCACAAGTCTTCCGACAAGGTAAGTAAAACTTTTGCCACCAATCGGAAGTGTGAGGAGCTGGTATCCATGGCGGTTCGTGGTCAACTTCCGTACGAACTGATTATCCACTCTCCTCACGCGGCCCAGATTCGAAACCTCGTAAAGATGAGTCACGTGTGTCGGCTTCCATGTCTCTTTCACCGATGCATCGCGCGTCTTGAGTGGAGTGGTGATGGCATTGGCCTTGGCCTTGCCATTTCCATTGGAGTCTTTTGTCATGGTGCTGCTTATTGAAGGTTGTGACGACATATGTATGTGACAACACCTCCAATATTTGAAGTAAATATTTTCCGCAGCTATGCAATCACCTATCTATAATTATCAATCAAGACACCATGGACGAGATCAACTACCTGGTTCTTTACGCAGACGGGGGGTTTGGCGTGATGCCCATCGGCGACGCGGACGACGACGAAATATTCCGGAAACTCATGAAGGTCTTTGCAACAGACAGGGGGTATTTTTACGACAACTACCAGACGGACACTCTGTGCGTGTGCAGCGCACAGGATGTCTCCGCTCTTGTCGAGTTGGACGGCGCCAACGACACGCTGAAGGCCTTCGCATCGTCACTCCAGGGCCACGGCTTTGAATTGTTCATCTGCTGGCACGAGCATAGCCGAGAACTGCATGACTCAGGGGTGTACAAGAACTGCAACATGTTTTTTGAAGAGAATAGTAGGCGGGAAAAAATGTTTGGCCCCATCGTCCTCAGAGCGCAAGTGTACCAGGACGACGCCGCTGCTGCTGCGGTGGAAGTCTCTGCTTCAGTCGCTTTGTATGTTGCCGAGAAGATCGTGAACGCCAAATTATACTTCGATGGCTAAGCCGTTGAACCATTTTTCCATTTCACCTTTTTTATTGTCCAAAGCTTGCATTCGTGCAATCAAGCGGTGTCGAAAAGCAGTGCACAAAAGCATTCCGTCTTTCAGGCGCAAGCGCGAATAACACACAAAAAAAGCGGATCCACGCTCAAGAAAACATAAACCACTCGTGACTCTTCGTGCGCCAGGGGAAGACGCCACCCCCTCCGCCGTAGCAAACGTCGGAGTTGCTGGTGTCAATGTGACACCGCGTGTCGGCCACGAACTTGGCGACCGCTTGGTCGCAGTTGCGCAGCTCGCCGACGTGCATTCCCGTCAGCGAAGTTTTGCCCAATCCCTCGAAGATGGATGGAAGATCGATGTCGTTGTCGAAGATGCTGACGAACTCCAGGTTGCTGCCAGCGTGCGTCGTCGCCTCCAACACACGACGGATGCTCTCCCTGCCGATGTCGCAGTTGCCAACAGCCAGCCGAGTCAGTGTTCCTCGAGTCACCATGGCCACCAACGCGCCGACGCTCCCGTCGCCAATCTTGGTGGAGGAGACGTCGAGCCACCGGATGTTCTCGTTCGAGAACAGTGCATCGAACACGGGTTTTCCCCAGCCATCAAAGTCGCACTGCGTGAGCTTGACGTCGGTCGCTTGCAACTTGGGCAAGACGCGCACCATTCCCGGCACGCACGGTATCTCGAAGATGGTGTCGTCGATGCGCAAGGATGTGATGGGGCACGCGTCGAGCGCACGGATAAGACCGTCGGCCCACTCTTCGTAGTCTCCCACCACGTTGCCAACCTGGAGAACCTCGAGCATGCCGGCGTCGGCCACCGCCTCGCACACCAGGTCTACGGTGAATCCGTCCACTTCCTGATCAGAACATCCTGTCGAAAGTGACAGCCTCTTCAGGCTCTGCGCGCAAGAGTCGGCGATGATTTGAGTGGATTCGACACAGATACCGCCCGTCAGGTCCAGCGATGTGATGGCCGTAGACCGCGCGGACAAGCAGTTGAACAGCCTGCACCGACACGGGCTTATCTGACTGAACGCCGAAACCTCCACAATCGACGTATTGCTCTCGATGGCCTTCACGATGTCGTCCGTGTAGGCGACAATGTGATGGTCACTCAGTCGAGTGTCGACCGACTCGCGGAGTCGTTCCACGATGAACGCCACTTCTCTCAGCGGCAGACCACCCATGAACAAGTCAATGGAACGTCTCCGGCTCCGCGCCGACCCTTTCGCCAGCTTCAGCCGATGCTCCAGCCATGCCGCGTAGTAGTCCCTGTCTTCATTCGCGCCGACGTGCGTAATCAGGCTCTGGTAGAAGGTGCAAAAGGTGTCGTACTCGCTGGGTCGGAAGGTTGTGAGTGGCGTGGAGTACACGCCGTTCTCAGAAGAAGAGAATACCGACATCAAGTTGGGCTTCACGGTGGTGTTGTACTGTGTCGCAGTCGGCAACAAGCATTTCAGAGCACGGACATAGCAACCGGCCGATGTCGCTAGGGCGATTTTGTCGCGCTGGTGCAGGAACAGCGACAGGTGTCGCACCACGTTTTCGTCGAGGTGGCCCAAGCTCGAGTACGCAATCATGTTTTGCGTTTTGACATTACATGTATTTCTACTCTTTCGTGTTATCTTTCGCCCGCACACTAGTTGCCACTGTTTGCTCTCTGGCGTACGTCTGCATCCGACATGATATTTTAACAGAGGATGGCATCGTCACTCGACATCCCGGCAACACCGCGCCGAGCAAGAGCCGACCATGTTGGGAACCATTACAGCGGACGAGATTCGCACCGACGAGGTGCAGGGTGCGACCTCCGAAACGTCCATCACCATCGGATCAGCTCTGTTCCCTTCAACGGATTCAGTGGCCAGGTCCACGGCTTCGTTCGGGGGATCGGCATCTTTTGTTAAAAAATCCGCTCACCAGGCCGTTGTTTCGGCCTCCGCCACCGTAGACCCGTCGACCACGATCGTGGGTGTCAGGTTCAATGGATCGGTGCAACTTGAATTCGTCGAAACGCCGAGCACGCCGACCGAAGTTTTCGTGGTGGACGAAGGCGGGTTCTGTAGCTCAACCAACCTCATAACGGCGACACTCCCGACGTCGGCGGTGCCTCTGGTGTTGGCATCTCCCTACGCATACCTGAGCGTACCGACAATACCGGGTTCTGTCGCACTTTAAAATAGCGCAAACCAGTCAGTCCCGTTTGTGTAAATCTTGAGCGAGCCATATGCCTGCGAAAGCACCACGGAGGAACCTCCCGACAGCAGCTCTGTGCCGAATGGTACGACGGTGACGCTGTTATCACCACCACCTTCCTTAACCACGACTATCAAATCTCCCACTACCTTCGACGATGGATCTGGGAGGGTCAGCGTCGTGTCCAGAGTTCCCGCTACGGCCACGATGTCGTCGGAGGTACTGATGGCGTACGCCGGCGCCGCGGTGTCTACGCTGGTGTGCACATTCGGAACCTCGAATGTCAGGTTTCCGAGCCCGTCCGTCTTGAGCACCGAACCGGGAAGCGGCGTTGTGCTCGGCCAATTGAACAACCCTATTTGGATGTTCGACGTTGCGCTCGTTACCCTTGACGTGACAATGGAGTCGCATGAGATTGACATCGATCTCCGCTTTCCTCTGACACTAGCAGCCGTCTTCATTTTTATAGAGGTTCACCAGACGCGCGCGCGCGATGTTCCCTCACGCGAAAAACCACACCGGATCATCTCGGTGCGGCAGCTTGGATAGGAATCTTTCCGACGACTCCCCCGCGGAGTCCTTCTCGGAACACACAAGACCTCCGTTGTGCAGGACCCCGAAACCGACGCTCTCCATCGCCCGAACAACCCGGAGTATGTTGCCTCGCGTGAAATCATGAAGTTCGTAGGATATGATGCCGAACGCATCGAGGACATCCATCGGTGTCGAGCTTGTTTTCATCTTACTCACGGCCACGCTGAAGTCGTGGTCGAAGTCTAGGTCCACCGGGTAGTTCTTCCTAGACTTTTCTGTCTTGAAACATATCGTGGGCTTCACAGACGTCCCGTCCTCCACAACAACGGATTTCTCCCTGTGATTGATACGCGTCTTTGTTTGGCAGCGCGCCCCGATCGCCGCTACGAGGTCGCAATGTGTTTTGGTTGTGTACTTGTTTCCCGGAGGAATGGCGTAGACGACAAAGCAGTTGATCTTGTCTTCCGAGTGAATCCACGTGTATTTAAACTTTCTAAATTGTTCCAACCACAGCACGTACGCTTCCATTTCAGCGGGGTTATCAGCCGCCTAGATTTGTTTTATCTTTTTTCTTTTTGTTTGAGGCGTGCTTCTCCAAGAGCGTGAAGTAGCACTTCACCATGGCGTCGACGTCGCACATGGCGTGGTGGGCGTTCTCAAAGACATGGCCGAAGAGAAATTTGTGCAGTTCCTCCAGCTTTGGCCACTTGTACGACCCATACGAGTTCGGGATTCGCACGAGGTTGGTGGTGCTCTTCATGGTACACAAGCTGTTGAAGCTCATCAGCCGCCGAGCGTCGTCGGCCGAGCCCATCCTGAACAGCTCCGCCGACACCACACTCCTGTCGAAGTCGAGGTTGTGCGCGACAATCTTGTCGGATTTGTTGACATCCGCCATGAAGTCAGAGAGGACGACACTCACTGCGTTTCCGTACCTGTCCATGACGGCTCTCGATATTCCGTGCACGAACTCGGCTCCGATATTGTCGTCCGCGATGCCGGGGTCAGTCACCGAATACCTCTGGGAGTAGACGGTTTTCTGGTCGCGCAGGACCCATGCGATGGACACCACCCGGCACGAGTCGTACTGTTCAAATGTCTCCGGGTTTGCTTTCCTGGGAGGGAGGCCGGTTGTCTCGACATCGAAGAACAACTCCGGCATCTTGTCGGTCTTGTGTAGGCTCTCTGCACATTATATTTGAGGGCATTGCGACGAACCTTTTTATGAATAGGGGCAAAATATTCTAATGTACCATGGCTTTACTCTTGCATCGCTCTCTTGCACGAGGGTTTCCGTGATGTTGTCCAGTCTCCGGACAACTGTCTGCAGCTTCGCCGCGTAGAGCTCCAGGTCCGAAAGGGCGTCGGATACGCGCTGGCAAGACGTGTGCTGGTCTTCTTCGAAAGACCGGACGAGCTGTGTCTGCTGCGTCTTCAGGTCTTCCACAATGCGACGAAGTGAAGTTTGTTTGTTATCGTATTTCAAAATTTTCATTTTTACCCGCGTATCTTCTCTATATCAACATTTATTTCTCAGTCGTCTGCACCGTACACTCTCACTCTCAAAAGTCCGCATCCGTACAAAACTGCTGCTTCTCACGGTCGAGCAAAACCCCGGGCTTGCTGTACTCGGCCACTCTATTCTCAAAAAAGTTGGTCTTTCCCTGGAGAGAAATCATGTCCATCCACTCGAACGGGTTGGCGCAGTTGTACACCTTGTCATACCCCAGCTGATTCAGCCAGTAGTCCGCCACAAACTTGATGTACTCCGTCATGCTCTTCTCGCTGATGCCGATGAGAGCGACGGGAAGCGCCGACGATATGAACTCGCACTCGACGCTGACAGCGTGCTCAAAGATTTCATGAACTCGCTCCTGTGGAAGCTTGTTCCTGAGGTGCTTGTAGATGAGAACGGAAGCTGTGGCGTGAAGCCCTTCGTCTCTGGCGATGAGAGAGTTGGCGAACGACAAGCCCTTGAACTTCTGCCGCTTCTTCAGCCAGTAGATGGCGCAGAACGACCCGCTGAACTGAACGCCCTCCAGACAGGTGAAGCCGACCAGCCTCTCCGCGAGTGAAGCGGTCTCGGGGTTCATCCACTTCTCTGCCCAAAGCGCCTTCTTTTCGATGATTGGCATCGTCTGGATGGATCGCATCACGTGTCTCTGCTCTTCCGTGTCCCTGAAGTAGGTCTGAATTAGTAGAGAGTACGATTCGCCGTGAACCGCTTCCGTGGCCTCCTGGATAGCAAAATGCTGTCTGATCTGCGGAATCACAATCTCGTTCTTGAAGTTGAGACCGATGTTCTCCATGACGATCTGGTCGAGCGACGCGAAGAACGCCAACACCAGTTTCAAAAAGTGCTTCTCGTCGCTCGAAGCATCATCCCAGTCTTTCGAGTCTCCGGACATGTCGATCTCCTCCACGACCCAGAACAGAGCGGTCTGCTTCTTGTACAGTTGGAAGACGTCGGCGTACTCGTGCTCGGTCTTGCCGTTGAAGAGAATGAACCGATCGAAGTCCTCCTCCTCGACACACATCGGCTCGACGATTTCGCCCTCCACCTCCTTTCTCCTGAATTCTGTCGGAAGATGGATGGTCGTCTTCTTCAGGTCACTGAAACCACCGATGAACACAGAGTCGACGAAGATCTGGGGAAAAGTCGAGCACCTCGTCGTCTCAACCAACTCTTTCATGTCGGGCGTGTCATTGCAGACGAGGTAGACCACGGGCGACACATCCCTCTTCCGCAGATACTCGAGGGCCTGGTCGCACACAGAACACCCCGAGATTTTGTACAGCGTGATTTTTTTATAGGTGAACATGGTTGACAGAGTAATGGCGAGAGGTATCATCACGAAACATTTTTTTTGGCGTATACTTTCGTCACCATCTGACCCCCGCCCACCCACACAACATCCACCAGCTCGCGCGTCCGCATCTCTAAAAATATTTTGTGTGTACGAAGTTACATAAGAAATACTCCGATCGTCATCATGGACAACTTCATCTCCGCCGTCGCGCAGCTCAAAGCCTCCGAAGACACAAAGTATGACGTGCTGTACCTCAACACCCCCTGGAACAAACTGACCGTGGAACAGATGGGAAAGATAGACCTTTCATCTCTCACCAAAGACGAAGCTCTGATGTACATGTGGGCCGACACCTACAGCATCAAGTTTGCCACCGAGCTGTTCAAGCTCCAGGGGTTCAAGTTCCACTCGGTGTACCAGATCTGTGATGTCGCCACCTACCCTCCTGCACCCGAACCCAAAGCCGCGGGCGAGGCCGTCCCGACCTCGGTCGCCGATGTTATGCACGGCAGCGACAAGGACACGGACGGACCGGTCGACAGCCCTGCGGAGGCGGCCGTCGTCGACAAGGCCATCGTCAAAACTACCACGAAGCGCGCCAAGAAGCAGAGGTGCCCTCCTCTATCGCTCCCCAAGTACTGGAAGAGTGTCACTCACAGAGGTTCCACGCGCCCGACAGCGGAGTTTCTCTTGCTCGGTCACAAGGGTGGACGCGATGTCCTCGACAAGCTCATGAACGAAAAATCCGGAACCCTGCCGTACCAGGTCGTTCACAAGCCTGACCTCGGCAAGAAGTCCAGGAGCGTTCCCAAGAAGAACATCAACCTCGACCCGGAGTGGGTGTGTGACCGCCCCGAAGAGTTTCTCGACACGGCGATCAGCCACCTCAAGCCTTCCGTCAAGATCCTAGAAGTGTTTGGGTCAACCCTGAAGAGGATGACGGACTCCGTCGGACCCAACGTACCCGGAGGATTCTGCCCGGCGTACGGAAGCAACGCCGGGCTCGCCAACTGTCTCAACAAGGTGATGCGGTCCATGAAGAAGGTGCAGTTGCAGGGGCTGTGCTCGGCCCTCTCCAAGATTGCACAAGCCGACGACGCCGACAGAGCTACGAAGGTCAAGGAATTCCGGGCCGTGGATGCGTCTTGGACCGCGATAGTCACGGCACTGACCGACATGAAGTCCCCCGTCGCTTACGACTGGAGCTCCAAGGACGCCGACCTCCCCGCCGAGTGGCTGCGCCTGGCGGTTCTCTCGTTTGCACAGAAAAACATGGCCGACTTCGGCGACCTCAGGCGCAAGCGCAAGAGGAGGAAGACGAACAAGGACTCGCCCCGCGCTTGTCACGGGATCGCCAAACCCGTCGTGGTGTCCAAGCAACTCACAGACTTCTTGGGCCTGGAAGAGGGTCACATGGTCTCGCGCACCCACACGGTCAAGCTTCTGAACAACTACGTCAAGGCCAACGGTCTACAGAACCCCGCCAAGAAGATTCAGATCGTGCCCGACGAAGCTCTCCTCAAGCTCCTTTGTCCCCCGGCGGACTTCGGGCCCATCACGTACTTCAAGATGTGTTCGCTTCTCGGTCCTCACTTCCCAAAGGAGTCGCAGGAAGTCAAGGACGCCAAGGCGAAAGAGGCAAAGGAAGCCAGGGTGGCCAAAGCAGCCGCCGCCAAGGCCAAGAAGGACGAGGAGGGGAGCGCCGCCAAAAAGGCTCGCAAGTAGAATGAATTGAATGGCCTAGGGGTCCGGCTTGCACTTGAAACTCAGTTCTTGGACGACGGTCCCCGCGGGCTTGGCCTTCCTGGCCCTGGGTTTACCACGCGTTTCCTCGATCTGAATCTTGGCGTAGTCGATTACACGGTTTCTCGCATCATCTAGCGAGACGTCTCTCTCGTCGAGCCTTTGCTTAAGACTCAGCAACGACGCCAACATGGCGGGATCTACTTCTCCTCGAACAATCTTGAAAAACAGGCTAGGGTACGAGAACGCCAGCTTCTTGTGCCTCTGGTGAAGCACGATTTCCATCTGCTTCTGAGTCATCCCCGGAGACTTGCTTTTGATTACCTGTATATCCCTCTCGAGGGCGGCGTACATCTCTGATATGGTAGAGGAAACGAAGCTCTCCGGGAGGTCGTTCGCAATGTAATCCTCAACCGCTTGGCGGTGGTTCGGGTTCGTCATGCTCGGTGTACGCTCGAAACATTTTTTTAATCGAAACGAAATCCCACTTCATTCTTGACCACAGTCTCTTCGCAGGGTCTATCCAGCCCCAGGAAAATTTCAACGAGAGACCTTGTCGCTGGGAATTTCTCCGGGACACACGACGTTCGGTAAATCTGCTCCTTGACCCACTGCACGTCTACCAACGAGTCCTTCCGCCTGAAGTATGCGAAGCAGTCGTCGATGTCTGGATCTTCTTCCATCTGTCTGTGCGCTGCTCGGCGCATCTCTTCCGTTTATTTTGTTTCACGAAAACATTATCGTGAGCGAGACCAGACGTTCTCATCCACTACCACGCTCGAACACATGGCACAAAAAACTACGGTGACTTGTCACATGGGTGCAGACGCGCCAATGGATGCTATCCCCGTGCATATCAGTCCGACAGAACAGCCGTCGTACAAGGGCAGGCCGCTGGTGCTCATGATGCAGACGTCGCAGTGCCTCCAGTTCAAGTCGCTCATCGAGTGTCTCAAAGAACTTCTGTGCGAGGTCAACATGGACTTCATCGAAGGAAAAGGGATCCGTCTCGTATCGATCGATCCCGGCCGCGTGGCCATGATCCATCTCGTGGTGAACAACATCGAGAGCTTCTACGCGAAGGGTACGGTCACGGCGGGGCTGAACGTGGTGGTTCTCTACAAGATGATACGGTCGATGACATCGAACGACTTCATGGAGTGGAGGATCTATGAAGACGAACCCCATCGGATGGAAATCGAGCTCTCGAACTCCGAGAGACGCACCAAGACCGTGACTTCCATCAAGCTTCTTGACCTGGACGCCGAGGATATCATTATACCACAGGTTGAGTTCGACCGAGTAGTCTCTATGCCGTCGTCGGAACTGTCGAAGCACGTCCGCGAAATGGTCACCGTGAGCCCATTCATCAGCATCAGGGCCACGCAGACCACGCTCGAGCTCGTCTCCGAGGGCGAGATGGCGAAAAGTCACATTACGATCGAGCCTACCGCGTCCGGTCTCAACTGGAAGCACAGCGAAAAGGGGGAAGACATCGAGGGAAAATACTTTGCGAGATACATAGAAAAGTTCACTAAAAATTCTCTGGCCATCAACGTCGAGCTCTTCCTCAAAGCCAACTACCCGTTGATACTGAGATTCGAGATAAGCATTGGTTGTTTGCGGTTTTGCATCGCGCCGATTCAAGATGGTCAGTCATAGAAGGATCGAGTACGACACGGTGACGGACCCGATGAGGAGCAGCATTTCCACCCACGGTAGGTAGGCCACGAACCACAAGCGGTCGGAGTCAACGAAATGATCGACCTTTTCCGTCACGTCGCGCAGCAACGCGCTCTGAGAAGCGGACATGTTGTTGGATTCGCTCTTGGTGATCGCCGAGTCGTCGAGACTCGTGACGAAGAAGACGGACAGACTCTTCGCCACTATGCTGGCGGAGTCGTCGGTGTCGTACAAAAGTCGAGCAGACACTACCGGCATCAGCGAGATTATAAAGAAATTCACTACAAGATCCATCACCACGAACGCGAGACGTCCATACATCTTCATGCTGAGAAACACGTGGAACAACACGACATTGTGGCTCATGCTCGAAGTGATTGAATTCGCCGGCAGGTTGAAAAACATAAACATGATGGTAACGACGATCAGAATCACGTCGACCACACTTCGACGGTCACCGGCCAAGGATGTTTTGCCACTGCCACCGCCCTCCTTCATCAGCGCCGCGAAAGAAATGATCTGCATCACGAAGCACAGCACGGCTCGGACGGCATACGCTGCATCTACGTACGCAGCCTGGTAAATATTGTACTTGTCCGAATAAACTTCGTCCAGATGGTTGTAGATGAATTTCAAGCGGAACAGTTTCTTGTACAGCCCGGACTCGGGGTCGTTTTCCACAAAACGTCCCCGTTTTTCTAGCCAACGGGACGTGATCGCATCCAGATGTGCTCCCATCTTGCCAGCGTCAATGTGGGAAATCATCACCCCGTTCGCTGTTTCAATCATGTCGATGGCATCGGTCATGTCCTTGAAAAGCAACAGGGTTCCCTCTTGCGTCGGCAAACCCTTCAGCGACAAGAACCTCCGCAGAACGCGAGAGTGGCTGATGATTTTCCGAACCGAACCGAAAATCTGGCGAAGAATAAACTTGCCACACCTTACCACTGTGGTGTCGGAGTCTGCGGTCGTCATTATCCGATAGTCCAGACTCTCGTCCACAAAATGCCTCGGTCGCGCCGGATTCGCATACATGCGACGTCTCGTTTGGAATGGGCGACATATAAAAACGTTTTCAAACGTACAAATGAACGATGAAGAAAAATCACATGGACTTCTTCGCCATATGCCACCAGCTAGCCTCCAAATCACACCATTCACGGTTTCGGCACGGATCCATCGTCGTTCACAGACGGAGTTCTATCATAGGGAGAGGGTACAATCGGAAAAACATACACGCCGAGGTCAGCGCCATCAAGAGCGTAGACAAGTACCACCGTTACGACAACCTTGTCGTCTACGTTTGTCGCGTCAACTCGCAAGGCGGCTACATGAACTCCAGGCCGTGCTCCAAGTGCGCAGACTTTATGAAGCAGAGTGGCGTGGGTCGCGTGTACTTCAGCGATGCCAGTGGATTCAGCAAAATAATATTCAAACACTAAACTCCAAAGAAGAAACCCGTAAAAAGGTCGTCTACACCATCCCCGTCAAGGTGTGGACGCTTATCGGCCCCAACGTCCATCTGAAAAATGGTCTTGTGATTGCCAACAGTCTTGCGGGTGGCGGCGCAGTTCATGTCCGACAGCTTCTCCCGTTTCTCGGTATCTTGTTCCCTGAACTCCTCCTTAATTCTGTTGTAGCACGAGAGTCCGATCCTCTGCTTCACATGGTCCAGCCAGATCTGAGCCTTGCCGATCGAAAACTCTGAAATGATGTCGCTGAACTCATCCTCGGGAAGAATGCTCTCAAGCTTATACATGAGAAACTCCAGCATCTCGGAAACGGGGAGTGTCGTGAGTGGGGAGTGTCGTGAGTGGGGAGTGAAACACCTATTTATTGATATCTTAATCCCACTCGCTGCATTGTTATCAACTTAAGCTTTCTAGAACAATTTGGCGAATCTTACCAACTCGAAACGATCTAGAAGAAAGACCACATTTTTCAATTTTATATGTAAATATTTGAGTGTATTGGTAGCCCACGCTGCTCACAATTCACCTTCACCATGGCAACCACCACTACAAAATCGAAGACGAAGAAGAAAAAAAAGAGAAAGAAGAAAGCCGACATCACAACACGGCTACACGAGGTCTACAACATCAACACGCTACGAAGAAACGACGACAAGCTTTCGCAACCGAAGTTTCAACAAACGACTTGCCTGGAAACAGTGGGATATTCCGAGGTTTAGAAAACCCTAAAAGCTGGACCCTTGAGGAGACAACTTAGTTGTTTCTATCTGTTTTTGTTCACTACAACTTAATAGTTCCGGTTTTCTTAAGTTGATATTAGTGACTCGCTGTCCGTAGATCCGGAACTAGATTCAGATTCAGATTCAGATTCAGATTCAGATTCAGTATCACTTTCAGTTCCAGTTTCAGTTCCGGTGTCAGAGTCAGATTCACTTCCAGTTTCAGTTTCAGTACCGGTGTCAGAGTCACATTCACTTCCAGTTTCAGCTTCAGTTCCGGTGTCGGTGTCAGTTGCAGACTCAGATGATTCGCTTTCGGTGTCGGACTCCGCGTCGTCGTAGGTAGCGTCAGTCTCGCCCATCTCGACATCGGACTCCCCGTCGGTTGATGATGCGGATTCTCCTGTCTCTGTATCATCTTCGCAGTACGACGCTTCCTGACATGATTCAGATTCGGACGAAGAACTAGAATCACCGGAGGAAGATTCAAAATCTACCGAGTCTCCTGACTGCAAAGAATCGGAGCCCGACGACTCTGTCTCGTATTCTGTGTCACTATCTTCGTCGGTGCCGAGGTCGTCGCCGCGTACCTCTTTATCCTCCTCCTCCTCCTCCTCCTCCTCCCCCTCCTCCGCCTCCACCCACTCCTCTTCCTCTTCTCCTTCTTCTTCCGTGTCGAGTGAGTCGTCAGAGTCGTCAGAGTCGTCACCTTCCGAGCTCTGTCCACTAGAACCATCTTCAGAAGTTTTTGGTGGGACCGAGAGCGAGGGGAACAAGCTTTCGCCGGGTGGATACGGCCCAAGCGCAGTCAGTGGCGGCATGGCCACCGGCATCGGCATCGGCATGTCGACATTGAAGGCGGAGGGTACATGGGGGTAGACGGAGCTTGAATTCATGCTCCCAGGGTACATGATATGACCGCTTGACAGATGATTGGACATGTTTTCCTGGAACGTCTGAGAAGGGGCAGCGACGGTCTCCACGTCTCCGGTAACAACGTTTATGTTCTTGGTTATCTCGAGATGGTCGGCCACTTCTTCGTTGCCACTGCCATCGCCTCCGCCAGCGCACGACTGGGAATCGTTCTCAGTCGTTAGGTAGATTCCCGAAGCAGACGCCGGATCCGCACTCGCGAAAGACTTGGACATCAGAGAGGGGCGAGCAGAAGACGACGAATATGAAGGAGATGGTGATGATGGCGACGATGATGATGATGATGACGATGGGGAAGAAGGAGACGCGGGGGCGTTCGTCAACATCACGTACTTTCGGGTCGCATTGTACACGACATCTCTGTTTTTCATGGCAATGCGGGCGTTGTTGAGGCATGTCTGGTACTCCGTCGAGTCGGTTCCATGCGAGAACCATTCGGGGTGCTCGATGAACACTTTGCTACACTCGACGATGAAGGAGTGCAGGACGTCGTGGAAGGCGAAGTCCACCGGGACGTATCTTCCATCGGAGTCGTGAGCCTCGTCCATGATTTTGCTGGTCAGCCTGATCATCTCCGTGGCGAGCGCCTCGCACCTGTTGATCGCCGGGAACTTTTTGACAAGTTTGCCACAGAAGTCATGCACGACCGAGGAGTTCCATTCGCTCATCTTCGCCATGCTCTGTTTGAAGTGGTACAACAGCTTGTTGTCAGAGTCTACCCGTTCTGCTATCTGGTCATGTTGGATTTGGAAAATCGTGAACATGGGATGGTTAAGCACATCCAATATCTGGTCGTTGCACAGCGCCTTCGCGTCGACAAGCGCGGACGACATCTTCACGGCTGTTGCAATAGCTACTACACAAGTTTTACATTATTTTCTTGTCGGTCCCGACGCGCAGAGAACAATATTCAAGTACAAACTAAATCACAGGGACGATCATCATGAACAAGAAAACAAAGAGGGAGATACAGTAGAGGATGGTGAAGCTGGGTTTGCTGATTTCGATAGGGTTGTCGCTTTTCTCTTGAACGAAAGGGGGGTTAAGTACCGAAAGCACGGAGAAGGTGCAGAGGGCAGTGGTCGCCGATATACCAACCTTCGAGTAGAAGAGATCAGTGAGCTGAAACTTCCTGTACGTCCACGCCGGGATCTCCTGGTATTGTTCGTTGGAGACTGTGTTTGGCACACGTACCACGGGCGTGTCGATGCCGAGGTCTGGGACCATCGGCAGGGCGGGCGTGCCACGGGTGCTGTCGGGAAACGCTGGGTTGGACATCAAACCAAGCCTTGTTCATTCACTCTTCGCTACATTTTTATTGCAAAAAGATGTCGCAATACTTTTGGCGCCTGTGTCGACGCGGATAACTATCGTACAATATACTTTCAAATGCCTTCCCCAATACTGTCTCTGCGCTTACTGACGAGCAGAGTCTTCTGGCGGATGTAGTCGTCTCGGATGCGATTGAACTCCGCTCCGGCCATAGAGATGACCTGTTTCTCTTCGATGGTGACGTTGCGCAGTCCCGAATCCTTGCGGATCTTCGAGAGAATCACCTGGTACTTGTCGATGGCTCGGCCGCCTTCTTTGGAAACGAAAAGAGATATCTTGTCGAAGGCTCCCGGTGAGAGGGTCGACCAGTAAGCCAGAATTGTAAGCAATTCGTACCAAACATAGCCAAATTGCACACACAGCAACGGAATCATAGATGATGTAGAACAGGGCGATGGCGGTCGGATCAGAGTAACTGGGTTATTCTATTCGATATGGACTTACCATATCTCTCCCGCGAAATATTTCCCGAGTTCCTATCGGAGGACTCTTTGGATTCTGTAATGTAGAGAACCATCAGTTCTGTGAGAATTGATAGTTTTTTGTAAGGCGCCAGAGATACGCCGAGCACCAGCCTCGAGTCCACCATGTGCTTGTTTTGTTCTGGAGTTAGGACATATATTATTTCCCCAATATGTACGATTGTGTGAGACATCGAAAGCTCGTCCCAAGACGGACTAAAAAAATGTCGCGACACGTTTAACCATCCGGAGACATGGCGTCCTCTCTCGAGAAACAGATCCACGTAGAAGAGCACATCCCGGAGCGCTGTGCGGAGCAGTGGGACTACCAATTCCCCGTTGTGAACCAACAGCATTGCCTGATGTCTATCGTCGACTGCGAGGACCCACAGAAGCCCTCCGCCATCAAAGTCTTCGGGTGCTACCCCTCTGTCGACGCGGCAAACGCGGCGGCGGCCAAGATAAGCTCCGAGTGCGACTTCTTCCACGTGTACGTTTGCCCCACCAATGCCTGGGTGCCCGTCCCCCCCTCCCCCGAGTTTATAGAGAACGTACAATACCAAGAGTCCCGGATGAGAGAAATTCAGGAAACTTTCGCGGCTCTGAAGGACCGCAAAGCCCAGGACGTCATCCGTCACCTCAACAAGGAGTCGGGAGTTTCGGAAGAAAAGTATGGATTAGAGTGATGCCATCCGCCCGATAATAATATCAATACGCACTGAGATGAACCTTGTTGCATGGAATTCGGCCATACAGATACGAAAGAGGGTTGCCACCGAGAACGTGTGCACGGCCGGCGCGCTATGGTACCAGGTAGCAAGTCCGACAAGCCACCAAGAACTCGTAGGAAACGGGAAAGCTATCCGGCAAATAGAAGACTGGTTTTCCGAGGCCTCGGCCGAACCCGAGACGTCCGCATGTCTTTTTTTACACGGAGAGTCCGGCACGGGCAAGTCCACCGCGGTTACGATGATCGCACAGAAGCACGAGTTCAAAACTGTCACGACGTACGCAGACCGATCGAGGACGCCCGCTCGCCTAGAGGGTGTCGTGCGCGAAGCGGGTGTTCACGGCCCACGGGGGGTGGTCGTCCTCGATGACTTTGAAATCTTTCTCGAGGAGACCACATCCCTCAGGGTCTTGTCCAAGCTCCTCCGACAACTTCTGAGCACGGGAGACACCAGTGTGAGGAACCGCTCTAGGTGTCTTTTTATCATCATCAGCAACTCAAAGCACAAGCAGTTCGGATCCCTGCAGGATATATCTACAACGATTCACTTCGAGCGACTCCACCAGAGCGAGATCAACAAAGTGTTCAATCGACTGGCGTGGAGAGTCAGGCGTCACTCGTACGTTCCCCCGATGGCATCTTACCTATCGTCCATATCGAGCTCGGGGACGATCACACAGGGAGTACAACAGCTCCAGCTACTGTACGCCGGGGACACGCCACCCGACTTCCTTCGCCGACCGGGTCGCAAGAAACAAAAAATAGCCGGGCACACCAACAGTCATCGTGACTGCATTTCCTATCTGTGGTCCGACATTTACACGGACAAGATACTGGAGCACTTGGTAGACAACAACTTCCACGAAGGGCGCGTCATCGACCGGCTTCGTTCATTCGAAAGGGAGAGACTCGACAAAGTCGGCGGCCAGCTGCACGAGGAATACGCGCGGCGGATGACATCCGTCGAGCAACTGCGGGACGTGGCAGAATCGATCAGCATGTCGGACACCAACCGCCTCGAGTTTCACCACGACGCGCTCTACGACGGAGAGAACAGCGACAGCTGGTCGGAGAACGACATGGCCTTCGTATCATTCGTTGCATACGGCGTGCTCACCATCAAGGGCCAGAGGAGGAGGGATCAGTCCTGGTCTAGGAAAACACACACCCGACTTTTGAAATGCGAGGCGTTGGTCCTCTGACAGCCTATCCATTCAAAAAGGTCTCCTTGAAAAATTTCATCAGCGAGATGGAGTCAAGTATGTCGTCGTAGGCGCGGTGTGATCCGTTGCGCCGGGGAAGCTTCGCGGCGACGTCGGGCCTCCAACGACGCACCATCTCCAGCGGGGTAGAGACGTCGACGACTCTGTAGTGGAAGAACGTTTTCAGGCACGGGAAGTACTTCAGCAGAAAAATACGGTCGAAGTAGACGGTCGAACCCGCCAGCAGGCACTTCTTGTAATTGCTTCGCCGAGGTTGCTGTTGGTGGCGGCACCGTGACGCGTCGGATGCGCCGAGAAAGGTTCCGTTGGCGCCCAGAGTTCTATCAAAGAACGGCTGGCTAGACGTAATCTGTGTCGTGTCGTACCTGCCGCCGACGTCTTTGGAATAATGGTCGAAGAAGTTCCACATCCTGTACTCCGCCTCGTGGTGACTGAGAGCGCTGAAGTGGCAAGCCTCGAATAACCCATTTCCCCCTTCCCTGCGGTGGCAGAACTTCCTTCTGCACCACGCGCTGGAACGGGCCAGCAGGATTGAGTGGGGGTGGTGAAGGACGAGCCGCATGGAATCGATCTCGTTCAGGTCTCGGTCGGTGACGACCATCACAATTTCAAGGATCAAGTTCGTGTCCGTGTCCAGACCCGTCGTCTCCATGTCGATCCAAAACCACGGAAACTCGTTCTCGTAGTCATGCTTGCTTGTCTTGAAGTCACGCGAGACGAAGGTCTTGTTCCTTCTGCCCTTGCCGATGCCTTCCGAACCCATCCATGTACTCTCCCTTTGTGTAATAAACATTATTAATCTCGTCGGCTTTTCCCCGGGAGCGTTGTCACCAGCTTCAGGACTCACTCGTCGTCGCGTCGAAAAATAAAATATGCGCCTTACTTTATGAACATCGAATCACTCGCATGCAACCGGCCGCAAAAAAGAAAAGGCTGACACGGGAGACGACCAGGGGCACATCCCCGCGATCGTTTGCGCATGCGACCATCAAGTGCAAGAAAACGCCCGCGTACGCCTCCGCCTACAAGGCCATGACCCTTGCTTCGGCCAAGCAGGCCAACAGGAGAATCGGTACCGCGGACTGGTACCGCCTTAAGAAGGACGCCCTCGTCGCCACGATCGTCCTTAACCACTTCGCCGAAGAAATACAGAGGTTCTTCAGACACGTCGTCGTCACGACACGCGACAGTGACGACGACGCACGCACAGCAGTTTGTCCGATATCCTTGAAGCCGATCACAGAGATACCCTGTGGGCACAGGTTCAGGCACGGCAACATCTGGTTCAACAAGGACACCCTCGCACAATACATGCGCAAGACAAGCGATTTCATGAACCCGGTCACGAGAGTGGAGCTCCGGGAGGAAGACGTCCTGAAAGTTGACCCCGGGTTGATCAAGCAGTACAGGCACAGGAAAGAGCTCGCGGAACGCATGGCTGAAGACATGGCCCTCGTCCAGAGCGTCGAGAACGAACTGGAGGAAGTTTTTCAGGACATGGTAGAGGCCGCTCAGGAGATACGGACCAGAATGGAATTCAGAATCGTCTTCGACCACCTCGCGGAGGATTTCCAGGAATGCCACGGTGATCTCACCGAACTCGATCGCGACAGGTCGGTTCTCACGTTGAAGTCTCTCGGAGACCTTGTCGACGGCGATCCCACTCGACGCGTCCACATGTCGAAGAAACGAGAGAGGATTCTCAGGCACTTCTTGAAAACGCAGAAACCACAGGGATGAAGATTTTTCACAAGAACGACATCGTGAAGGATCCCGAAAACAGCTGAGGAGGCTCTGTGGCACAGACAAACGGTGTCGGCCTCCCGGGGTTCCCGGGGTTCCTGTGGTTCCCAAGCTTCCCAATCTTCCCAGGCTTCCCAGGCTTTCCAGGCTTTCCAGGCTTTCCAGGCTTCCCAGGCTTCCCAGGCTTTCCAAGCTTCCCAAGCTTCCCAAGCTTCCCAAGCTCCCCAGGCTTCCCAAGCTCCGCAGGCTTCCCAGGCTTCCCAGGCTTCCCAGGCTTCCCGGGCTCTCCGGGCTTCCTGTGGTTCTTTACCCTCTTTCTTTTCACGAGACGAACGTTGCTGGTGTCGGAGTCCTTCATGTGCTTCTCGATTGCAGACTTGTTCTCGAGAAGGAATCCGACCAGGTTTTTAGACAGGAACCACCGGAAGAAGTTCAGCTGTCCGATGGTAGAGACACGCTCCTCGTTGCCAAACAAGACGATCTGGATTCTACGCCTGCGGGCGAAAGGGTCGAAGTTCTTCTTGTTGTGAGCGGAGAGGTTCTTGTGGTAGTCCCTGCGCAGATTGCGGGGAAGGCCGTCCGACTCAATCGCAACGCTGAAGGATCTGGTGAAGTTCGTGATCAACCAGTCGATGATGCGCAACGACAAGCCGTTCTTGTGGTGAACGATGTCCGAAAAGGTTTGGACACGAGACTTTTCTTCGTTGAACCACAAAAGCACCGAGTTGAGCAGGACCTCATCCTTTCGCGAAAACGACGTCGCCGCGTCCGCCTTGTCGTGGCCGACGCCGCCGTCGACACGGCTCATGAACGGGTGCGCGGGCATGTCATTCCTTATATACCACGAGACGCCAGCGACAATGAATGAGTACGCGGGTGCTCGAAATACGCCTGCCCACTGTTTTCGAACAACATGCACCTGTTCGTTCGAACCCGCAAAACAAAAATAAACATTGGCATACATGTAAACCGCGATGTCGTCGTCTTCAGCAACCGACGCCGACGAACAGTGCGCTATCTGCAGGAGCGTTATCACGGGAAGCTGCAACAAATCCACCACTAGCTGTGGCCACTCCTTTCACTTCACGTGCCTCGCCCGGAGCATGAGGAGCTCGTCCATCTGCCCCATTTGCCGGACCGATCTCGCCGGCCCGAACACCAGAGACGAGGACACCGAGATGAAGGACGACATCGACACCGACATCGACGTGCACGAGCACTCCGATGGTGAGACGGAGGAGGAAGGCGAGGTCAGGTTGCCGCGTGCCGCACGAACCGGCGCGCGACGCGAGGTCATCGTCACGGAGATACGCGACGGCAGCTCGATGTCCGACATCCCCGTGTTCGGGAATGAGGTCGATCTCAGGAGGGAAATTCTAGAGGGTATCATGCACTCCATGTGCCAACAGGGGGACCTGGCGGAAGCGCGCAATCTCCTGGACGACAACCCGCGCTTGCAGTACAGCAGGGGAAGTACGGGCGACCTGCTCACACACCAAGCCGTCCTTTCCGAGAACGAGTCGTTGTTGTCCTACCTCCTCAACGAGAAAGCGTTCGACACCAACTTGCCCAACGACGTCCACGCCTACCCGCTCCACTACGCCGTCCTCTCCGGGTCCTTGCGGATGGTCACGATCCTGGTCAACAACCGAGCCTTCGTCGACTGCACCGACAGCTCCAAGAAGACGCCTCTCATGATCGCGTGCGAAGAGGAAGACCACGACATCGCGGAGTTCTTGCTCGACAGAGGGGCTTCCACGATGACACAGGACGCGTGCGGAAACAAGCCCATACACTTCGCCGTGAGGTCCAGGGCACAAGCTTGCCTCCGGCGCCTTCTCAACTCCGAAGCCGAAGTCAATGCCGTCAATCACATGGACGAGACGCCGCTGTTCGTCGCGTGCAAGTCAGGTTTCCACGGCGTCTCCAGGACCCTCCTCCGCGCCGGGGCTGACCCGGAAAAGAGAAACAAGTTTGGCACGAGCCCCCTCGACGAAGCCTCGTCCAACGGGTCTTCGAGTCTCGTAGAACTGTTGCGGAGATATGTCTGATGTTGAACGGTTTTCGCGAAATATTATGTAGACTTGGATAAAAGATGAATCAATTTCTACCCGGTGGTGTTTCCCCGAACCCTCAGGGCACTGCCTACCCTGCAGTGCAACCGATGGGCAACATGTTTGCACAGATGCAGATGCTGAATGCGTTTAATAAGTCGTCCGATTCGTACTCGTCGTCCAGCTCCAAGGTCTCCATCGTCAAGTACGACGACCACTTCAAGAAAAAGGGGGCAGATTTTTGCTACGACAAACTCAAGCTCAAAAAGCTCAACCCGACTCCGGGTGCGACGCCACGCCTTGTACGAATTTCCAAAGAAGAACTGAAGGAAAACCCTCCTCTCGCGCTCAAGTTCGGCGACAAAGACTGCCATATCGTCCTACCTATCCCCTCGTACAAAGCCATGTGCAAGGCTGCGGAAATAATGGTCAGGGATTACTTGTCTCACGCTGGGATAGGGACAACGTCCGCATCAAAGAAAGAAGCCGCCGATGCCATATCGCAAATGCTGCTCGTCAACTTTGTCGAACAATGTGGTTACGGTGACGATGCGTTGGACGCAGCGTGTTATGATGCAGGTGTTAAAACAATTCCCAACGAAACACAAGACGAACAAAAAACTAGACTTATAGCTGAAGCAGAAAGTATCACTCTAGGAGATGGCGTTGGTGTTGGCACAGATTACGATGCGGCAGATGTGGGTGACCTGGTCGGTCATGCAAGCAGAACAGGTGGCCAGGAAGGTAAAGTACCTAACTATAAGGCTGGCATCACCCAGTGGATGTAAGCGCGTAGACCTGTGAATTCAAATCAAATTCAACCCTATTACACGGAGAAAACCAATCTGAAGAAGATCATGGGGCTGCAGAAGGGCAAAACTGTGGACGCAGATACCGCCACAGGTGTGGCTCGCAATGATAATGAAATAAGAATACAAATTTACATCCACACGAACAAATTCGAGAGATCGAAAGCGTTTTTTGCCGGTTTAGGCAATGTTGGTGCAATAATTTCAGTACCGCTCTCATCTTGCAGCCCGTTCAACCCGACGCTTGTCAAGAAAAGTCTTTCTAGTCTTTCCGCTGATTGAACACCTATATCGTTTGCTTTAGCCTCGATCCAATCTTTGTATGCTTTGGTACGTAAAATATTCACTTCTTCCCCATCCGTCGCACTACGCGCTCTCTTACCTCCTAGTGCTAAAATCCTCAATTTTGGAGTTGTCTCGTTTAGAAAAAGCAGCAAACTCTGCTTTTTTGTGTTAATGCGATCTTTTACCTTCAACATTGTTGATTTTTGGGCGGGGTCGTCGACGGTTAACAAGATTGTGTCTGCGTCCACAGGTTTGCGAGATCCTTCTCCCCCGGCAGCAGCTCCTCCATCGCCTGGTGCTGCTGGTGCTGCTGGTGCTGGTGGTGCTGCTTCTTCTTCTTCTTCTTCTCCTTCTTCTTCTTCTTTTTCTTCTTCTTCTTCTGCTGCTGCTTTTCCTTCTTCTTCTTCTGCTGCTGCTTTTCCTTCTTCTTCTTTTGGTGCTGGACTACTACCGTCTCCCGCGCTTCCGAAGCTCTCGTCACCAGATGACAGCCCCCCGTCTACACCCCCCCCCACCTCCTTAAGCCGTTGCTGGCAATCGGCGGCCTCTTCCCGGGCCTTGTCTCTAGCAGCCCCTGCTGCTTTAAGCTCAACTGTTGCTGTTTGTGCAGCCGCTTTCAAATCATCAACGCGTCGTTCAAGGGACTCCTTAGCTCGCCGAAGCGTTCCCAAGGACGTCGACACTTTTTTCACATCCTCTCCTAAGCTAAGATTTGCGTTCTCCAATGCTTTAACTCGTGCTGCGGACTCTTCAATCAATTCTTTGTCTTTGTCTTTCTGCTCCGTGGCTTCTTCAATGGTTTTCGCTGCCGCTTCCATACGCTGACGATGTACTTCTGCTTCGTCCAGCTTTTCTCTGAGCTTGTCACGCAAGTTCACAATAAAGTCGACGTAAGTATTTTGCGTGCTCCTAAGCTCGGACGCCTTCGTGTTGAAATCCACAGTCGTTATATTTTCATCAGCAGCAGCTTGCGCTAGCTCCGCAATTTTTTGCGATTCGTCCTTGTGCGTCTGCTTCAAATCCACCAAGTCCTTTCGAATTCTGACGACCTCATTTTGCGCATCCGATTCAGCCTGACTACCAGCAGGAGCTGCAGCAGCGTCGGCTTGGGCTTGAGATAATTTTGATTTTAAGCCAGTCACTTCTGCGTTAAGTGCTGCTTCGCGGTCACCGCAAACCTTCAGCTCTTTCAACTTTACGACTAGCTTTTCTTGTACCTTTCTTAATTCTTCTGACTCATCTGCACCGCCTTGGCTAGCACGGAGTTTGTTGAGTTCATTCAGAAGAGTCTGTGTCCTCTGCAACAGAGTGTTCGCGAATGCGCCAACAGTTTTATAGTGTGCACGTTGCTCGGCGGCTGAAACCCCACCAGCACCGTTCCGCACTGCAGTTTCAATCCTGTTCAGCTGGTCCCCGAAGACTTCTTGCACTGCCTGCTTAATGTTGGACTTTGCGACGTAGGCGTGTGCCCTCGTGATGGGATAGTTCAATTGAAATGGTAGCGCCATGTTTGAGTGTTGTAAACATTTTAATTTTCCAGAACCACAAGTGGTACGACGGCGCGAAACGAGGCTGCAGCACCATCTTCCTTCACAAATCAAAAGCCAGGTTACGACACACCTTGTGTACGATCTCACCGTCGAGTTCTACGCAGTCCCGATAAACCCATTTATCTATCTCTTGAAGGAACTTGAGATGCACACGCTCGTAGCACAGGCGACACCGGGAACTCGCAGAGTCGCGTTCCGTACATACCACATACACGCCTGCTTCCGAATCAACCAAGGGTTCGCTGTGGCCGCTGCGACCACCTGAAACTCCGGGACCGCCGGAACCGCTGGAACCACCGGAACCGCTGGAACTTCCAAAACCACCGGAACCGCTGGAACCGCTGGAATCGCCGAAAACTAGGTCACGACACGCCTTGTGTAGGATTTCACCATCGTGCTCAACGCAGTCCCGATAAACCCATTCCTCTATCTCGTGACGATACTGGAGATGAATGCGATCCTGGCACAAGTGACAGTGGTAGGTATCTGGCGCATGGTTCGAGCATACGACGTACACGTCTGGGTCCTTCGAGCGGGTGGAACCATTGGAACCGGTGGAACCGGGGGAATCGGGGAACTTTTCACGACCTACGTCACGACACGTCTTGTGCATGATTTCACCCTTGTGCTCAACGCATTCCCGGTAAACCCATGCTTTTATCTCCTTGAGGTATGTGAGATGAATGCGCCCCTTGCAAGCGTGACAAAAATAGGTATCTGGCGTGTCATCCGAGCATACAACATACTCGGAACGACTGCTCCAATCCCTTGAATCGCTCGAACAGGTGGAACCGGAATCGTCCAGGCCGGATTCAGGAGATTCGGAGTGACAGCAATGGTGCCCGGAGATCCACTGGTGACACGCCGGGCAAAACACGAAGGAAACCAGACCGTCGGCCAACAACCCCTGTCGCGCGTCAGGCCACCCGTGAAAGGCAGGGAAAGAGCACGGTACACCCCTGTGGAGTCTGACGTCGCAATCCCACCTCGTCATTATTTTTCGGAAAACTACAACTCGCAATATTTTTTTCACAGCTTGTTGTCATCGGGCCGTGTTTTGTCTTCCGTTGTTTCCAGTAAAACCAGATTTTCGCCCCCGCTTCCTCACAACCATGCTGCACCTACTGCTAATTTCAAAGGACGCCCTCCAGCACATCCTGAGCTTTGTCAAGGCAGACTCGTACGCGATCATCGGCCCGGTGTGTCGAGATTTCAGGAACTGCTACGGCTCGGGCGAGAGAGTCACCAGGACTTCCAAGTACACGCAATCCCTGCAGCTGTTCCGGCAGGCAACGGCAACAAACATTGAATTCAGAAGCCTTTGCCTGCTGGACGACCTGATTTCGAGGGACGAGATCGACGTGATCCCCCCTCTGTTGACGCGCGGGTACGAGTGGGACCACTTCTGCGTGCAGCGCGCGGCGGAGACCAACAGCTACAGGTTCTTCCGGTGGCTCCAATGGCTCCAAACCACCGACGATGGTCTCCCCTGGTTGGTGGAGAACGCACACCGCGCGGCTGCCAAAGAGGGGAACTTGGAGATGATGATCTACTTGGTCGAGAGCGGAGCGGGTTTCCCGGACAGCGGCTCGCTCGCCGTAACAAGAGATTGCAAGATCGTCGAGTGGTTGCGCGAGCTGCGGCTCGACCCCGCGCACGCCTTCGTGAAAGCTGCAAGGGAGGACGACGTCTGCGTCTTCGAGCAGACCGAGTCCTTCGATGACCACGGTCTCAACCGAATGTATATCAAGGAAGCGTGCATCCACGGCGCGTTCAACGTGCTGGAGTTCTTTCGTGTCTTTGTTGGCGTCGGCCCGACGCCGTCGGACGTAGCCTGGGCCCTGCACTTCCAGACGGAAGACATCTTGGATTGGTACCGGGAATTCTTCCCGCGCTCGGCCGAGGAAGTGTCAGGGTTGCGTTTGCGTTTGCGTTTGGCACTTTGAAGGAAATATGTTTATCTGCTTGCAGACACGCACCAAAAAATGGACGAGTGGTTCGTTCGTCTCGTAACCGTGCCGTCGGACGGCTCGTGCTTTTTCTCGTCGGTCGCGATCGCTCTGAACGACTCGCTCGGATCCTGGAGGCACGATCACAAAATAACAAACATGTTACGAACTCACTGGCACAACTACCTCGCCCTCGGACTGGACTCGCCAGACAACTTCACCGCCAAGTTTGTCAGATACATGTCGTCCGTGAGCATCGGCGATGAAGATCTGGTCGCGTACAACGAGGTTGCTCGTGCCGACAACAAAAAAACGTTCGGGTGCGCCGACGACCTGGCGGAGCACGTCTTTCTCTCCAATTGTTGGGTCGACACCGTCACGTTCGGCGCGTTCCTCAAGTCGCTCGACTGCTCCGTCGCAGTGGTTGTGCTCGACCACGAGCTCAAGCAACCGCTGAACATGCTCGACGCTCTCACGAAAGACAAACACTTTTACATCTGTCTCTGGCTGCAGGACTCTCACTATCAGCCGATGCAGCTCGTCCACAAAGGCAGAGAGTTTGGCGCGTGCGTGACGAGAGAGACCATTCGGCAATTCATGGAAGACTGCTACCCTTCCGACAGACACAGGTTTTGAAATTGTTTCTCTGCGGACTGCAACCCCACCGAGCACATTGTTATCAACTTAAGCTTTCTAGAACAATTTGGCGAATCTTACCTACTCGAAACGATCTAGAAGAAAGACCACATTTTTCAATTTTATATGTAAATATTTGAGTGTATTGGTAGCCCACGCTGCTCACAATTCACCTTCACCATGGCAACCACCACTACAAAATCGAAGACGAAGAAGAAGAAAAAGAGAAAGAAGATGGCCGACATCACAACACGGCTACACGAGGTCTACAACATCAACACGCTACGAAGAAACGACGACGAGCTTTCGCAACCGAAGTTTCAACAAACGACTTGCCTGGAAACAGTGGGATATTCCGAGGTTTAAAAAACCCTAAAAGCTGGACCCTTGAGGAGACAACTTAGTTGTTTCTATCTGTTTTTGTTCACTACAACTTAATAGTTCCGGTTTTCTTAAGTTGATATTAGTGACCGAGCACACAGCGCGATGGAGGCCCGTTTCGCCCGCCGCTCCATGTCGCAGGCCTTCTTCTCCAAGCTATTGTTCAGTGCAATCACGCGATCGAGGTGATCCTTCTGCTCGGCCGCTTTCGTCGTCAGCGCGTCCACATCGCATCGGCACTCGTCCCACTTTCTCTTCAACGCAGCGACCTCGCCGTTCAGACGCACTTCCTTCGGGGTGTGGGAAATCTTTTTCCACGTCTCGACTTCCTCGGCCTCGGACTTTACCCGGTCCTCCAGACGCAAAATCTTCGCGTTGGCCGCGAAGAGCTGCTGCTTCTGGGCTTCACACATCTCCCTGGCTGCATTGACGCGCTCCCTTTCTTCGTTGGCTCTGCCGAGCTGTCTCTTCAGAGCACCCACCCTCCCGCAGAGATATATTTCCTGAGGTGTGTTGCACACGGCGCTCATCACGTCATCGGCAGCCCCCCTGCCCAGGATGCTCTCCAGGAAGAACGTCTTGGCGGCATCGGTCTTCATCCCCGCGTAGACACATTGCGGTGTCTTGTGCGACTGCGCAATGATGGCAAACACTACGTCCAAGAACTCGCCCTTGGACCTGGACCTCGTCTTCGCGTCGACGACCAGGCTAGCGCTCAGGGTGTCGATAGTGGCCACGTCGAAGTCGACGTGCTTGCAACCTATCGTCAATCTCGGCCGCGGTATCTTGAACGCCTTCAGACGAAAGCACGCGCCATACTTGTCGGCGAGCAGGGCAGCGTGCTTCTCCAAGGTTGCCCGAGCGTTGCTCATGTCCTCGGCGGTGGCGCCTGCTACGACGTACCCCAGGTCGCTCGAAGACTCCCCGCGTTTCACCATGTTTGCAAGGATGTCGAAAAACATGAGGACGAATTCCACCCGCAGCTCGCGCTCGACGTCACCTTTCTTCGTTTTCAATACCATGACCTCGTCGAGAAGGGCCAGGACGCTGTCGCTGCACACCGACAAGGAGAAGATCTTCTTCATCACGCGACGATCGAAGTCCTCCATGCCGCGGAAGCGATCGCAGATGGATTTGACCAACCTGTCTTCCCCGTCCCGGCCCTGGGCGATCGATGTCGCGACACACATGGCGATCTCGACCTTGCGATCGGAAGCTTTGCCGCCAACGGCAGGGAACCCGGCCCGAATGAAAGACTTGGCCGCTTTCGCTAGCTTCGTGTGGGGTAGAGAGCCCATCACGCGCCTGTACGACGACTCGTGGTCTTCACCATGTTGACCGCCATGCCGGAGCGCGAGGGAGCATGTTGTGATGCTTTCGAAGAGCTTTGTGGGCGTAATCATAGTTTTGAGATGGAGGGTTTAATGGCCTTGTATTAAAGTTGTACGTAAACTTTGCAATCGCAGTTTGTAGCAACACAGCAGCACAGCAACACAGCAACATGGCGAAGGAGGGGCAACTGGTTTTCATGCAAGTGACCATAACGGCACTGGGCCCAGACCTTCACTACCGCTTCAGAGTCATCAGTACAAGAACGGAGAAGGAGAGGCTTCTTCTCGTGGAAGCAACTTCCGCAAGCCCTCGCGACCAATTTTCATTCATCGTGGGGCCAACACAGGAGGATGTTGACAAAACGAGTGCACCCGGAGGAGTAACGGTCATCTACCTGGAGCCCACGTCAAAAAACAGCCTGAGAAATTGTACTTTTCAGGACAGAAGAGTTGCAATCGCCGCGAGAGCAGCCATGGATGGATGCATGTGTCTTGTATCCTTCCCCTCCGAACAGCGCACACTGCCAAGAGTAAAACATCGGGCCAGCACCGCTGCAGCCGAGGCGTTCGCAACGATGCGGGACATGGCCATTGCCGAAGACGAAAGCGTGTTTCAGTGCTTCGCAAAATGAAGAAAACGCGATAAAAAAATGTTGCTTGTGTAATAGATGATAATTGTACAATCATGGCCGGAACAGTGAACCACTCGCAACTACTGGCCAGAGCACGCAAGATGAAATTGATTGAGAGGAAGCCTCGCATGTCTGCAGCAACCAAAAAGAAGAAAGCAGCAGACAATCGGAAACGTCGTGCCGGTGCCAGATGTAAATCAGACCCAAAAGTACTGTCTGACAAATTCAAAGCCGCGGTGCCCTCTGCCCACAAGATTTCTCAGCTCGATTACTATGACTTTCTCGAATTGAAAAAAGAAATAAGCAAACACGTTAGCAAAATTCGTGCGCACGCGAAGAGGTGCAACCCGGATTTCAGAGACCAACTGGAATCCGATTATTGATAATCATGTATGTCACTCGTCCAGTTCGTCTCCACTCCACCGGTCCTGACAGCCACGACCCGCGTTGTACTTTTCCCAAATCATGTCGGCTTCCTGCTTTGGCGTCATCTTTTTCCGTGTCATCGACTCACGATCCTGCCTGAGAGCCGCCTCGTTCTTTTGAGTCATCGCTAAAGATATTTTTATGCGCTTGTTTTCCCTCTGTAGTTCGTTGCTCTTTTCCTTCAGCGCCGGGATCTGTTTCGCGAACTTGCGACAAATATCCCCGCTTTCCGAGAGCCTTTTCTTGAGCAACTCGAACTCCTCTCGTGAACACGAGAGTTCCTCCTTCAACTTCGAATTGTCCTTCTCCAGGGCCGCATTCTTTTCCTCCAGAGATTTCATCTGGTGGTAGAGATCGCGCGCTTCATCTGACGCAAGGACTGCTTTCCGCGTTTCCTCCGCCTGAGTTTTGTCGAGCACCTTTTCCAGGAAGAAATCCCTGGCAGACGCCAGTCGTAGGCGGCGGTAGGTCACGACGGGGTCGCGCGGGTTTGACGCGTGAGAGATGATGGCGAACATCATCTGAAGGAACTCTTCCTTCTCATCCTTGTCCATTAGACTTTCTTTCAGCAGGTCGATGGTATTTTTCACGTTTTCCAGTTTGTCTTCCGTAACACCTCCGAATTGCACAGGCTGGCATCCGATAGACACATTGGGAAAACCATCACCAGCTGGAAACAGGTTGTTGTTCTTGCGGGGCAGCCGGAGAACGTCTTTCTGGAAACATGGAGAGCACCTGGTGGCGATTTCGCCTAAATGACGGTCCATGATCTCGCGCGCTAGCTTCATGTCGGTTGCTGTCACAATTGACGCGTATCCCAAGTCGGCGAGTGTATGCATGTCGCCCACCACCATCTCCATTCCATTGAAGAAAATTTCAACAAACTCCATGTTGAAGACATGTTCAAATACAAGAGTACCTTCCGTCTTGGATATTAGTAAATTGTCCAAGAGCTTACGAACCCTGTCATTGCAAAGAGAAATCTTGAATATGTGTTCCATCACATGCCGATCAAAGTCGTGGATGCGCCGAAAACGATCACAAACTTCTTTGGCCAGGCCATTTTCGGCATTGTCGTCCGCGACCAAAATTGCGAGATATAGTGCAAATTTGGCCTTTGCATCTTGAGGTCTGTGCCAACCTCGTTTCATAAATTCCAGCGCAGCTCTGGTCACGTCTTTCGTTCTCGGACGTTCGCCTACAGAGGTGTTGCTGCACATAAACTTCACAACTTCGTCGTACGATGAGACTTCGTCGTGCGATGAATGACGGGCATTCCCGTTTTTTTCGTTCTTGTGGTGGCGAATTGCATTCGAACATACCATGATTCTCTTAAACAGTGGAAATGACGTAGCCATGATAACAGAATGCCTACAATGAAACAGACCAACAAAATAATTACGCCAAAACACCCGCGACGGGTGGACAAGAGTCTGTCCATATGAGGTGTGGCCAAAACGCAGGGGGCGTGTCTGGATATGTCCAAGTGTCGATAAAAAGAGGTTGAAAATCAGCTGAGATCCGAGAGTCAGATGATCTTCACATCCTTGATGATGATCATCGGTGCGGTCCCGGCGACGTCCCTCCGACCGACTTTCGTACGAGAAATGACACTGGTAGAGATCACAGAAGGGTGTGGTGTTCACGCGAGCTCGAAGGTGGACAAGAGTCTGTCCGTATGAGGTGTGGCCAAAACGCAGGGGGCGTGTCTGGATATGTCCAAGTGTCGATAAAAAGAGGTTGAAAATCAGCTGAGATCCGAGAGTCAGATGATCTTCACATCCTTGATGATGATCATCGGTGCGGTCCCGGCGACGTCCCTCCGACCGACTTTCGTACGAGAAATGACACTGGTAGAGATCACAGAAGGGTGTGGTGTTCACGCGAGCTCGAAGGTGGACAAGAGTCTGTCCGTATGAGGTGTGGCCAAAACGCAGGGGGCGTGTCTGGATATGTCCAAGTGTCGATAAAAAGAGGTTGAAAATCAGCTGAGATCCGAGAGTCAGATGATCTTCACATCCTTGATGATGATCATCGGTGCGGTCCCGGCGATGTCCCTCCGACCGACTTTCGTACGAGAAATGACACTGGTAGAGATCACAGAAGGGTGTGGTGTTCACGCGCGATAAAAGGTGGACAAGAGTCTGTCCGTATGAGGTGTGGCCAAAACGCAGGGGGCGTGTCTGGATATGTCCAAGTGTCGATAAAAAGAGGTTGAAAATCAGCTGAGATCCGAGAGTCAGATGATCTACACATCCTTGATGATGATCATCGGTGCGGTCCCGGCGACGTCCCTCCGACCGACTTTCGTACGAGAAATGACACTGGTAGAGATCACAGAAGGGTGTGGTGTTCACGCGAGCTCGAAGGTGGACAAGAGTCTGTCCGTATGAGGTGTGGCCAAAACGCAGGGGGCGTGTCTGGATATGTCCAAGTGTCGATAAAAAGAGGTTGAAAATCAGCTGAGATCCGAGAGTCAGATGATCTTCACATCCTTGATGATGATCATCGGTGCGGTCCCGGCGACGTCCCTCCGACCGACTTTCGTACGAGAAATGACACTGGTAGAGATCACAGAAGGGTGTGGTGTTCACGCGAGCTCGAAGGTGGACAAGAGTCTGTCCGTATGAGGTGTGGCCAAAACGCAGGGGGCGTGTCTGGATATGTCCAAGTGTCGATAAAAAGAGGTTGAAAATCAGCTGAGATCCGAGAGTCAGATGATCTTCACATCCTTGATGATGATCATCGGTGCGGTCCCGGCGACGTCCCTCCGACCGACTTTCGTACGAGAAATGACACTGGTAGAGATCACAGAAGGGTGTGGTGTTCACGCGAGCTTGAAGGTGGACAAGAGTCTGTCCGTATGAGGTGTGGCCAAAACGCAGGGGGCGTGTCTGGATATGTCCAAGTGTCGATAAAAAGAGGTTGAAAATCAGCTGAGATCCGAGAGTCAGATGATCGTCACATCCTTGATGATGATCATCGGTGCGGTCCCGGCGACGTCCCTCCGACCGACTTTCGTACGAGAAATGACACTTGTAGAGATCACAGAAGGGTGGCCCCGGATGAAACGCTGATTCCTCATTACCGTCAACTTAAGAAGTTGGTAGGTAGAAAATTCGCTTAATGTGTCTAAACACACCTACTTGCCCTCGCTAGACTTACGACAAAGGAACGATGGTCTCTTGAAACCCAGGAGCTGAAACACGCCACAAACTCCTATGTTAGCCGAACCATTCGCGTCTCTGTCGATATACCTCACGGGGCAAGATCGGCCCTCGTCCATCTGGCTTGAACAGCGAAATACCCGAGAACCATCCACTTGCTTCAGTGGAACGCCGCAACTACAGCAGCATTTGGACGTTCGAAACTCGTCCACCAATACCACCGGACAAAGGACACCCAGCGCTCGAATCAGCGCCTTCCTAGGACAAGCTCCTCTCGCACCATGGCCGAACTGACCGTTGCCGAAGAAAACAACCCTTCTCTTATCTCGAATCTTCTTCAACAACTCCTTTCTCCTCTCTGGTGACAACGGTTCGGCCGAAGACCGTTGCTCCTTCCTGACCTCTTGCCTGTAAGTGTTTCCGAAAGCAATGTCCCTAGCCATACCGTCAACGGTGCGTTGTCTCGCGCGAAGTCTGGCAAACTTCTGGAGTCTACGCTCTTCTGAAAGCAGTTCCACTACTCTAACACGTAGCGTGCAGTAGATTACGGAAGAGTACGCAACAGATGAATCAGGCTGTTTTAGCGACACGGAGTCGAAGGCTTGAACTGCTTGACCATATTCCACGTTATCTAGTCTCCTCCCGACTTCTGCCCTGGCGCTGAAGCGGGTAAGCGACTGATGCTTGTATTCTCGAGAAGAAATGGACGACTGTGATCCCTTGAAGTCAGAAGCTTTAAATGTCTCCGGGGACGTGATGTTCGCTCTCACCGTCGCGTAGACGGAGACTTGCCCGGGGTCAAGACCCACAACCTCAATGTGGTTGTCGGGGGAAGAAAGACGGGACTTCTCTGTATCGTAGAGAGGGAATGCCTCCTTGAAAACGCCTTTGGAGCTTTTGGATACTCGAAGCTTGTCCTGGATAGATGCGTAGCCCTTCTTCACAAGCTCCTTCACACCCTTCGGCAGGGGATTGGTTTTGGCAAGAGTAGCCAGGCAAACCTTGACCTGTAGGCCGTCCGTAGATATCGAATTGACGATCCAGGGTGTTTCACAGCTCGGGTCATCTCTCTTCGCTGAGTAAAGGACTTCGTCGGTGAACCACGGGTCCTTGTTGCATACACCGATTCCTTTTCGGTAGCGGTTGTTCAGGCGAAGAACTTTCCGCGTCCTTTGTGTCTGATTCTTCTCGGTGCTCGGGCGTCTGTTCACGATCCTCTCCGAATAAAAGTCAAAGATGCCCGTCCACCAGAGCCTTTCAGCTCTCCCAGCACACTTCACGCCAGTGGTCTTCAAAGTGACCTGGTTTTCCGACACACCGGGGAAATCAAGAGACTTGGCGAGGGTGCCGATGCTCTGGCTGTCGTACCTCACGAACGCCCTTGTGAGAGAGAAGTGTGGCATCAGTGAGAAGGCTTTCGGTGGATGCTCCGTTCCCGGCTCCTTCATGCTCTTCCACATGTCCCTCCTCGTGTTTCGAACGTCGCGCACGAGATTCGACGCGTCCTTCTTGCTCATCTCGATCCCCTCGTCGAACCATGGAGGTACAGGTATTTCTTGCAGAAGATGTCGCTGTTTCAAGAACCCCTCTTTCGTCTTGGATGACTTGATGGACTGCTGCCTCTCGTTGACTTCGGACCAGATCTCTCCTCTCCTCTTTCGAAGGTGAAAATCTACCTTACGACACCCGGCCTCGATCTGTAAGACATCGTTCAGCCTGGCTTTCACGTTGTACAGGAAATCCTCGCGCCCAGTCAACTCTTCTTCTGTCTTCGGGTGATCGGGGGGGTCCTTGGGTGGAGGTCTCTTCACACGCAAAGGTTCAAAGAGGCCCCTGAACTCCGACAACAGGCCCTCCATGGCTTCTCCCCACTCAAGACGAAGCAGCTCCTTTTCACTTCCTCTTTTCTGGTCCACGAACTTGCGTATTATTGACAAAGCTTGTTCAGGAGTCTTCTGTCCAGCTGCCTCGTAAATATTCTTTGCTGCACGGGGAATACTCGCCCAAAAGTGTTCGTCGTCCCGGCACTCCCACAGTCTTCTCTCGAGGCGACACGAAAGGTGATCCACCAATCTACTCTCGAAATTGCCGGATATGTGTGTCTTGATAGACGTCATCATTTCTCCGCAGAGGGCGTCTCGGCATCGAAGAGGGAATTTTTCAACCTGTCGTAGCGTCTCGTCGTCCAACTTAGATTCGTCAAGGTACGATTGCAGATCAGGATGATGCAGAGGCCTTGTGCTCTTGTGAAGAGTATTCCCCGATATTCGCGTGAAGAGTTGTTGAATAAATGTCCGGTTGACGATCAGTGTGTTCGAAGGGTCCTTCTCCGCAAGCACGTTCAGGCACACAGAAACGAGGTGACGAAGTATCCCAAGGGACTTGGCGTCCTTGTCGATTTGACGCAGTAGAACATCCTTACCGGGAACATCCTCCCGTACACAGGCGTCCATGGAAGACGTCACGGAGCAGACCCTTGTCTGTGGGTTCTTGATACCTCTCGCGACAGCCCACGTGGCCAACTCCTTCTTTGCATGTATGTGTGAGTTCTCGTCGTCATCTCCGGGCGCCTTATCTGATGAACCGGACTTCGCGCGCTTACGTTTGATCCCCGAAATTGGTTTTTTGGAACTATCGTTTTCTTCTGACTCCATGTTGTTTGACGGTGGAGCTCGAAAGTGTGACAGGATGGGGCCGGGCACCGGGCCCGTCTTCTATTGTTTCCGGTAAAACTTTTCCCGTGGACACATATGATTGGTCGGGATTAGGGGCCCCGTGATATGTCCAACTCGATGGGTACACTGACACGGAACGCGGGAGTGCTAAGTCAGTTCGTCTGAAAAAAATGGTCCGTGGTGATGATGATCATATATGCGACCATGGCACAAGCGACTTCGCTTCTTTAATAACACATTTGTCTCAGAATGTGCACTCAATTTACAGCCTTCTCGATGATAGTTGTGAATGTTCTCGTGTGTTTCCCTGAGAAAGTCAGACGGGCGAGAACGAAGCAAACTCCCTCGCGGAGAGTTACATGTGTTCAGACACAGGTAACGAATTTTCTACCTATCAACTTCTTAAGTTGACGGCAATGCGGGGGCTGGGGCCGATGCCAATGATTCCGCCGACGACGAACGCGCTCGGTTATTGCTGTGGCGCGAATCTTCTGCCAGGTGTTTCCAAACGTTTTTAAGTCGCCACGTCTATCCGGCAGTGCAAAACACCCGGTTTACGTAACACACCGCTCCCCCCCCCCCCCAGTGCCTTTCACACGTTACCGACGGACAGCAACCGCCGCACGTGTTGAAAACGCAGTCGCGCGCGATCATCTGACCATATCCGCAAATTCTCCCCGTTGTCCCGGGCTGTTTCAGAACGTACTTGTCTTCCTGAAGCATCGCTCTAGCCTCTTTCTTCTGCTGTTGTTTTTGAGCGCGAAGGGGAACGACGTCGTGCAGCACCACCGGTTTGCTTCGGGGACGTGTGAGATGGTGCGCCCCTCACCCCACCTCACCAGCCGCGCCACCTGAGCGCGCTGCTGTCAACCCCGTCCGCCTGCGCTCGCTCGTTGTTGGCCCCGGACGGAATTGAGGCCCGTCGTCTCATCCTGAAAGTCGCCCGCCCTCGGTCGCGATCTTGGGCCTGGCGATGTGGCAACTTGTCGGTGAGGCGAAGGTCGACAAGATGATCGATGGTGTTGCGGCGTTTCATTTTCATTTGTATTTCAAGTTCTTGAATTTTTATCTCTTCGGGTGTTTGTTGCAAAAAAAAGGTGGAAATGATTCACATACAAATAATTATTAATTTTATCAAATTTCGTAAACAACGACCTTTTTCCCGTCTAATACGAGCGATTCACCTGGTGAATATGGTGTACTATTGATGGTTACAGAATTATTGGTTTCATCGTACAATACAGTCACCGTTGAAGTATCTGAAAGGGTCATGCTGAAAGACTGTCCCGACCCCCCATCATCCGAGAATGGCGCAACCAATGATGTGGAATCTGATACACTTACTGTAGAGCCTCTGTTGACGAACTTGGACGTTTTTGTTTTATTACCAACTTTAACGTCCAGAGTGTCTCCGGTCGTGAACAAGTCGTTCAAGTATTTATTCATCAACCCAAATGCAGCAGTGCCTATCGAAGACAGATCGAACTTTCCATTGTCACTGTAAACACTGGTGTCGTAATTTTCCAGAGTGTCTTGGAGTGTGTCGAACACCGCGTTCTCCCTCGATTCTAAACCATTGCCGATATCAACATATAAATAAGCAGTGTATGAAGTAGTAGATGTCAAATTGACTACTTTTGTATTTTTTACATCGGTTATGCTCGATATAGTCTGACTATATATTTGTTTTCCAGAAATGGTTTCAAAAACATCAACCTTGTATGATAGAGCTCCATCAACTTCCGAAACATATATTTTTGCCACTGTTACACTAGGTTTTACTGACATTGACATTGTTCGTTCTGTTATGATAAAAGTCTGTTTATCATCACCGGTCAACACTCCAACTTCTTCCACGTATGCATCTCCCAACGAATACATATTGATGGTTGCACCAATCGCACGATTATTTTCTGCCTGACTTCCCGTGTTCCTGTTATAGAATACAGCAGTAGCTATTTCGTCCTTCGGATAACCTTGGTCTAGTACAAGCGTCCAAGATCCTACTCCAGATGTTGAAGTGAAATTGTATGTATCACCGGCTGCTACCGAACCATCGTTGATTCCGTTGATACCTATCGATGCTACTGCGTCCTGGAACTGACTAGATAAAGAGGCCGCTCCAAGGCGTGCTATATTGGTCCCGAAGATGTCGTACAGCTCTAGTTCTGTGAAATGAACGTAATTGTTGTGGGATATAATAATCTTGTTGTACTTGAGACTGGTTGTCGGCACAGAAGAATTGTCCACTTCATAAGCAGCATGGTTATACAACACTTCCTCAGCAGTGAGTTCAGAAGAGTATACGGACACGGCTTCTACGGTGACGCTAGGACCATCGGTATTCGAAGATGTTCCGAACAATGTTAGAGTCGAGGTTGTTGGAGCACTCAGGGTGAAGACGACGTTTGTCAAGCTCCCATCTACATGGTCTCTCATGTCTCCTAGATACGTCACGGGTTGTCCGTCAATGTAAGTATTAGACACAGTGTTGGTTCCTTCTGCAAGGCTCCACGCTCTACCATCACCTCCAGTGAAATCGTAACTAAAAATTTGTAACTGGTCGTTTGACTTGGGTGCATAAATGATGTTGTATTCGAAATCGTAACCGTACACGAACCACTGAGAAGGTATACCAGGGACTTCAAATTGTTGACCAGTGGCAACATGAATTTCCATCAGAGTTCCAGAAGCCGAATGTGTGTACAGTTTTTCAGAGTAGTACTCTAGACTCTGTGTAGTACCGACCACGGATGTAGTTATCTGTACTGGCACGTTCGAACTTGACGATATGTCCAGCGAGTATACATGAAAATCGGATGCTATAAAGTATATCTGATCTCCCTCGATTGTAAATGCTCTCGGGGCTATAGTAATACCAGTATTTGAGTATATGGAAGTGAATGCCCTCGTAGTTCCGTTAAGACTACAGACCTGATTAGAAGAACCTTCTATCATGACAATAAACATATCATCTGATTCTCTGTAGCGTACAGACTGAGCCGATCCTGACCAAATAGGAGATGGTGTTTTGATATTACCTTGTATGGTTAGATTTACAGCATTGCTGGAATTTACTGTGCAGTATTGATTCTTTGACGGACGGTAATCGAAATCTATTAAATTTCCATATGCGACGTTGTACGAGGTAACACTTGAATTAACAGGAGTTAGGGCGGTCTCCTTTATTGCTTTATTTAAACTATGCATAAATTTATTGCGAGAAGGGTCGTACCTGGCTTGTTTCAGCGAGTACATCCAGCCAGATGCTCGTGTAGTAAGACCGAGATTGGTTGATCTAGCCTGTGTCACAACATTAGACACGGTCAGTGCTGCACTAGCGTCTCCAAGCGTATCGAAAAGATTGAACGATGGTTGATCACCATTGAATCTAAACCACAGAGACACTGTCTGAAAGGTAATATCTTCCAGTGTCTTGAGAGTATTGTCTACTCCGGACAATACGACACCGTTAGCATCGGTTGTATACGTACCGTTGACGGAAAGATCTTTTCCTCCAATCGCGGAGGGAAATGAAGATCCAGATACATCCTGGATATTTTTGTTGCAGTATAGTTCTATACCGGTTTCTAACATTTTTGTTATAATAGCTATCAATATTATATTTTAGCTGTATTCCACATTGTTATACCTATTTAGATGTTGTTCATCGCGAGGGAAAACGATGTCGTCTAGCAGATGGTTACGCCACCTGCGCGCCCTGCTGTCAACCCCGTCCGCCTGCGCCCGCGTTTAAGATACCTTGAGGAGACAACTTAGTTGTTTCTATCTGTTTTTGTTCACTACAACTTAATAGTTCCGGTTTTCTTAAGCTGATATTAGTGACCAATGGTAACTTCACCGGTAGAAATACCGGTGTGAGCCACCTTTGTGGTTCCAGAAGGGGACTCTGTTACGTTGATCTGGTACGTGAGAGCACCGGTGACTTCCACCACGGTAGCACTGATAGATGTTACTCCCGCTGTAGGAAGCAAGAACTCTGATAATACTACAGGTATAGGAAATGTTTGATAAGATACATTTACAGTTGTCCCAAGTACGAGAGGAGATCCTCCGTCTGTAGAGAGGAGTTCTATTGCAACTGAATCATGGTTAGAACCTGCATTTCGACCCAAAAAACCTACACTGCTCAGTTCCGACTGTGAATAAGGCCGGTCCATGGTCAGCGTCCATGTTTCGTCAGTCGAACCAGTTGAATGATGACATGAAGAAATATCACGGGAAGAACTCCCATCTATAGCATTGTTATCAACTTAAGCTTTCTAGAACAATTTTGCGAATCTTACCTACTCGAAACGATCTAGAAGAAAGACCACATTTTTCAATTTTATACGTAAACATTTGAGTGTATTGGTAGCCCACGCTGCTCACAATTCACCTTCACCATGGCAACCACCACTACAAAATCGAAGACGAAGAAGAAGAAAAAGAGAAAGAAGATGGCCGACATCACAACACGGCTACACGAGGTCTACAACATCAACACGCTACGAAGAAACGACGACGAGCTTTCGCAACCGAAGTTTCAACAAACGACTTGCCTGGAAACAGTGGGATATTCCGAGGTTTAAAAAACCCTAAAAGCTGGACCCTTGAGGAGACAACTTAGTTGTTTCTATCTGTTTTTGTTCACGACAACTTAATAGTTCCGGTTTTCTTAAGTTGATATTAGTGATCCCCAACTTGTTGCTGTGGCAGTGCCAAGGGGGGCAATATTGACATTGGAGTCATTGTATAGTTCGAACTCAGCAAATACGAGCAATCCACCTCCAACCTTCCGCGCTCTGGCTTGATTAAATACCCTACCAGACATTTCATTGTATTTAAGATAAATATATTTTTCTGCAAAACCGTCTCTTCGCATACAAGCCCACTGCGTTTGTTTACAGGAAATAACCGAATACTGCAGTCGCGTACGCCCTGCACCTGCACCAACAGTCACGATGACTCTCGACATGGTCGTAGGTGCGAGCGCACCGTTGGCGGGCTCGTTCTGGAATGATTGTACGGAGGCGACCATGCACCGCGTCGTTGACATGCTCCTCGCGGCGGAGGCCGGTGCCAAAGATTCCGGCCCCGACGACCGCGCGGCTCTTGCGGTGCTCAACGTGAAGGCCGACTTATGCCGCGCCCTGTTGAGCCACTGCGCGGACGCCAGCAACATATGTTTGGCGGACGTGCTCGACGTGCTCGTGGCAGCTTTCGCAGACGTCAACGCCAAGAATGTTTCGGGGGAGACGGTTCTGATGTACTCCGCCGGCTGTCCCGATGCTGTGCGCGCCCTCGTGCGCCTGGGTGCGGACGCAACTCGCTCCGATTGTTGCGGATACACGGCCCTTTTTTTCGCGAAAGACAGGGAAGTGGTCGACATGCTCGTGGACGCCGGTGCCGACGTCGACGCTCGGGCGGAAGACGGCATCACGCCTTTGATGCACGCGTGCTTTCATACAGACATCGAAGTGGCTCGCGCCCTCTTGGAGAGTGGCGCAGACCCCAACCTCCGGGACGACGAAGGGAGGACTGTCCTCAGCGTGATCTGCTCCGAACTATGCGACTTTGTCGTCGCCATGCTCGACTTGTTGCTGAGGTCGGGTGCGGACGAGAGAATCGCCGACAGTGATCACGGCCGTCTCCCCGTCGATTGCTTGTCGGAACGTGTTTACCCTAAGGAGGTGGTGGGCCAGGCTCGGCATCTGTTGCTGTCCGCCCCGCGGGACAGAGCGTGGCGCCGCCGGGGATTTGTCTTGATGTGCATGTCTCGCAGTGCGGGCGCGGAATCCAGCGGCAGCGACTTGGCACGGTGGCTCGTGAGCGCTCGGGCGGGGCAGGAAGGGGTGTTTAGAGAGGTCGTGAGGTACCTCTAATTGCGCCGAGGTCGGATTAGCACGGTCGGCTATCGGGGACTTTTGCTCGCCGACTCGTTGAGTGATTGTCTTGCAATAGGTACCCTCCGTTACCGTACCAATTTAATATTTCCTGCCCTTCTTTGATTACTCTGGTAGACTTTAGCCATACCCCCGGGACCCCGCCTCCGACGGGACGGTACCTCGAAAAACAATTATGGTGTCTGAGAGCAGAAACGGTACCATTGGAATTGAATTGAGCGTTCGCGAGAGAACCAATTCCTCTTGAGCATGCGCAATCGTAGGCAAGGTTTGCCTGTACCTGTTCAGTGTACGCTGCGGTCGTGCCCCCTGGGTAACGTTGATGTATGCAGTTCATTGTCGTTGCTTCGCCGGAGTAAGGACAAATCCATGAGTCTTTTGGTATCTTTCTTGTTGCAAACAACCCTTTTCCTGCACCGGGGATCATCGAGTCTTTGATTTTTACGCCGTATTTCCTGGCGTTATGTATCCAGCAGAGAGGAGAACCAAAACACACTCTATTCTTGCATCTAAGCCCGTTATCCCTCGTTTGTGTACACTGACCACATGTCAACGGACACGACCAGTTTGCGGTTCGAAATGATAGCTCCGTCGGGGCGCGTTTACGCGTGCGTTTACGCGGTGGCATCTTTCACTGGTTTCCGCTATAACATTGTAATATTTGTAAATAAAATAAATCACTCAGGTGCACGTCGGTGGCTCGTGTGCGCTCGGGCGGGGCAGGAATGGTAGAATTGTAATATCTTCCGTATAAGATGCAGGAAACGGATATCTTCTGTGTTTTCTCTGGTAACGTTAAAAGAACAACGTCGCTGATCGTCAACAGACGTGTATGGCGAGCATGTCCCGCCTGCTTGCAGCGCATTACAAAAAACTATAATGTCACAGAACTGATGGTTCTCTACATTACAGAATCCAATAAGTCTCCCGCTGCGTCAACGACTTTCGAACACGACGTGCCATAATTAAGAGAATTGTAACCGTAAAGTTCCGAGTTCTTCGGGCGTTCACTCCCCTCGTCTCCCCACTCCTCATCACTCCTCATCACTCCTCATCACTCCTCATCCCTCGCCGCCATCACCACCAACTTGCGAATCTTAGCCATGGCGTTGCCGAAAATTTCCGAGATTGCGAGAAACCAAGAAAAGGATTTCCGGTCCATCGAGAGAAACAGGAGGTACATCGACAAGAACTACAAAGAGATCGGGGAGCTGCTGGATCGCATCAGGTGCCTCGAAGACACGGTGAAGAAGCTCGCATCGTCCCACGCTGGTCGCGTGCGTCAAGTGGACACCGGCATGGCGATCGAGGAGAAGAAGACACCTGTGACATCCAGGAACCCGTCCGTTCTCGACGCGAGACTGGTGAAGATGCAGAAACGGTCGGCTCAGCTCCAGCTCGATCGTTCTGCGCTGATCAAGTTTGGCAAGATGAACCTGAGTCTCCCGGTAAGCGAGCGGTACACGTGGAAGAGGTTTGGCAATGGAGCCGACCAGACCGCAAAGACCTTCGACAGTATCTGTGACGGCCCGAGCCTGGATAGCCTTTTGTTGGATCCGAAAACCAAGTCCGTCGTCGACAACATTCTCGTGCCCGACGGTGGACCCGTGCTGAACATTAACCACACCGTCAAAAAGAAGTACTGGGTGTTCATCAAAGACGGCAAGCTCGTGACACTCAGCTCAGACTTCCGGGACGGCGTCGGGGCGGAGTACCTCTGGACGGATGATGCGTTCCTCGGCGCGCCGTCCAGCGATTGGAAGTACCCCTTCAAGTTCCAGAACGACCCACGAAGGCTGCATGTCGACCCCGCGACGGGGGTTCTGTGGGTACCTGGGTGCGGGGAAAAGCAGAAGCAGGATGTTCGTGGCAGCGGCAGTGACAACAGCAGCGACGACAGCAGCGACGACAGCAGCGACGACAGCAGCGACGACAGCAGCGACGACAGCAGCAAGAGCGGCATCAAGAGCGGCAGCAAGAGCGGCAGCAAGAGAGGCAGCAAGAGCGGCATCAGGAGCGGCATCAAGAGCGGCAGCAAGAGAGGCAGCAAGAGAGGCAGCAAGAGAGGCAGCAAGAGCGGCAGCAAGAGCGGCAGCAAGAGAGGCAGCAAGAGCGGCAGCAAGAGAGGCATTGACGACAGCAGCGACGACAGCAGCGACGACAGTAGCGACGACAGCAGCGACGACGGCAGCAAGATCGTCAGCAAGAGCGGCAGCAAGAGCGGCAGCAAAAGCGTCAGCAAGAGCGGTGGCAAGAGCGGTGGCAAGAGCGGTGGCAATAGAGGCGGCGACGATAGTAGTGACGACAGCAGCGACGACAACAAGAGCGGCAGCAAGAGCGGCAGCAAGAGCGGCAGCAAGAGCGGCAGCAAGAGAGGCAGCAAGAGCGGTGGCAAGAGCGGCGGCGACGACAGTAGTGACGACAGCAGCGACGACAGCAGTGACGACAGCAGCAAGATCGTCAGCAAGAGCGGTAGCAAGAGCGGCAGCAGCGACGACAGCAAGAGCGGCAGCAAGAGAGGCGGCGACGACAGCAGCGACGACAGCGGCGACGACAGCAAGATCGGCACCAACAGCGGCACCAAGAGCGGCATCAACAGCAGTAGCCAGAGCGGCAGCGAGAGCAACAGCGAGAGCAACAGCAACAGCAAGAGTGTAAGCAACAGCGGCAGCAACGACGTTAGCAACAGCGGCAGCAAGAGCGGCAGCAAGATCGGCAGCGAGAGCAACAGCAGCATCAGCGGCAGTGACGATGACAGCAGCAGCGACGATGACGGTGGTGCCGAGAACGACCCCGGTGACCCCAAGGACGCCAAGGACCTCAGGGACGACGTCGAGGACGGTGGTGCCGAGAACGACCTCGAGGATGACGGCGAGGACAGCGGTGATGATGCTGAAAACGACCCCATGGACAGCGGCGACGAGCGTGTTGAAAGCGTAGACAAGGATGACAGTATCAGCATGAAAGTCTCGGCAGATGTAGACAGGGATGATGAGCATGGTAGCGGTAACGTTTCGGACCTGGGATACATTGGAATAGAGAGCAGCGAGTCTCTCAGCGGCAGAAAGCGCGCCGCAGAGGAATACGCCGGCACTTCGTCGGACTCTGACTCGGACTCCGACTCCGACTCAGACGATGAGGGTGCGCGGCCGAAGATGCCTCGCGTGATGTAGAGTAAATGTTTTTTGTGGTTTTCTTGTTTTATTTTTGTTGGTGTGTACATAGAGACGACAGGGGAAATGATTAATGAGAATAATGAAAAGATGAACGACAACAATGGGCTCTGCACGAGCACCTGGGGACCACCCGGGTGGTTTTTCTTACACTGTGTCGCCGCGGGATACCCTGTTCATCCGGACGAATACGATGACATTCGCGGCAACGCTAGAGGGCACACCCGTCGAGGATATTCCTCGTTCTTCAAAAACACCGGGCACGTTCTGCCGTGCCGGTTCTGTAGAGATTCGTATGTACACTTCTCATCCGAAACTCCGGTTGAAGAGTACCTCCACTCGCGCCAAGCGCTGTTCGAGTGGCTGTTCATTATACACAACAAAGTCAATGACAAGATCGGTGATAAACAAGAAACCGACCTCGAATCCGTCGTGGACAAGTACGAAAGATTCCGAGCGAAATGTCATCACCAAAAAGCGACCGGGTGCACCGATCCCGCGAGACACAACGAGAAGATGATATGCAGATTGGTGGTGGAGCCCGTCAACAGGAAACGGAATCGGTGGGCTGTGCTCTCGATCATGACCGTTCTCATCATTTTTGTTTCAATTGTTGTTCATCACGGGGCCGATCGGCGTCTTTGATCGAACTCCCCGGGTCCGCCGCGAGGTAGTGGATGTAGCAATGCAGGTACAGGTGGTGCCTGTGGTGCCTGTGGTGCCAATGGCACCACCGGCACCATTGCCGGAGGTGCCGGAGGTGCCGGTGGTGCCGGTGGTACCGGTGGTGCCGGAGGTGCCGGTGGTGCCGGTGGTGGCATTGATGCCGGTGGTGCCGGTGGTACCGGTGGTGCAGCTGCAGGTGGTGCAGGTGCTCCCGGCGCTCCCGGCGCTCCCTTTTCCCCCTTCAATAGCCCGACCAACCCTCCATACGCACTGTATCCGTAAAAGGGGTGGGTGTAGTGGTACTGAGGGTAGTGTTGATAAGAATACTGGCGGGGGTATTGCTGCGGAGGCGCATATTGTCTCTGTTGATACTGCTGGGGGTATTGCTGCTGATACTGTTGCGGGTAGGGCTGCGAGTGAGTGTAGTACTGCGGGTGGTAGAGCTGCGCGGGCGCCGACGTTTTCTTCTTGGCGCTCGTTTGCTTCTTGGCGCTCGTTCGCTTCCGTGGCGTCGTTGTCGTCTTCCTCTTGGTGGTCTTCTTGGTGGTCTTCTTGCTGTTTTTCGACGATGCCGGCATGTTGGTTGTTGTGTTGCAAACTTGCCAACATTATTTTTTTATATTTCGTCTTGACGTTCCCCCGGGCTGTAGGAAAAACTGTAGCTGTCTGCAACCAACTCACTCATATCAAACTCAAACTCGTCCACCACTTCAAACACTCCGGAACAGTCGAAAAGAAAGGGGTCTTCGGCCCTGGCGACACGAATGCGATAGAAATCAGCGTCGGTGTCCGTCGGGATGGATATCGAGTGCGAACCACCCGAATCCTTGCACTGCTCGCAAAGGCCGGCCACGTACGTTCCACAGTCACTCGTGAACAAGTCGATGTCAAACACATCCGCGCTGGACCCTACCCCGTTCTCGAAGTCAAACTGAACATCGTACGCATGACCAGTCACAGCAACGTCCCCGTCGGCCGGAGCCGTGACCTCGAGAAAGTACTTGTCGGAGTCTGTGGGTGCGGCTCCCTCTGTGATCAAAAAGAACTTGTCGGAGCACCCGAACGATCCATCTTCGACACCCAGTACGCCGATCCGGTATGCCGAGTCTGAGAGGTCTGGGGCGGGTTCCGGTAGCACGACGTCGTAGTCGCCGGTCGAGTCCAGGCAGCCACTCTCTCCGTAGGGGCACAGCGCCGTCGCCCATGTGCCGCACGAATCTTCGTCCATGGAGTACGATTGGTATTGGTAGAGGTCGATGGCGAACCGACCGGGCGTTGTTGATCCATCATCATCTTGGTTCCACCGGACGGTGAAAGTCCTGCCGGAGACGACCACCAGGTCTTCCTCGGGGGTCGTCACCGTGAGCGATGCGCGGCCGGAGTGGAGACCTGTTGTCAGTAGTAGCAGAATACTCTTGGCCAAGCACAGCATGTTTGTGTTATACAGTATAGAAAACATTTTATTGTTCAGCGCGTGAACTTCCCCGAATTTATTTTGTTTTGCAAGTCCAATAACACTCATGAAGGTCTTTCTTGCTATCGCAGCTTTGCTGTTGTTGCTGCCCTTGGTGGGCGCAGAAGTGTTCACGGTCTCTCCCGGCGAAAGTATCCAGGAAGCCATTGAGCTAGCGCAGCCAGGAGACACTGTGGAACTGAAAGATGGCGAATACACGGAGGATCTCGTTACGGTTCGTGACGGCGAGCCCGACAAGCGCATAACATTATCAGGAGGCCGCGGGGCCGTCCTGAAAGGAACCGGGAAAGAAAGCAGGCTTTTCCAAATCCATCATTCGTACACGACCGTGGATGGCTTCGTTTTGGATGGGAAAATCGGTAAAGGTGACAAGGCAGAGCACTACGTCGATAAAGGCATATACGCTCACGGAAATCGTGAGACTCGCGTCATCAGACAGTACGGCGAAGAGTTTCGGAGTGCGATCGACGGATTGATTATTTCCAACATGAAGATTATCAACTTCGGTGGCGAGTGCACGCGATTTCGGTACTTCGTGACCAACCTGGAATTCTTCGGGTCGCACCTGGAGAACTGCGGGGTTTACGATTTTGTCTTCAATGGGATGAAATCTGTCAACGGTGAAACGATCTACCTAGGCACGTCAAGCAACCAGATATCAGACGGAAAAAATCCTAGCGACGAGATCGACCAGACCCGCTTCATCCACATACACCACAACGTCTTCAAGGGTCTCAGCAACGAGGTGAGGCTGGCGCGGTGCGGAGTCATTTTGCGTTAGATGTGAATGAGTTCGGGGTATGTATTTACTTACCCCCTCCCTCCTCCCCTCCCTCCGTCCGTCCCTCCGTCCCTCCGTCCCTCCGCCCGTCCCTCCCTCCGTCCCTCCGCCCGTCCCTCCCTCCGTCCCTCCGCCCGTCCCTCCCTCCGTCCACCCGTCCCTCCGTCTGTCCGTCCCTCCGTTTCACCGTCCCTCCGTTTCACCGTCCCTCCGTTTCACCGTCCCTCCGTCTCTCCGTTTCACCGTCCCTGCCTCCCTCCCTGCCTCCGTCCCTCCGTCCGTCCCTCCGTCCGTCCCTCCGTCCGTCCCTCCGTCCGTCCCTCCGTCCGTCTCTCCCTCCGTCCGTCCCTCCGTCCCTCCGCCCGTCCCTTCCGCCCTGAAGGTTGACGCAAAAGAGGGAGCTCAGTACATACTGGTGGAAGAAAATCAGTGCTCGACGCAGAAGGATCCCAACTCCGGGTGCGTCGATAGCAGAAGCGATTACGTGGTCTTCAGGTACAACCAAATTCATAGTAATGATGGAGCTGGTGTTCGCATCGGAGGTCACGAGGTCAATGGAAAACAATGGGGCCTGAACAACGAAGTGTATGGCAACACGTTTTACGGCAACAAGGAGGGCGCTCTCAAGCTCCAGACTGGCCAGAAAGAGCACCCCCACCTGTGCGAGAACACTTGCAAAGGTGGCTGCGAGGTATCGGGTTCGGCCAGCGAGGGGAATGAGGACATGGAGAAGAAGTGCTCCGACCTCATGCCCATATTTTGGGTGGACGACACCAAGGCCGCACCCGACGCCGTGTCCGTCGGTGCCGAAGCCAGCAGCATCGGCGGCGAGCCTGACGACGCGGCCGACGCCGACACCCGTGAACATGAACCGGAGGCCGACTTTGATGCTGCGGTAGAAGGCAGGGCCGAGCCGAAGCAGTCCGGCAAGTGCTTTCCGGTTCCGATCGCGGACGTCAAGGCTTCCAGCGAAGATGGAAAGCACACCGTGCACGCCGCCATCGACGGGAAGGCGCTCACGCGCTGGAGCTCTCTCGGCAAGGGCGAGTGGCTCGAGATCGATCTCGCTTCCCCCCAAAAGATAGACGCGATCGAGATGTCGTTTTTCAAAGGAGACGAGCGCACGCAGTCCTTCGAGGTTGCCGTCGACGGCAAAAACATACTCCAAAACCAGGAGTCGAACGGCAAGACCCTGGCGCTCGAACGATTCCCGTTCCCGAAAGCCGTAGACGCTTCTTCCTCCGTCACCATCGAGGGCGGCGGCAATTCCCAAAACGACTGGAATTCGATGACGGAGGTGATCGTCTGCGGCGCGGAGGAGCAGCAGCAGAAATCCCAAGAATCCGAAGACGGACTGTGCTCCACGATTGAGAAGCTGGACATCGGTAAGGTCAGCGCCTCGGTCGACGACGGCAAGGACAGGGCAGCCACCAGCGTCATCGACGGCGACCTCAAGACCCGCTGGGAGACGGAGGGACCAGAGGAGCAGCATATCTCTGTGGATTTGGGGAAGCCGATGACCGTGACCGAGCTCGGCCTGGCGGTGTTCGAGGGCGACAAGATCAAGCAGTTTTTCGACGTCCTCGTCGAGACCGAGGAGCACGGCTGGGAGGAGGTTGTCATTGATGGCGAGAGCTTGAAGAGTAACGGCATCGAGTCGTACGACATCGGTATGAAGGGCGTGACGACCGTCAAAGTCGTGTGCTACGGGTCCGAGGACCTTGCTTCGGGAGAGGGAATCGAGCGTAACTCGTTCACGGAGATCGAGCTGTACGGGTGTGTTTAAATTTTTTCGTCAACAACGTCGTCAAAGATGTCCGCCTCGATATCGTTCATCAAAAAGTCGTGCTCCTCCTCGTTCACCGTGAAGAGGTTCATCTTCCGTTTTTGCTTTGGGAGAGACCACTCCGACACCTTCTTGTACAGGCTGGTGAGGGTGTTCTTGAGATGAAAGTTCTCGAGGTCGTACTCTGAGTCGAGGCTCGCGCTTACGTATTGTGCGGGCTCGTGATCTTCGGCAGGGGATTCAGATTCGCGTTCGTGTCTGAGTGCATCGTACGCCTCTCGCAGTCTCTTCTTGTTTCGGAGGCAACAGATCCAGGTCATAGAGTGTTGTTGTTGTAAAGGTTACATTTTTTACTATGTCATGTACGCCAGCGTGACATACGACTGTCGCCGCACCGTCAGCTCGAACAAGCGAGCGTTGTAAATGTTGGAGGACACCGTCCACCTACGATTCCAATTATTATTCTGTGCCGCGTTGTTGTTTGACACGTCGCCCACCTGCCAACTGTTGTTGTTGCCTGGCAACTGCGTGACCAAGCGGTCCACTACCGGTTGGTACTGCTGTGCGTCCGCAAGAACCCCTGTCTGCGGAATAGCGGTCATGCCGTGGGGCACATGAACGTGGCCTGCCGCGTGTGTGTGATACACTCTTACCACGAACGATACAAATCGTCTACGCGACGCTGCGAGAAAAATGTCTACCAATGCATCCACCCACGAGCCTGTCCCCACTGCCGCCACGGCGTCGAATTCCATGTACACCCTGTTGTTGAGACCGCATCTGGCATCGGAGACGACTCTCGCCAGATTGGTGATGTCTACGATATCGGCGCCCGTGCAATAGTATCGTCCACACTTGAGGGCGAACGGTACAAAAGGAGTAGCCGAAATGTAGTGTTCGGTGACGGATCGTGCTCCGACCTCCTGTATGCACTTTACAAGGCGTCTCCGCAGCGTAAAGCCCTGGATTGTATCCAGTACCACGTTGCCAACGTTATCGTACACCAAGTGTATGACGTTGGTGACAGGGTCGAATGCTTGTATTTGTAAGACAGGCTGTGTGATTATGTAGAACTTCATCACGAGCGAGAACCAGTTTCTCGTCATGTTCAAGACCAGAGACGCGGGCATTGCGGCGGGCATTCCCTGTATATTGTTGCGGCCGCTCTCGAACCAGCGGCGAATATCCGGCACGATTCGGTCAAGGCCTTCTCTGTAGGAGTGCCACATCGGTTGTTGTTGAAACTGAAAGCCGTAATTCAAAGCCACCAAAAATTCTCTGTCGGAAAGGTTGGCGTTCTGGAGCGAGGTCGTGCAGCAATCTGTTTCGACTTCTATAGTCGTCGCGTACGGAGGGCACGTTCCGTTTACAGCGTGGGTCCTGTAAACATTGGCATCGGGCTTGCACAGCTGGTGATCTCCTACTGCGTCTCGTCTCGTCTGTACGATGCTCGCTTTCGACCTGTCATCGAGATACGGCATCATCGTACCAAAAGCGTCGTGTTGAAAGTCTCGTTGTGCCATCACAAACTTTTCATATTCTGTGTAAACTGGAAACATTATTGTTTCGCAAAAGAGCGCGTTGGGTGTTTAAATAAATTCAATAAAAAATAATAATATTGGCTGCAAGCAACAACCACCCATGAATATTCTGAAGCTCTTCCTCGCGCTTGCTCCTGTGGTGAAGTCGCACCTCTATATGGCGCAGCCAGTCAGTCGGCAATTTTGGCAAACCCTGGCCTTCCAATCCTCTCCGACGGAATACTGCCCGCATTGCTACAACTTCAGGGGTATTTCCGCCGTTCAGGAAAGGGGTGGCGGTGGACCTTGGCCCCACCTTAAGCTGTACGAAGAAGGAAAACTTAACACGAACGGCAACTACATGGAGACCAGCGCTACGTCAGCGAGACACGTCTCTCCGTGTGGCGATCCTGTCCAGACCGCTTCCTCCGATAGCTCAAACGTCTACGGTCTGGCCAACTCGAACTACCCCGTTTTGACCGAGTTTCGGCAGGAGTCGGAGTTCCAGGTGAAGGTCGTCGTCTCAACGCATCACTGGGGCCACATCGAGCTGAATCTGTGCGACGCTTCCGGTATGGAGGACGCGGAAGTGACGCACGAGTGCCTGTCGAAATACCCTCTCGACCGCGCCTCGGCAGAGATGGAGCCACCGATCGACCCGCTGCATCCCGGCCGCTATTTTCTCGATCCTCCCTGCCGGTCGGCGGAGACGGACCAGTCGTTCGACACCGGCGGGGCCGAGGGCGGCGACATCGTGACGATGACTTTCAAACTTCCCCCGGTGCTCACGTGCGATCGGTGTGTGTTGCAGATGATGTACTACGTTTCGAACGCCTGCGTGCACCCGGGCTACGCGAGCTTCGAGAGCGATGACTGGCCTTCGGGATGCGCTCCTACCAAACACGACTGGATCAGCGAGGGCATGGCCGTGTGTGGAACCGAGGGGACCAACTACGTGGAGGAGTTCGCGTCGTGTGCCGATGTTACGATTGTCGGAAAGGACGGCGCCACTGACACGGCGGTGGGCTCGGCGACGGCGACGGCGACCACCAGTGACACTGACACTACGACGACCGCCGATGACGACGGTGCCACGTGCGACTGCTCGAAGACATGCGTGGACGTCTGGAAACAGTGCGGCGGCGGCGACGACTTTAGCGGAAGTCGAACCTGTTGCGAGGGCGCGACGTGCGTGCAGCACAGTGGTTCGTACGCTCAGTGCTTGCCTTAGCACCGACCATATTTATATCATTTATTTAAAATGTATACTACGCGCTAGAACAACATGTTTGACGAACTTGTGAAGTTCATATCTGCCATAAATAAAAGTGGTACTGCTGTCCCCCTCGGAACCCTGCGCGCGTCGGCAGCAGAAGAACTGGCGTACGAGGAGTGTGAACCATTTCTTCCCCTCAGAGATGGAGATGTCGTTTTCTGCCCTTCTTGTTACGATGGAGACAGCTTCCGCTTGACATGGATTGATGGTTTGGGATGCAAATCCAGAATCATGGGGCGATTGGCCGGAGTGGACACGCCGGAGATGAATGGTTCATCGGACAAAGAGAAAGTCCTTGCACTGAGGGCGAAGCAGAGACTGAGCGATGTGATAGCGGGAGAGTTTGTGACGATCCGTACGCCGGGCAATGAGAAATACGGACGGGCCCTGTGTGACTTGCAGACGGCTAAGCTTGCGTCTGTATCTGATTATATGCTGGCTGACCCAGAAATATGTCGTCCGTACGATGGGGGAAGGAAGCTCTCTTGGGATTGACGTATTTTTTTGCAGGGACAACAACCAATCGTGAAAAACACAACATATAATATTTGCTATGCACAAAGCCATAGGTATAGTACCAATGCCGTTTTCCATACGGAGTATTTTTACTGCGCTTGTTCTCCTGGGACCGACGGTTGGAAAGGCGGCCGAGTGCGATTGTGCTGTCAAGACCCCCGAGAGTCGTCCCACGAGTCCTCCCACGAGCCCCCCAGCCGAAACACGGACAATTGTCATTAAAAACGTTTGCTCGTTTGATCTAGACATGGGTTTTACAGGAGGGTACGCCGGCCCCGCGCCCTGTGCCGGAAACCAGGAAGAAGATGTAGATGGCGGGAGGTGCTTCTGGACGCTTGAGTTGTCCGACTTTCTGAAAGCCGGGAAGGAAATGTCCGTGGTAATTGAGAAAAACAATGATACAGAAAACAATGTGGTCTGGAGCGGTGCGATGTATGCCATACAGTCACCTCACGCGGACGAAGCATGTCCGGATGGGTGTAGTGCAAGCGTTGGCGCTGCGGGAACGGTAACCCTCTCCGAATTCACCATGCTCGCGAGCCCAACACTGACGTTCTATGACATATCGCACGTACACGGGGCGAACATCCCCACAGTCTTCGGGCCACATTCCTCGAAGGGAAAAGATGCTCATGATCCGTACCGGAACGGGGTGGCGGGCGGCGATTGCTCGTGGGCGTTCGAGCCCCCGGAAGAGTACCGAAAGTATCTCATTGAGGTCAAAAACGCTCACGGAACTTGCTTACAGGATGACGAGTGCGACGTGGCTCAACGAGAGGTTTGTGGGGCATCGCTCAAAGGTGACACCCCTGTGTATGGTACGTGCGGCGAACTCTTTGGATACCTGAACGCTCACACGAATTGCATCGCCGGATCGCTAGGGTACCCCTTCTACTGCGAAGTTTACCACGATTTATACGGTTGTTCCGGTCAGTACTGCGAGTCTGGATACAGCGAGAGTGTCAACGGTGGCGAAAACGTGTGTGGGTGTAGTCACTATGATGACATGGGAATACCATCGAGCTTTCCATGCGTCAACACCAACCCTCTGTGGGTGGACAAAGCATACCAGTGGATACACTACATTAAGAGAGGGTGCACCAGTGCCTACGAATACGCGTACTCCGACAGCACGTCTACCTTCACGTCGGATCAGGACACGTTCGAACTCGTTTTCTGCCCGAGGGACAGCGAAGAGAGGTTTTATTACAAGTAGTGAGATAGCTCCTGTCTGTACGTCCCGACGTATCCGGAAGGAGCAGGACCCTTCCCCCTGATCCATTTCGCTGTTGGCCCGCTGTTGCTGACAAACCTACCGCTGAGTTCGTTGTACGTGCACCCGGGTTTGGTGAATCGCTTGCATACACCATCCCTCCTCCGTTCGTAGCTTTTGCACTTTTTCACACATCTCCCTCCCACACCCTTGCGCTCTTTCGTCCCCTTGCATGGTTTTTTCGTAAAGACTTTCTTGACCATTGTGCTCTTTATCATATAAATATATAAACAGTAGATTTTGTCGATTTGGCAAACGAGTGGAGAACATCACCGCGCTTCCAACACTCACGTGCCTTCAGAAAACACCCGTTCGCCACCCTCCCCTCCGCTAGCTCCCCTCCCCCCCCCCTCAGCTGTCCGGCCCTCGCCCCCCATGGCACTCATTGTTATCAACTTAAGCTTTCTAGAACAATTTGGCGAATCTTACCTACTCGAAACGATCTAGAAGAAAGACCACATTTTTCAATTTTATATGTAAATATTTGAGTGTATTGGTAGCCCACGCTGCTCACAATTCACCTTCACCATGGCAACCACCACTACAAAATCGAAGACGAAGAAGAAGAAAAAGAGAAAGAAGATGGCCGACATCACAACACGGCTACACGAGGTCTACAACATCAACACGCTACGAAGAAACGACGACGAGCTTTCGCAACCGAAGTTTCAACAAACGACTTGCCTGGAAACAGTGGGATATTCCGAGGTTTAAAAAACCCTAAAAGCTGGACCCTTGAGGAGACAACTTAGTTGTTTCTATCTGTTTTTGTTCACTACAACTTAATAGTTCCGGTTTTCTTAAGTTGATATTAGTGATGGCACTTCCGGAGATAACGCACAAAAAAAGTAGGCATCGGTACGCATCGCCGGCAGGAGTCGACGGACCTTGTTTGTGTGTACAACAGTTTGAGAGGATACAGCAGCGTGTATCGTACACAAGAGCAGTACACGAGGAGATGCAAGTATTATTGTATTGAACCAACCCTACCCCTGTTTGAATGTACAGTACAGTAATATTTATATTTAGTGCAAGAGGAGACAGCAGCATTTTTCTTCGTCATGCGCTTTTTTCGTTTGCAAGAGAGGAGGGGTGATGCGGCGTGCTCCGCGGCCACAGAGAAGTAGTATTCCAAACACGGGAATCTGGTAAAACGTGCTACGCTCAACTCTGTCAGAGAGACGATTCGGCTGTGGTCAGTCGTTTGACAAGGACTTCCCGACGAGTTTTTTTGGTACTTTTAGGTACCCCGCGAAGCGTTCTGCACAAGCGAGGTTGGTGTGATTTCGTGCACCACGCTTTTTTTTCTCTCGTGTTCTCGTGTGCAAGAGGAGAAGAGCAGAGCGGCGTCTTTCGCAACGACCAGGGAGAAGAAAGATACCAAGCATGAGAATACGATGCCTTGCCTCGGGAGAAGACAGTGCTGCCGGCAGTGACCGCCTCGGCGTCAGGAGGGGACAGTCCTGATGCCTTGCTGGTCTCACTCCCATATCCACGTCAAACGCCTCTCTCTGTTTTTGCTTTTTTCTTCTCTCCACCATCCCCTTTTTTGTTTGCCAATTGACACCGGGGCTGCGAAAAACACAAATCCCGCAAATAAAATAAAGCCTTCGAAGCACGAGATTGGCGTGTAGCGAAAACAGAGAGAGAGAGAGAGAGAGAGAGAGAGAGAGAGAGAGAGAGAGAGAGAGAGCGACAGGCATCGTGCTTCGTGAACGATGCCGGTGATTGAGTATGCTGATGGTGTGACACCGGCAGTAGCCGCCTTTCTCATGGTACAAGCTGGGGGTATCATCTCAGTCGATGAGATGTACAAAAAGCTGTTTGACCGAGTCGTGGTGGACGGAGATTTGGGCGGTCTCCCAGCAATCGAGCAGTTTGACCCTCGCTTTTGGCAGGCACTGCTTTCAGTCCTAGAGGTCAGGTCGAAAGAGCGAGTCATGTACAATGGTCCTGCCACAGAAGATGCTTCAAGAGCAAGCATCTTGGCCACGGAGGTCAGCGCCTTGCGGAAGGCGCACAGCAAAAGGATGTCGTGGAGGCGCTGGAATGCAAATGTGGGTGACCAAGCGGTGCAAGCAAGAGAGAGAGGTATGCCATGCGGCAGTACTGCTGTAGCTTCACGCCGAGGCAGCCTCATGACAAGTGTAGACCATACAACAGACAGCAAACGACAGCAAGCAAACGTTGGAAAGGAAGCAACAGCGTTCTTCTCTTGTTCTTCGCTCTGCTTGGCGCGTGTAGAGTTGTTGATGAGATGTTTGTTTTCTACAGCAGCTGTAGCTTTTGTCACAAAGCAGTACCACTGCTGTACACATCTGCACAAAAAGTGAAGTTTATAGAGGACGCAACAACCTCGGGGGCAAATGTAGACTCTCGAACCATACAGCAGCCCAACCTCTGAACCATGCAGCAATGTTCGCCCTGCTTGGTGCGTGAAGAGAGAGAGAGAGAGAGAGAGAGAGAGAGAGAGAGAGAGAGAGAGAGAGAGAAGTGTAGTTTATAGAGGACGCATCAGCGCAACCGTTGGTGCTGCTGCAACAACCTCGTGGAAAATCTAGACTCTCGAACCATACAGCAGCCCAACCTCTTAACCATGCATCAAGGTAGACTGTGTCACAAGGCAGTACTGCTGTATCTGCACAAGAAGTGTATTATAGTTTATAGACGACGCATAACATCCTCGTGGCGAGTGTTTCTGAGCCTGAAGCCATACAGCAGTTGCTGTGGCAAGAGTAGACATTTGAACCATGCAGCAGACGACTCTGCTACAGCACCATCCTGCTTCGAAATGTCAATCTCGCAGAGAAAGACAGCGGCCCGGGAGGAGCGCGCGAAAGGGGAGCGTGAGAGGAATGCCTTGGAGCGTGATATAGCTTTGCTGAAGGAACGGTCTCGGCAAGTGGAACTGCACAAGGAACGGCAACGACTGCCACGATCGTGCAATCAACGGAAGGAAGTCGCGATGGCTCCGGCGCTGACTGTGAGTGCCTTTACCGATGTTGTGAGAAAAGTGGTCGATATAGTAGGAGTACAACGAAACAAACACGCACAAACTTATGTTGCACCCTGCTGTTTTGCTCTGCTGCCACGTGGTCACACTGCAGCCTGTGGATTTCCGGGGCGAGGACATTTTTCACGATCTTGACGTGGAAGGGAGACCGAGCCAAATTCACGGCAGAGGCACTTTCTCCAAGAACGGTGCATCGAAGAACGACGTTCTCTTGAGTGTCATTCTACCTAGCAAAGCAGTAGAGAAAGGTTTTGCTTCTAATAGCGATGGTGGATACGACTGCAATCAGCATGTGATGCACAAAGATGGCCTTGGTGTCATGTTCATTGACCCGGGTGCGCGAATGCGAGGCAACTTGGGGGCATGTAAAGAAGACTTCAAGCTCGGGGTGCTCAGATTGCTCAACCATTCTGATGATCCCAACATCGCCATCTCTACCCGCGAGGCAGCAATACCCGACTGGTACGAAGCACTTGGTGAAAAGTTTACCACGTGGTACGAGTGTACGCTGGTGGCTACTCGAGCGATCGGAGTAGATGAAGAGATGACGATAGAGTATGCTCTTGCGCCGAAGGGCATCCGTCTGGCAAAGTAGAAAGCAGGGATGGCTAGCTCCTGTGCTTGGAGAATCCCGTACATTATCGCGAGGGAGAACAATGATGGTTGGTGGTCGAGCCAAGATTGACGTTGGGTATAACGTTTCCAATCAGTTGAAAAATCCGTTATCGTACGACACATTTCGGATGACCTGGCGTATATTTTTTATTATGGACGGGGTAAGCCGTTGACCTGCGAATCTTACAGACACTTCCCCGCGCCGATAAATACGAAATGCTGAGGTGTAGCACACCCCCATGTGTCACTTTTGCCTACAAAACAAAACATTGGATCACCCCTAAAATACCAGACTTCACCGACTACTCCGATTCGAAGTCCGATGCATCAAAGCCGAAAACACCTCCACCGCTTGCCGCCCCTCCCCTCCCGATGTCCGGCTCTGGCCCTCGGCTGGCCGCTTCACGGCGCCTCCTTTTACCCTCCCGCCCAGAACGACGCGATGGCTCCGTCAACCGTCGTTTTGGCTCGGGCCGGCCACCCCTGAACCAATGACTCCACTTCTTTCTGCTTATGCCCTGTGCCACATTTTCTTCCATCCGTAGGCACATCTCCTTGGCGAGTGTGATGTATGTGCTGAACGAGATGTCATCGAGCAGGCGTGCCGCCTCCCTGACAACGGCATCAGGCGCGACGGCAGTCTTACCGTCTTTCAGAACCGCGTAAAGCTTCCCCTTGTGATACAAATTTTCCATATCATCATAGTCGTTTTGGAGTATACCTTTCACAATTGCCCCCATCTTCCGCTTCTGAGTATTCAGCAAATTCAGAGAACCAGAGTTCGCCGGGTAAAGCTTGACCATCGGGTTCTGCATGTATCTGGCTTCCTCCATCAGGGGTTTTTCCACCTCGAATGTTTTCATGGCCCAATAATTGGGGGAGAGCGTGCCCCCTCGCACCAGATCCTCCAGCTTATTTTCAAGGTCTTGTGACAGAGGCTCGGTGCCAGCTTCTCCGCGCTTGAGTGGGCGAATAAAAATCGGTTGTTGCCTCTGTTGTTGCGGCTGCTGCTGTGGCTGCTGCTGTGGCTCCTGCTGTGGCTCCTGCTGCTGGTCCTGCTCCTGGTCCTGGTGCTGGTCCTGGTGCTGGTCCTGGTGCTGGTCCTGGTGCTGGTCCTGGTGCTGGTCCTGGTGCTGGTCGTGGTGCTGAGTCGTGGTGCTGGTCCTGGTGCTGGTCCTGGTGCTGGTCGTGGTGCTGGTCCTGGTGCTGGTCCTGGTGCTGGTCCTGGTGCTGGTCCTGGTGCTGGTCGTGGTGCTGGTCCTGGTGCTGGTCCTGGTGCTGGTCCTGGTGCTGGTCGTGGTGCTGGTCGTGGTGCTGGTCCTGGTGCTGGTCCTGGTGCTGGTCCTGGTGCTGGTCCTGGTGCTGGTGCTGGTCCTGGTGCTGGTCCTGGTCCTGGGCCTGCTGCTGGGCCTGTTGTTGGTGGTCCTGCTGTTCGTACACTTGTATCCTTCTGCAGGCAGCGTACAAGCACTTGATGAACGAGTCGATGTCGGGAATATTAGTTCCGTTCCTGCAAAACAAACAACAAGAATCGGCTGTCAGTTCTACAACTCAAAAAGAAAGGCATAGCATGGCTAAGATATACCAAACAATTGGATGTGAATGACGTTTTTGTTTGTTTTGTTGTTGTTTCTCACATTAGCTCCCGTGGTCACACAAAATGCTGGAGCCATAGGAAGCATTGTTATCAACTTAAGGTTTCTAGAACAATTTGGCAAATATTACCAACTCGAAACGATCTAGAAGAAAGACCACATACTTCATACTTCAATTTTATATGTAAACATTTGAGTGTGGTAGCCCACGCTGCTCACAATTCACCTACACCATGGCAACCACCACTACAAAATCAAAGACGAAGAAGAAAAAGAAGAGAAAGAAGAAAGCCGACATTACAACACTGCTACACGAGCTCTACAACATCAACACGCTACGAAGAAACGACGACAAGCTTTCGCAACTGAAGTTTCAACAAACGACTTGACTGGAAACAGTGGGATATTCCGAGGTTTAAAAAACCCTAAAAGCTGGACTCTTGAGGAGACAACTTAGTTGTTTCTATCTCTTTTTGTTTTTGTTCACTACAACTTAATAGTTCCGGTTTTCTTAAGTTGATATTAGTGATAGGAAGATCCGAAGAACACAGAAAATCAAACAGAAGAGCGCCTACGCACGTGGAAGGAAGGCACTTCTTTGGACATATTTGTCCCTGTGTTCAGACTACTGAACTATGCACCACGGACAATCCTTCGGCTACAGCAATAACCCCCACAATTCACCTTCACCATGGCAACCACCACTACAAAATCGAAGACGAAGAAGAAGAAAAAGAGAAAGAAGATGGCCGACATCACAACACGGCTACACGAGGTCTACAACATCAACACGCTACGAAGAAACGACGACGAGCTTTCGCAACCGAAGTTTCAACAAACGACTTGCCTGGAAACAGTGGGATATTCCGAGGTTTAAAAAACCCTAAAAGCTGGACCCTTGAGGAGACAACTTAGTTGTTTCTATCTGTTTTTGTTCACTACAACTTAATAGTTCCGGTTTTCTTAAGTTGATATTAGTGAATCCCTCCTCCAACCAACTCTCGGTTGCTGGCTACAGTAGAACCTACTGTCTGAAGTGCTGCCCGCACCGTACCACGTACGGTAGTCAAATCAAGTGGAGAGAACAGCATTGAAGACACATGTGCTGTCTGAAGTGCTGCCAAATATCATCCCGTCTAGATGTGCAATAAAAGAGTGAATGACGTACCCTGTGTTCTCCAGCTCCAGCTCAATTTCCCGCCATGTCCGATCACATGGATCGTTTTTGTAACGGCTTTGGTTGATGATCGACATGATGATTTCATGGAGTAAAATGTCGCGCCGACCATTCTCCTTCAGGACGTGGTTTATACGCGACAGGGTCATGCGCCTGCTTGGTCGCACGGTGGGACTATGGGCGCTCATGTTGACCCGTACGATCCGTGGAACCTGTGAGATATGTGTGGCACGAGGGACACGCGGACGCATCCGCGCATATCGGCGGCAGCAGGAGTCAGAAGCATGTATCGTACTGACCCTGCTTTTGTTTGTATGTACATCAGTATAATAGTCATTAGCACACATCGGGTGTAACAGGAGAGTAGATCCACCCGACTCCTGCTTATATGCACAGCAGTAGATGGGGTGACAGCGGTGTGTATTGTACCGACCTTACTCTTGTTTATCGTATACGTAGCAGTAGCACAAGAGGCGACAGCAGTGTGTAATTATCGCACCGACCCTACTATGGTTTATATGTAGCAGTTCAACAGAAGACAGTTCTTGTTTATATGTACAGCAGCACAACAGGAGAGACAGCAAGCAGTATTTTGTTTTTGTTCCTCCCTTGATTGTACTCTATCGACTTCCCCTCTGCCCCCCCCCTCCCCTCCCCCCCCCCCTCCACTTCTACTAGCTAGACGACCCAACCGGGGTCACGTAGGAGGGGAGGGTTGGACCCCCTCCTGTAGTATGTATCGTACCTGTTGTGCGTGGTGTGTATGTGTCATGCGGTTTTTTTCGTGTTCAAGCGAGGATGGATGATGCGGCGTGCTCCGCGGTCACGGAGAAGTAATACTTAGAACACGAGAGTCTGGTAAAACGTGCTACACTCAACTCTGCCAGCGAGACGATTCGGCCGAGGTCAGTCGTTTGACGAGGACTTCCCGACGAGTTTTGTTGGTACTTTTAAGTACCCCGCGGACCGTGCAGCACAAGCGAGATGGTGTGATTTCGTGTAGCACGCTTTTTTTTCTCTCGTGTTCTCGTGTGCAAGAGGAGAAGAGCAGAGCGGCGTCAGACCAGGGAGAAGAAAGATACCAGTCATGATAATCCGATGCCTTACCTCGGGAAAAGACAGTGCCGCCGGCAGTGACCGCTGTCGACAGAGAGAGAGCAGAAACTCGCCAAACGCCTGTGGGGGGGGGGTACACAACAGGATTCTTTGGTTTTGGCGGTACCCACGTAGGAAATTCGCCGACCCCCCCCCTCCAAAAAAATTGCGGACAACAGTGCGTGTGCGACAGCCGGGCGACAGACGTGCGACAGCCGGGCGACAGACGTGCGAGCAGTGCTTCCCATACTGCACAGCCAGTAGGAGACTCGGGGGGGGACTTGTGCGCGGAGCCATTTGCACCCACAGAGGTCAGAGACGTGTGTGTGTGTGTGTGTGTGTGTGTGTTGCTGTACTGCGGCTAGCGAGTTGGTATCCATGAATTTTGGGTAGTTCAACCGCGCACGCCCCAAAAGTACCAAAAAAACTCGTCGGGAAGTCCTCGTCAAACGACTGACCTCGGCCGAATCGTCTCTGTGACGGAGTTGAGTGTAGCACGTTTTACCAGACTCTCGTGTTTGGAGTACTACTTCTCCGTGACCGCGGAGCACGCCGCATCCTCCCTCCTCTCTTGCACACAAGAACACGGGAGAAAAAAAAAGCGTGCTACACGAAATCACACCATCTCGCTTGTTCTGCACAGTCCGCGGGGTACCTAAAAGTACCAAAAAAACTCGTCGGGAAGTCCTCGTGAAACGACTGACCACAGCCGAATCGTCTCGCTGGCAGAGTTGAGTGTAGCACGTTTTACCAGACTATCGTGTTTGGAATACTACTTCTCCGTGACCGCGGAGCACGCCGCATCCTCCCTCCTCTCTTGTACACGAAAAAAACGCAAGACACATACACACCACGCACAACGGGTGCGATACATACTGCTTGCTGTCTCTGTTGTACTGCTGTACATATAAACAAGAGTCGGGTCGGTGCGACAACTACTGCTGTCTACTGTTGAACTGCTACATATAAACAAGAGTAGCGTCGATACGAACGATGATGCTGTCTCCTCTTGTACTGCTGTAACTACTGCTGTCTCTCCTGTTGTGCTGCTGTACATACAAACAAGGGTGGGGTCGGTACGATACACACTGCTGTATCCTGTTGTGCGGCTGTACATTCCAACCAAAGTAGGGTCATTACAATACACACTGTTGTCTCAAATTGTCTTGCTGTACATGTGAAGAAGAGTAGAGTCGGTACGATACACACTGCTGATTGTCGTGCTCGGTGTCATGCCTCCCCTTCTTGTACACGAGAAAAACCGAAAAATTTGCATGCCATACACAATGTACACAAAAAAGAACTTTGGTGTTTCTCAACCAGGTAAAACATGGACGACGGGGACAACGGTGGACAAGTTGCGAGAGTGCAAAAACGTGCTACGCTGGGGAAGATACTGGGAATTATCAAGAGTGAAGGACTACCTTCTAATCATATAGGGGCGATAATCAGCTCCGTTATTTCACAGAGTCTGGTGGAAGGAGATGCTTTCGACATGGCCTGGTTGGAAATCCAGGCAGAGTTCGACAACCAAATGTGAGATTTTTTTACGATTCCTTGTATTATACATATCTCACGCTTGCAAACATCCGGGCGGCAACTGTCACCGGGATATGGAACTCCGGGTATATCATATAATGCATGAGAGAAGGACCCAATACAATCGCCCGCGCCACACTATCACTGAGAAGAAGCCACTCCTCACGATCTCATTACATTCTTCACCAACGATGCCTATTCCTATCAGACGGGGACTCGACGTTGCAGCAAAGCGCCTTTTACAAAACTTACATATTTTGTCACAGAAAAAGCCCCTTGGGAAATATATCGCGGTGAGATAAGGTAGATCCATGTCGAATAGGATAGCTCCGTTACTCGATTTAGACCGACCGCCATCTCCCTGAAACTGCATCAACCGTTCTTCCGATGCAGAGTAGTTTCGAAAAGACTGACAACTGAAGACCTTGGATCTTCCCCGAGCTGTGCTTGAAATATCATTTTTTTTGTTCTGTTTGTCGTCTTGTGCAGCAACAACACGAGCAAAACCAGTATCACCCAGTTCATCGCGAACTTGCATTTTGCATGCGAGTCTGTTCGAATCTATGAGGAGCAGCAACAGCCTCAGCAGCAGCCTCAGCAACAGCCTCAGCAGCAGCCTCAGCAACAGCATCAACAGCAGCAGCAGCAGCAGCAGCAGCCTCAGCAGCAGCAGCCTCAGCAGCAGCAGCCTCAGCAGCAGCCTCGGCAACAGCAACAGCCCCAGCAGCAGCAGCAACGGCAGCACGGGCGCGATGGAGAGGCGGCGCCGGGGGGTGGAGGTGGCGGCGGCGGGTCTGCGGGTGGGGGGCGTCGTGGCACAAGCCGCGGGGGCGGCGGCGGGGCGGGAAGTGGTGGTGGCGGTAGTGCTGGTGGTGGTGGCAGCGGCAGAAGCAGCAGCGGACACGGGGGTGGTGGGGGAGCCGGTGGCGGTACGGGAGGCGAGGCTGGCAAGTTGAGCGAACACTTGACAACAAGACACTTGGCGATGACGGCCTACGACGCGGGCACCGACAAGCTGCTGGTGAATGGCGTGGTGGAAGGTTTGTATCCATGGTCTACCCATGTTCTCAAGGAAATAGAGAATGGGAGGCCCGTGCGCGATCTCCTCGTCACCGAGGCCATGATCCAACAGTGGTTGCCAAAATCGGGTGCAGCAGGCGAAACGCTGGCGAAAAGAATTTGCCGGAATTACGGCCTTCGGAAGATGTACGCCGTGCTACCGAACGGCGACATTGGTACAACCCCAGACGCACAAATACTTCGCATTATGCGTGAAAAGGATATCATCGGGGTATCGGTTCCGACCTGGAAGAAGGGTGTGGATCTCATCTTCGCCGAAAAAGAGGCGATTCCTGGTTTCGAGCGTCCGCCATGCCCTTTCAAGAAACTTGACGAGGAGAGAGGTGAGCGACTCGGTGGCGGTGGCGGCGGCAGTGCTGGTGGTGGTGGCAGCGGCAGTGGCGCCGGCAACAGCAGCAGCTCGGGCAGCTCGGGCAGCGCGGTCCCGGGGCAGGGGGGTGGCCACAGCAACACACCACGCGCATTCGACGTCAAGAAAACTACGACACAGTTGATGGCAAACAATGGTCCATTGTCTCGTAAAAAGTGGCCAAAAAGGGTGAAATATGTGACGAAAGCAGGAGTGCCCGTGTCATCCTTCCAACCGCTTACTGCGGAAGTAATAGGCAGACGTAACGACGTTGGCACCTGGGCCTTCCCCCGCGGTGAACAATGGCGTACCTTGTGCAGCAACAAAAAAAAGACGGACGGAGCCAGAAAGAAGTATCATCTCGGGATGACTGTCGCCCAGAAGGAAGGAGGTGGTGTCTCGATGGCTCCTCTGGGCGATCGTCAAGACGCGCTCAACGCGCTGAACAAGAAACATGGCATGACCTTGACTTTGGAGCAGTGGGATCAGTGCGTGGTCGAATCGATGGGCCGTATTGACAGGCCGAAAAAACTTTCTCGCCTGCGCTGGATGGAGACGGGAGGCGGTAGTGCTGGCGGAGGTTCGGGATGCGGTGGCGAGGGCGGGGGAAGCCGTGGTGGCGACAGCACTGGTGGTGGTGGCAGCGGCAGTGGCGCCGGCAACAGCAGCAGCTCGGGCAGCGCGGTCCCGAGGGAGGGGGGTGGTGGCCGCAACACACCACGTTCTTCTGTGCCAGCGTTCGACGTCGACACTACTACCAAAATGTTGATGAGGCCGGGGATGCCCCTGGGCGCAGATGAATGGACACGAACAAAGTATGACGTCGCGAACGAAGAGCTGTCCGTTTCACGCATCTACATCCTGAATTCCGAAGTATTGGCCAGACGCTACGAAACATGCACTTGGACCTTTCCCGACGGTCAAGTGTGTGGTTCACAGTCATTGACGGCCAAGTCGAAGAAAAAGTTCAATCTCGGGATTGCTTTCGCGCAAATGAAGCTTGGTGGGATCGGGACGGCTTCGGCGGGAGATCGACAAGAGGCACTCGACGCTCTGAACAAGGAATATGACCTTTCCTTGACTTTGCAGCAATGGGATCAGTGCGTGGACGAAGCGGTCGGCTGTAGGGAAGACGGGGGTTCGCAGACGGAGCTTCCCACACTGCACTGGGAAAATACGGATGGTGGTGGTGCTGGCGGAGGTTCGGGACGCGGTGGCGGTGGCGGTGGCGGTGGCGGGGGCAGTGCTGGTGGTGCTGGCGGCGACGCTGGTGGTGGCGGTGGCGGTGGCGGTGGCGGTGGCGGTGGCGGCAGAGGCAGCTACGTGGCCAGCTTGATAATGAAGCATTACCCTACAGCATCGGTACCCATCGCGAACCCGGATTTTCCGGTAGAATCCTTCGAACCATCAACAACCCAGCTCCTCGAGCAGGCGCGGGCAGAACAACGTTACTCCTGCCCTAGAAATATCTGCAACCTGACAGGGGTTTTCTCCAACAGGGATGCTGGAGAGAGGGTGGTGAGACACTTCAATCACGGCACGAGGGTTGCCAAGATGCGGGATGACACGGTCCGGATGGTGTGCAAGAAGGATATGTACGACGAGGTACGGAACACTAACGGGATGCGTGGTTTGACCCTCGAGCAGTACTTGCCGCATCTTTATGACGGCGTAAAAAGCGTTGACGATCGGAAAGCCGCCGCGCTGGCACGCAAGAGGAAGGGGTCCCCGGTGGCATGTGGTGGCGGAGGAGGAGAGAGTGATGGCAAGCGTGCGTGCGGTCGAGCTGGAGCCGGAGCGGGGGGTGGTGTTGGGGTTCGAGACAAGGAGACGACTGCGCCGGCAGCTGCGCCGGCAGCCGCGCCGGCAGCCGGAGAGGGACGTGGTGGTGGTGGTGGTGTTGGGGACAGCGGCGGTGGAGCTGGAGCTGGAGCGGGTGGTGGCGTGGGCGTCCGAGACAAGGAGACGACTGCGCCGGCAGCTGGGGCTGCAGCCGGAGAGGGACGTGGTGGCGCAACACCGACCCTTGACGCCTTTTTTTTTCCGGGGATGCCGCTGAACCTTGACTACTTCCCTTCTATGAAATGGAGGACCTACGATCGGAATGCACGTCGGGTAATCTACGAACCCTCGACAACAGAGCTCTTCAAGCGTGTAAAAGGAACACACGCCTTCCCCTCCGACGTGGTCGACGGGGAAGAGCTTGACGGAGACTCGCAGAAGGTGGCGACAGACTACAATCTAGGGAAGATGGTTGCCCGGAGGGGTCACACGGTAAAGTGGGTGCCACGAGAGGTCATGCAGGTCGAGCTCAAGAAGACTCCGGGAACGACCGACATGTCCACGGAGCAATTTCGGCCGCTTTTGGAGGAAGCGGTAAGGCTGAAGGAGCTGACGGAAGAAGCTTACGCGGCGGCGGCGGTGGTACGTAAGAGGAAGGGTGCCCCAACGGGTGGTGAAGCCGACGTGATGAGGAAGAAGACTGCTCGGGCAGCTGGAACCGACGTGGGGGGTGGTGCCGATGACACCGGGGGAGTGGAGGACGCACCGGTGGGCGGTCGAGCTGGAGCCGGACAGGAAGGTGGCGTGGGCGGCCAAGACGAGGAGACGGCTACCCAGGCAACTGGAGCCGGAGCGGGGGTTGGTGCCGGTGACAACGGGGATGGTAATGGTAATGACAGCGAATGTTCTACAGTACTTGAGTATTGTGGGGCGGAGGATGCACCACCGGTGGGAGGTCGTGCTCAAGCCGGAGAGGGGGGTGGTGTGGGCGGCCGGGACGAGGAGACGGCTACACAGGCAGCTGGAGCCGGTGCGGGGGTTGGTGCCGATGACAATGGGGATGGTAATGGTAATGTCAGCGACTGTTCTACGGAACTGGATTGTTCACCGGTGGGAGGTCGTGCTCAAGCCGGAGAGGGGGGTGGTGTGGGCGGCCGGGACGAGGAGACGGCTACACAGGCAGCTGGAGCTCCCGTGAACCGGACTTCGACTCTCCCCAGCTTCAGTGGACTGGTCGGTGGCGCCGCTGCGACGGCTGGGACCGATGGGACCGATGGGACCGATGGGACCGACGGGACCGATGGGACCGCTGGGACCGCTGGGACCGCTGGGACCGATGGCCACAAAGCCACCCCAGCATTCTTTGGCGTTGGCGGAGCGGCGAACGATGATGGTGGTGGTGGTGGTAGCGGGGGTGCCGGTGCCGGTGGCGGTGGCGGGGCGGCGAACGATGATGGTGGAGGCGGGGAAGTTGGCGGTGGAAGCGGGGAAGTTGGTGGTGGAAGCGGGACCACCACCACCACCAACAAGGGTAAACGCCCGGCAAGATATGCGGGCGTCGCCCCGTCGGCTGCGGGTGGTAGGGTCGATTGCTCCGAAACTGAATCGGACATCAACGCCGACGAGGACGACGACGGAGCGGGTTCGTCTGGTGGTGCAGACGCTTCGGTAAACAGCTCCGACGGGGAGTACGATGATAAGGAACTACCTGGGAGCGAGGATGTATCGGTAATCAGCATCGACGATAGTGATGGGGAGTAAGGTACGTCTTGTTTTTCCGCTTGACTGATAGTTTGAGGCGGAGTTTCTTGACAAATGCAAGTGGTTACAATCTCTCAACACTATTACATCAACGCCGTTTTCTGTGCAGGAGGGACATCGGCGCACACCGGCGGGTCGGGCGGCAGCCTCGGATGAGGACGAGCGAAGCTCGAACCTCGGCGCGACGTTATTTTCTTCTTGCTCTTGATAGGCTATTGTTTGAAGTAAATTTTGGGGTGAACATTGGTGTCACGTTGACTTGATAAGTAAAGACCATGCTCTCCGACATAATTTGCCTTGGTCCGACTTCGCTCATATCGCAGTATGATGGTGGCTGTAATTATTTCTACGTCACAATATCAACTTAAGAAAACCGGAACTATTAAGTTGTAGTGGACAAAAACAGATAGAAACAACTAAGTTGTCTCCTCAAGGGTCCAGCTTTTAGGGTTTTTTAAACCTCGGAATATCCCACTGTTTCCAGGCAAGTCGTTTGTTGAAACTTCGGTTGCGAAAGCTCGTCGTCGTTTCTTCGTAGCGTGTTGATGTTGTAGACCTCGTGTAGCCGTGTTGTGATGTCGGCCATCTTCTTTCTCTTTTTCTTCTTCTTCGTCTTCGATTTTGTAGTGGTGGTTGCCATGGTGAAGGTGAATTGTGAGCAGCGTGGGCTACCAATACACTCAAATGTTTACGTATAAAATTGAAAAATGTGGTCTTTCTTCTAGATCGTTTCGAGTTGGTAAGATTCGCAAAATTGTTCTAGAAAGCTTAAGTTGATAACAATGTTCTACGTGGCATGTCTCACGAAGGATGCTCTTGGAAGGTGGCCGCTCGCAACAACGACTGCGTTGAATTGTATCATCAGTTCAACGACAAGACTGGCCGAGCTGCCCCTCGGTCCATTTCGAACGAAATGCTTGGTACAGGGACTCGTTCGTGCTGCGTTGGCGTGGATAGTGCCACGGCTACCGATGGATTACGCTCTGTTCACAGACAAGTTGTCTTGTGCTGTCATCGAAACGGGCGTGGTGTCTGCAATCTCCTACGTGATCGAAAAATGAGGCACCGGGGACATCACTCTCTCGTCAAATCGTGCGCCGGAGCCACCATGACTCAATTCCGCAACCCGGGCGTTGGTTTACAGGGGCAATGGTGATATATTCGAGTGGTTGAAGACAAACGGCAAATACATATAATTTACACGTTAATGAATCAGACTGGTGGATTGGGTCTTGGACAAAAACCCTGGTATCAGGTAAGACTTCCAGACATACTCAAGCCCTTGATTGTGAGGAAAGGGTTCTACACTTCATGCGCCAGACTGCAATCGTTTCGCGAAGAAAGGGTCGGGAATGGCGCTTACAGACCCGTCTCCATCAAGAGCATAATAACAGAGCATAACAGAGTCAGGACAGCCGCGAGCACCCGATGTAACGTTGGCTAGCGACCAACATCTGACTCAGCGTGTCCAGCAATCCCGATACGGATATTGTAACCTCGAGAACACCACCGTCACGCGTTTGCTCACAAGGATCGAAAGAGAACAGGTCTCGGAACATAGCGGCAAGCAAAACGGAGAATCTGTACTTTTGACATGATGCACAAACTTTTTTTCATATCGGCGGCAGCAGGAGAAAGTATGTTGTGAGCATCAGCATCGCGGCGACTTGTGCTGGGAATCAACGTGCACAAGCACTCAACAGTGGCAACCGCATGTACAGCCTTCACTGCTGTGGGGGTGCCGCGGGTTGAAAGCGGTGTATTTTTTTTGAAATTTTGCAATTTTTTCCGATTGGGGCCATGGGACGCAGCACTCGACTGCTGTGCCATTGTGTACACATCCCCGGAGTGGCACACGTGCACACACAGCGAGAGCGAGAGCCGGAGCCATAGCAAGATCGAGAGCGAGAGCGAGAGAGACAGCGAGAGCAGCAGCCAACTGTGCTTGCGTGGAGACACCGTGGAGATCTGCTCGTGAAGGTGCGGCAGACATCGTTCGCGCGTGCTGTGTTTGGTGCGTGTGTGTGTAAATGATGAGTGTTGCTATAATAGCATCGCACACGACAACCCCGTCAACCCTGTTCGCAACTTTGCTGCTGGAGTGGAAGAAAATACAAATCAGACACCGGGCGGGCGTCGCGATATAGACCGCTCTCTACTTCCCTGTGCTGATGTGTGTCGGGTTTGGAATGCCGCATGTACTCATGCAGCTCGCTAGGGTTGCCATGCGAGGTGAAAAATGTGGACCGTGGATCCTGACGATCATACCTCGTAATTCTCAGGATCCATGGTCAACAAATTATGACCCGGGTGGACGTTGCGATGTAAGCCACTCCGCTCTCTACCACCCGTGAAAAGGATTTGAGTTGCTCTGTGGTCCTGAAGAGTAGGCTCGAAACTCCTCCGTCCACAGATGAGGAGGACTTTGCTGTAGCTACAGTTTTTATACCCTTTCTGAGCAAGTTTAAGTTTCAACGGATTTTTTTGCCTTTCTTCGTGTTTCGCGTCACAGGAAACGGGAAACGGAAACGGATGTCTTCGTTCTGGGACAAGGTAACATCGGCTGTGGCCTCCGAGACGAATGATGCTGGAGCGTACGTCCTTGATCAAGACCTTCGTGGCCGTGTGGTGAAAATGGCCATGGAATGCGAGAAGGAGCCGGTGCTTGCTCTATTGCGCAGGATGTCTTATGCGCGGGACTCAAGAAAGTGAGATCACGCGCTATACATAAATATACACGCATATCTTTTCTTCGCCTACATGATTTTGCGCTTCTTTGACAGTCAAAACCAAATAAATAATCACATCATCGACCACCATGACAGGTGCGGGTTCGACCACACCGACGACGCGACGTACGCCATGCTCATCCGTGCGCTATGTGATAAAGCTGCCGCCGTCAACCCCGGGGGAGCTGCTATCGGTGGTGGCGGCAGCAGCAGCAGCAACTCGGGTAGCGCGGTTCCGGTGCACGAGGATGGCGGCGGTGTCAGCGGCGGCGGTGGTAGTGTCAGCAGCAGCAACTCGGGTAGCGCGGTCCCGGTGCACGACGATGGCGGCGGTGTCAGCGGCGGTCGTTGTGGTAGTGTCAGCAGCAGCAACTCGGGTAGCGCGGTCCCGGTGCACGAGGATGGCGGCGGTGTCAGCGGCGGTGGTGGTGGCAGCAGCAGCAGCAGCAACTCGGGTAGCGCGGTCCCGGTGCACGAGGATGGCGGCGGTGGTGGAGGCGGGGCGGGTGGAGGCGGGGCGGGTGGTGGCAGCGGTGGTGGCGGCGGCGGTTCGGGACGTGGTGGTGGCAACGGTGGTGGTGGCGGCGGGGCGGGACGTGGTGGTGGCAGCGGCTCCGGGGGAGGGTTTGACGCACCCTCGATCCTGGAGAAGTTGAAGGCGTCTGCATTCGTACTTGGCAGATGGACAAAAGCGGACACGCCTATCAGGAACCCGGATTTTGGGGTATGGGTCTTGCGACCTTCGACGACCAAGCTTCTGAACGAGGCCAAGCCAATCAATTTCCCCAAAAACAATCAAACCGTTTTCAAGGACAAAAGAAATGAAGAGGGCTTGCTTCGAAACTTTTTTCTCGGCAAGTTTGTTGCCGTGGAGATGGAAAACCCTGAGAACATTTACAGGGCGTGCTCGGAGGACATGCAAGCTCAGTTGGTAAAGGCCTGCGAGGAGTGCGGTGTGGACATATTGACCCCGGAGCAGTATTTACCGCTCTTGGAGCAAGTGCTCGAGGAAAATGAAATGGACAAGATGAAGAAAATGGTCAAGATGAAGGAAATGGTCAAGATGGATGAAATGGTCAAGATGCGAGGAGAGCGCAATCTGAAGAGGGCTCCATCGGGTGTTAGAGCCGGTGCTTTTAAGAAGAAGCGTACGCGGGCAGCTGGGGCCGGAGCGGGGGGTGGCGCTGGGGAGTGAGGTGCGTGGTATTATATTTTCAAATGGTATTACATTTTTTCTCTTGTTACAACTCAAATTCAACTGGTTACGATCTCTAAACATTGTTACACCAACGCCGTGCCGTTCTCTGTGCAGGAAGGACATTGGCGCACACCGGCGGGTCGGGCGGCAGCCTCGGATGAGGACGAGCGAAGCTCGAACCTCGACGCGACGTTATTTTCTTCTTGCTCTTGATAGGCTATTATTTGAAGTAAATTTTGGGGTGGAGATCGGTGTCACGTTGACTTGATAAGTAAAGACCATGCTCTCCGACATCATCAGCCTTGGTCCGACTTCGCTCATATCGCAGTACGATGGTGGCGGTAATTTTTTTTACATGGGATGTCTCACGAAGGATGTTCGTGGGAGGTGGCCGCTCGCAACAACGACTGCGTTGAATTGTATCATCAGTTCAACCACAAGACTGGCCGAGCTGCCCATCGGTCCATTTCGAACGAAATGCTTGATACAGGGACTTGTGCGTGCCGTGGATACGCAGCAATGTGATACGTTGGCGTGGATCGTGCCACGGCTACCGATAGAATACGCTCTGTTCACAGACAAGTTGTCTTGTGCTGTCATCGAAACGGGCGTGGTGTCTGCAATTTCCTACGCGATACCTCTGACAAGGACCAAAAAAAATGAGGCGCCCCCCGCCTTCCGGGTTTCCGTGGAAAACGCCGTGCGCAAAGGTCACGTCGACGCCGCAAAGTTCCTTTTCACGCGTTTTGCCGACAAGGAGCTTCGGAGCACTGTAGTCATGACGGCCTGTCTGGAGGGAGATGATTCTCTCGTCCATTGGTGCGCCGGAGCCATGATGAGCCAATTCCCTCCGGAGGCAACCCGGGCGTTGGTTTACAGGGGCAATATTGATGCACTGGCGTGGTTGAAAACAAACGGCAAATACAGTTACACGTTGATGAATCAGACCGTGCTCTATGCCGCGCTTGGGGGGCACGTCGAGGCGGTCGACTGGGTCTTGGACAATAATCCTGGCATTAGGTACGACGCCGGAGAAGTCTGTCTCATGGTGTGTAGGAAAGGACTGCTAGACATACTCAAGCACTTGGTCGTGAGGAGAGGGTTTTGGTTCCATGCGACAGACTGCATTCGTTTTGCGAAGAAAGGTTCGGGGATAGCTTCTTGGCTGATGTCGCGTGATGATTGACCGCCGGAAAGTTCCGCGCGCCTGAGGCGTTGGTGTTGGCCGGATTTTTTACCTTATTTCTCGCGTCCAAAGCGAAATCGAATGAGAAGAACAGCTTGCCGATGGAGGACATGACGTGGTGGCACGCTGAGGTCTGTGTTTTGCCCTCCGAAGGGCTGAACATGAAAATAACTGTGCACGGCAGCAACAACAGAAATCAGGGTGGCTCAATTCAAATGTGGTCGTCAGCCATTTCTCGCGTCCGAAGCGAAATCAAAGGGTACCAACAGCTTGCCGATGGAAAAAAGGTGTGCATCTCGCCCAATCGTGTTACGCGCGTAACTCGATAAATCGAGCTACAGGGGAAAAAAGGTGTGCATCTCGCCCAATCGTGTTACGCGCGTAACTCGATAAATCGAGCTACAGGGGAAAAAGGTATGCATCTCGCCCAATCGTGTTACGCGCGTAACTCGATAAATCGAGCTACAGGGGAAAAAAGGTGTGCATCTCGCTTAATCGTGTTACGTGCGTAACTCGATAAATCGAGCTACAGGGGAAAAAAGGTGTGCATCTCGCCCAATCGTGTTACGCGCGTAACTCGATAAATCGAGCTACAGGGGAAAAAGGTATGCATCTCGCCCAATCGTGTTACGCGCGTAACTCGATAAATCGAGCTACAGGGGAAAAAAGGTGTGCATCTCGCTTAATCGTGTTACGTGCGTAACTCGATAAATCGAGCTACAGGGGAAAAAAGGTGTGCATCTCGCCCAATCGTGTTACGTGCGTAACTCGATAAATCGAGCTACAGGGGAAAAAGGTATGCATCTCGCCCAATCGTAATACGCGCGTAACTCGATAAATCGAGCTACAGAGGAAAAAGGTATGCATCTCGCCCAATCGTGTTACGTGCGTAACACGATAAATCGAGCTACAGGGGAAAAAAGGTGTGCATCTCGCTTAATCGTGTTACGCGCGTAACTCGATAAATCGAGCTACAGAGGAAAAAGGTATGCATCTCGCCAAATCGAGCTAGAGGGGAAAAATGTGTGCATCTCGCCCAATCGTGTTACGCGCGTAACTCGATAAATCGAGCTACAGGGGAAAAAAGGTGTGCATCTCGCCCAATCGTGTTACGCGCGTAACTCGATAAATCGAGCTACAGGGGAAAAAGGTATGCATCTCGCCCAATCGTGTTACGCGCGTAACTCGATAAATCGAGCTACAGGGGAAAAAAGGTGTGCATCTCGCTTAATCGTGTTACGTGCGTAACTCGATAAATCGAGCTACAGGGGAAAAAAGGTGTGCATCTCGCCCAATCGTGTTACGCGCGTAACTCGATAAATCGAGCTACAGGGGAAAAAGGTATGCATCTCGCCAAATCGTGTTACGCGCGTAACTC